TCTGTGAGACTTGCACAAAGCTGCATTAAACACATTATAATGTCAAACGGGCTGATGTGGCTCTAGAGTGGCTATGGTTTATATGTTATAAAGTTGAATTTATTTATGCAGATTAGTAGTGCAGATAGTAATAATAATGATCATTTTAATCTAAAAACGTTAATGATTAATCGATAATTGATCGCTAATTCTCCCGACAATCGATTAAGAAAATTTTATCGAATGCCCATCCCTAATTAATATTAAAAGTTTTTCTATAGAATTCAAGTTCTTTATTAATAAAATATAGATTTTCATAGGAGGGTCAATATTCTATGGGGGGGTCAAAATACCATAATAGGATTCTGACCCCGAGGTCAAAATACTATATGGTATGTTGACCCCGGGGTCACCTCACCGCAGGGTCAAAATACTACACCACACCGGCTCAATCATCCACACCTCGCCAGATCAACAGTTTATCCCACGAGGAGAAACTTTTGGCTCCAGTTTGTCTTCAGTTTGTCTCTCTAGTTTTTTGCCTGATTCCAAGTTCTTAGTTTGTCTTTTTTCTTGTTTTTTCCTCAGACCCAGTTTCTGAACTCCGCCTTCTGAACTCTCACTCCCAGCCTCTGACCCAGCTCCCAGCAACCTGCACATTTTTTGAAATGAATAAATTCTGTTATTGTTTTTGAACTTTTTGTCTGCCTTATTGATCCACCAGTCTTCACAACAATCCCTTTGTAGCACAGATTTAGAGAATTTCAAGTATTACTTAATGTTCTTTTCTTCTTGCTCGGACCAGTCCAGTCGGCGTGCACCTCCTCTGTGTGATTAAGAGCAGACGGAGCAGCTCAGAGCCCCTCGCAGGTTTTAACTGTGACGCGTGTTTTCCCTGTGTGAGGTTAAGTGCTCTCCATGGGTCACCTACAAACACATGTCAGGACGCCCAGCCACAGCTCCAGCCTCATAAAACCAAGTCCATGAAGAGAAGAAGTTCACTGCTCTGCCCCGTCGTTCAACGTCTTTTTAAATGGCCCATATGACACTATTTTCTGATTCATGTTGTGATGTTGTTTCCTCATTAAAACCATATCTACGTATGTTTTTTGATGAGGAAACAGAATTCTATCTTGTTTTAACTCTTTCCCCCTTGGACGCCTACTAGTAACAACCTGTACATATATGACTAGGACGACCCATGGAGCATAACTGCATAAAAGAAAACAGACTTCCACGAGTGATTATTAATGATTTTTACACTCATGAACTTAATTGAAACACAGACATATTTGGTGTCTCTGGAAACCTTAGACTCTGAACTCTTCATTTATGGATGTTTAAATGTGATTCAACTCATTTACAGGTTTATAACAGCTCACTAAATATTAGAGTTTACCTGGTCAGGTGCAAAATAGAAAACAAAAAACTACATTCAGCATCTGATATCTGCATGTTCTGAGTACTATATTCATAAAAAAATGTAAAAAATATATTTGTCAAAGTACCGTATTTTCTGGGCTATTAGGTGTCTGGATGGTCTATTTTCAAACTTTTTTCACAAATAAAGTGCACTGGACTTTAAAGGAAACACAACAGTGTGATGGGTGAGTGGTTTTGTTTGTTTGTTCGTTCACAGTGACTCTGGGCTTTGTTCAGTTGTGGCGTGTAGGGAGGAGTGTGTCTGGGACCAACGGATTGTCGGTGTGTTCGCAGTGACTCAGTTGTTCAGTTGTGGCTCAGAGTGACACATTGCACTCGCTTTTTCGATTCGTTCCTCCTCGAGTGTGTCTGTGGGTGTTTTTTGCCGCGCGGTCGCTGTTTGCTCTGTGTGTGTTTGTGTGTTCTGTGGGTGGTGTGGCTTTGTAGTTTACTGAAGTTGTACTGGGACACCCGAGTGGATTTGTGTATAGGGCGCTCTGGATTGCGGGGCACGCAATCGTTTTTTTATGCGGTTAAATAGCCCGGAAAATATGGTATTTAAACAGATTTCTTATCACCAGATACAGTATAGCCAAGTGTACACCTGTTTTTACCTGTTGTACACCTGTGTGGACCTAATCCTTTTTTCCATTTAACTTATTCAACTCATTTAACTTATTCAACTTATTTAATTTATTCAACTAATTTAGCTTATTATAATATAATATAATAAAAACTCTTCCCCGTCAGTGGGTGTTCAGTATTTGTCATCTTGATTACTTTCTCGTGCACAGAGCTCTGCATAAACGTTTGTTTCTGTAGCAATTCTGTCATGCATCTCATCTTGGAAAAAAGACTGAAATATTTTAAAGGACTGGCCTGGGCAACATCCAGATTTCGGGACAATTTTGGTTCATAATCGAGTATAAAGTCTCTGATAGTTTGTTCGGATATCGCAGGACTCCACACAGACGCATCAGCGGCATTCTCAACTTCGTAAGTTTCATTCTCCGAAAGTCCGTCGCTCCACTGTTTTACATCCGCTCCTCATTATTTTTAAAACTGCGCCGCAATCTTTCCATTGCACATGTTGATTGATTGATTGATTGCATTTATATAGCGCCTTTCAAGATCCCCAAAGCGCTTTACAGTTCATTATTCAGTCACTCCACTCTCAGTGGTGGTAAACTACTACTGTAGCCACAGCTGCCCTGGGGCAGACTGACGGAAGCGAGGCTGCCGATCTGCACCATCGGCCCCTCTGACCACCACCATCACTCACGCACACACCACTTTCATACTTGGCAATGTGGGTGAAGTGTCACATGTTTCGTGTTCTGTTTTTAACGGAAGCTACAATCGTCTCTACTTTGATTAACTTCGGAAAAAATCTGCAAAAACATATCCTGGAATCTTATTGGTCAGCCTAGTGTGGGTTGTAGTGGCCCCGACCTATCGCAGCCTCTGTTTACATGTGACAAACAGGAACCGTTTCTAATGTTCGTCAAATCACGTCTTTAGTGACACAGCGGAGGTGCCAAAAGACGTCATTAAGGAAACAGGGGGGTCGTCAAATGTCGTCTTCATGGGGAAAGAGTTAAAGCTCACAAGAGTCAATTCCGAGCAATACACACCTTTAACTCTTTCCCCCCTGGACGCCTACTAGGAACAACCCATACATATGTTACTAGGGCTACACCCATAGAGCATAATTGCATCAAAGAAAACAGACTTCCACGAGTGATTTCAGGGCAATTTTGGTTCATAATCGAGTATAAAGCCCGGATAGTTTGTTTGGATATCGCAGGACTCCACACAGACGCATCAGCGGCATCTCATCTTCGTAAGATTCACTCTCTGTAAGTCCGTCGCTATCGCTGTTTTCCACTTTATAATCACCCTCATCATCACTTTGAAATCTATAAAAGTCACTTTCTCTAAACTTATCCATAAAATACGTCCGCTCCTTATTAGCAGCGCGATCTTTCCATTGCACGTGTTTCGTGTTGTGTTTTTTCCGGAAGCTACCATCGTCACTACTTCGATTAACTTTGGAAAAAATCGGCGAAAACATCTCCTTGAATCCTATTGGTCAGTCTAGTGTGGGTTGTAGTGGCCCCTACCTATCGCAGTCTCTGTTTAAATGTGAAAAACCGAGCCGTTTCTAGAGGTCGTCAAATCACGTCTTTAGTGATACAGCGGAGGAGTCAAAAGTCGTCATTAAGGAAACAGGCGGGGTCGTCAAATGTCGTCTTCATGGGGAAAGATTTAAGGACAAGCCACACTGGATTTCTACTTTGAAGTGAAAAAGAACAAGTTTAAGAAATTATCAGGTGTTTATTTTAAATTACAAAAAGCTGCAGTCTGAATCCAACTTTGTCAAACTTTTGTGGTTTTGTAAAATGGTCACAACATAAACTGAGTATGTTAAAATGTTAAGATACGCTTACTGTCCAAAAAAGAGTTAACATTTTAAGTATAGATTTGAATAATGATTTAAATACATTCATTCAAGTTTTCCCTAAATACAAAATGCTCTTTAATTTGTGAAACTTGCTGACTATTCCTCAATTCTTTTGCAGCTAAATCGAGTCTTGCTGTCCATTTTAACAACGTCTTATGTAAGAAAAGGGATGGTTAGGATTAGTCCCAAAACAAAATGACTTCTCGAGGCAATTACAGTTTTTCCCATTTGGTTTGGCTCAGGTGCTGGAGGAGAAAAGCGGTCAAACTCTTGTGTCTCAGAACAGTCGTGATCATTTAGTGTCTCGTGTTATTTCAGTGACTGTTTCCATCCAGAAAAAATTAACGTCTTTCCAAAATTTGCATCAGAACATTTTTGTCGTGTACAAAAGTTAAGCGCAATATCACTGCAATGTATCAATAGATATGTTTTACCACTAAGTTAAAGACTGTTGCCTCAGTCTTTCCCGAAGTTTAAACAAGCCAAAACTTTCCCCAAATGACTTTACTAATGAAGGTTGGACTGTGAGTGTGTGTTAGAGTCGGCCAACATCCTCAAGCTTTGTTCAGGGCAACTAGGTTTAATCGGCTGTGCTCCTCTGGGGGATTTTGGGCCAAGAATAACCAGCATCATGGGATTATTTTGGCTTTGTTCATCACCTGTGTCCAGTCTGGTCCGGTGCAGGTACGCAGTCCAATGGTCACATGGGTTTTATATTCGTTTCCATCCTCCACAATGCACTTTGACTGTTTAACTTTTCAAAATCCACCTAAAACAAATGAATAAACTTTCTAAATGACTTCTAAAGGTGATACTTGTGTGTTTCCAACTCCTGTTACTTCAAAATGCGCATTAATAATAAGGTGATGGCAACTCGACTAGTGAGCCTAAAACTGAAAAGATCACTTCAATTTGTGTAAATCTAAAAAAAAAAATGGTACTGTGACTAAAGGTTAACGCTTTACAAACACGGGTTAGGCCGGATTTGTAACATTAAATCTACATTACACTGATTTCAAAGATGAAAAACCTGAACAGTATATAATGTGACACGATGTTTTCTAAAGACACTGTAAGTGACGTTACAGAGGATTGTTCAAGTGGATGGGAGAATGATGAGTTTACGTAAAAAGTAAATAGTGAAGCTTGTGTCCCAAAGCATGTTGTGGTTTCCTCTGGACGTGAGTGAGGCTCAGCAGTGTCTGTTCAAGTTCTCCACAGTCTAAACATTCACAAGTTCAGTGTGATTCTCAGTCTAATAGGCAAAGATGACGTCGTACATCATCTGGTGTCCGTTGTCCCAGGCGTACAGTTTTTTGTCCAGAGGGCTGTAGCTGAGCTGGGCTGTGTGCTGGTGTGTGCTTGTGAACGCTAACAGAGGCACAGTGTGTGTAAATGTGTGTGTGTCAAAGGCGTATGTCACGTTAGCGTAGCGATGCTGTATGTTGTCCACCGCGTAGAGCACGCCACAAACCAGGAAGCTGTTCCCGTAGCGACCGCGGCGCAGACCAGTGCGGAAGGTCTGGATTGGTTGAAGGTCTCGTGGGCGGAGATGAGTGAGCAGGATCACTTCCTGATGGAAACCTTCAGAGTCCAGGGCAGGATACAGCACCCACAGACCTGACTCGTCAACAGCAAACTCCACCTGAAAACACCGACACGTGGATTCAACGCTTCAACTGCTCTTAGCCAAGAGTCACACACAGGTCAACACCATCATCAGAGTTTTCTTTCAAACTATTTGCTTTTAGACCGAGTCACTATGTTTGGTTTGACAGCAGGAGTATTAAATGACATGGAAAGAAGCCCTGAGCTGGGGTATGGTTCTTTGAATGGAGTGTGAGCTGTCACTGAGTCACATCACAATGTCTGGGACTTTACATCTTTTTACTTTTTACAGTGGTGCCACAGTGTTCATATCGTGTCACTCATATTTAAGTGATTTGTCTGACTTACCCTATCTGAACTTTTCTCTGGTTTTTAGACTGTCTCTTAACACAGACCAAAATCCAAAATTCCACGTATTTTCCACAGAGCTGCTCTTGTGGCACTTTTATCTTCAGGTGATTTACACTTATTGTTTTCCACATTTCTAGGTCTTGCCCAGTCTGGCATAAGTCATTCTCTCAGTTTGGAAAGTCCATAAATCTTACCTCTGAGTGCGTCCTGTGGGCCTGCTCCTCCAGCAGGGCATCGTGCAGTGTGGTCCAGGCCGCCACTAGTCTGCGCCGCAGGTCAAAGCGGATGATGTCGCGGCTGAAGGCGCGGTTGTAGAAGAAGGCCCCATCAAAGACCACGTGGCCCGTCCCGGTGAAGCTGTATGGCAGCTTGTATGAGTTACTGGTCTGCCCTGCACAAACACACAGGCAGCTGCTCAGACCATTACGTGCTGTTTATGAGTGTCTTATGTAACAACTGTAGCCGTCAAATAACAGAGGAAATGTCACTTGCAGCACCCAGCCCTCAGGCCTGACACAGGCGTACAGACATTTAACCCAAGGACATACAGTCCCTGAGTCGTTTTTTCATTATTCAAACATCTATAATGTTTCCCATTACAGCATGTGAGTACCTGCAGCGTGGCAGGTACTCTCAAAAGTCATTAACTTGTCCCCCTCAAATAAATCTCCAATCCTCCCACCTTTCTATAAACACTGAGCCCAGTATACTGGCTGGTGACCTATCATGATTCTAGGATTGTCATAAAGAAGTATATTTTTGGACATATTGGATAAACATGTATTTTGATGGTATATCATCTTTATACATTTAAAAATAGGATTTTGTTGCTTATTCTCATTCATCTCATTTCCAACAATGAAATGAAAATCTCATTCTATTGAAACTCAGTCCAAATCCACATTGTTTCCCGCCCAGGTTTTGTTTAATCAAGACATTTAAAATGAGATGGTATAATGTTCTATGTCGAGAACAGCGGGACTATTATTACACTTTACTCCACCCTTCTAAATATATTTCATATGTTTTGTCTAGCATTTTTGCAGAATTATCTGATTTAATATCTTCAGTGGTAGGTTTTGAACAGTTGAACTTTTGCTGCCCAGCTTTATTTATCAGGAGTTATTTATTGGGAATAAAGTCAATATGGCTTCAGAGGTGAGGTAAGTAAAAGGCAAGGTACAAATATGTATTTGACCCATCTTTCAATGCCACTGGAGCAGTGCTGTGCCCAGTACCCATCTCCAGATCTTGAGCTAGGCTTGGGTCCCACAGGTGTTTGTAATGGGCCCAAAATTGTTCATACTAAATATCAATGATTTTTGTGTAGTGTCCAAGATTTTACATTTTCTGAAGGTAATAGACTGTGTCAGAAGAAATTACCAAAGGAAATTTGAAAATTATAAAAAAAAAAAAGAGATTAAAATAATGTTTTCTTGAATTCAGTTAACCTGAAAAATTTAATTTGACAGGTCTACTGTTACCACATTTCTGTATTTTTGGTCATTATCATTGCTCGTACTTGACACAGCACAATAGTTACATGCTTATATTGAGTTTTCACAATGTGTTTATGTTACAAGAGCTTTATGTATGTGAATTTACTGTAGATTTAACTCAATACTAACATGTGGCTCTACGTACATTCATGTTGAATTGAATATCATATTTCTATAATATAGACTGTGACAGAGTAATGTGACTGTGGCAGGCCACAGGCGTCACAGAGCATTTAGAGAAACCTTTGTGTGCAGTCCCACATTTAGACACTTGACAGTCCCTGAGCCTGAGGTCAGAGTGCGGAGAAGTCACAGCAACTTTAGGGGGAGGGGCATTAAGGCTACGAAACATTCTCCTGACACATTTTTCTCAGAGAGAAAGAAGACAGGCAATAAACATACAAAATGAGACTGAGTTTCCTAAAATAAGAAATGAAGTTCACAAATCCAACAATAGCTGATGTTTTCTGAAGGTTTTAAAAATAGAGATTTCTTGGACCACAGTTTGTATCAAAAACACACAGTGCTAAAAGCCTCCGCCTCTGGCAGCAGCCCTGGAGTTATCTGCATGCCACATTTACCACAACAAAAGATCTATTCATGAGTCTCCGCCTATTGTCTGCACACAGCCACGCAGTGCTACTCATTTCACAATTCTGTCTCTATCAAATGTGTATTTTCTCTTCTGAGCGGTAATGTTGAAGAACCACATAATAAAGCAGCTCTGAGGCAGTGAAAACCAAGCTCCTGTAGCAGGAAGTGAGAGAGAAACGGCTGTGGCTGTAACCTTTATGTTTTCAAAGGTTTATATCAAAGATTACTGGTCAACTCAACATTTTTTGTGCTGGGGTTTGGATTTAGGCAAAAATGTTTAGGTGTTAAAGTCCATGTGGCATAAAGAATTGCCTCCCCGTCGGGGAATCGAACCCCGGTCTCCCGCGTGACAGGCGGGGATACTCACCACTATACTAACGAGGAGAGCCACAGAGAGGCCAGGGTGGGGGCGGGTCTTAACTCTGCTCCGTCCCTGTCTATCTACATGTGCTCAGATGTCTTCAGGAGCATTTTAACAGGGCTCTGTGGCTGTCTGACTCTGTAGTTGTGTGTCCCACAGTTTCTGAGAATGTTATTTGCTATGAAAGCATGTTTAAAGAAGTGTTAACGCAGTGAGCTCTTCCTCTTTGCTGAAATAGGTCATGTTATATGACACTCACATAGAGGCAGAACACCTAGGGCTTCACTGTTTCTTGCACTTCCTTTTAGGTCAGCAGAACACCTTCACTGTAGTACATATAAAGTCAAACTACCCAAGCTAACATTTTATTGCATTTCCTATGAGAATGTTTGTCTGAGGAGACCTCCCCTAGTGGGAATTTCAAGAACTGCAGATAGATATGGCATGTGGACTGCTGTTGGAATAGAAAACTATCAACAGGTCATACCAAATACCTGATTTGAAAGTGTCCATGTCTCTGAATTCCTGCAGGATGTTGCCATAGTGACCATCAGTCAGGTAGATAACATTTCCATGGCCCCGTGCGTCTCTCATCCAGGCTCCATCTGGTAAACCGTACGTGTTGTGCTGCACAGGTTCAGAAATACTGGCCACAGTGTCTTTACACAAACCTGCAACAACAGTTAGTGTTTACTACATTCACTGTAAAAAGTCACAGGAATGCACCTTTCACATAAGTCACAAAAATAAAATAAAAAATTTAAATAAAATAAAATAATAAAATAAATAAAACATTCATAACTGAAAACGTACTAGGTTTGAATTTTGAGATTATTTTTTTTAAAATCCTAATCTGTAGGCTACTGTATATTAAGGATATATCTATAATCGAAATATCAAAGTATCATAGTAATATCGTGAGTCATCACAATATATTGAATCACTGGTCTCTTTGCTTAAATTCAGTTATGGTGCAGCATGAACTATAAAAAACAGAGGAGACTACATAGACCATGATCCTTTTCTTTGTTTCAATGCAGACTACATGAAGAAATTACTGTTATTATCTTAGTTCTTGAATTATGACAGTACAAAAGTCTAAAAGAAAAAAAAATAGCATATTCACAGTTTTGTAAGCCTCCAAAAATATCACAATAAATATCGTGCTATGAGATGCGGTGTTTCAAACCCAATAGCGCCCCCTGTCCTATCAATCAAATCATGTGGCACTAATCATCTACCGTCAAAAAATGTGTCTTTAAAAAATCTGCTGTATGAGAAACTACTATGTTCATAAAAATCCAGTCCAGATTTTCCCTCATACTTTGCCTCGCTAATCCAATCTGTTCCACACTGTGATCCGGTCTGGTTTTGCCGTGCTCAGAGCTGAAGCTGCGGAGCTGAAGCACTGTGAACTCAACAGGGACAGATGCGCAAACTGTCTCAGCTCAGAACTAAGTTACATTAGAGTTTGTAGCTGATAATAAAATACATACTGATGCTTAGTGGCACTTTGTAAGTAAACTTAATGTAATGCAAACCTTCTAGTTTAAAGGTTAATTGTGTAAATTTTCTGGTAGACAGTCTGTCAAATGCCTTTCTCCGTGGAGATGCCATTGCTTTCTCTGGAATGTTTCACAGTATGGCATTAAACCTTTCTATCTTCATGGAGACCAAACCAGACCAAGTTACAGGTCAGATCTGTGGAGGGGCGACCCCGCTCACAGTCAGAATGCCTATTTTTCAAGGTATTTTTGAGATATAAAAACACCTATAATTGAATGACGTATCCATAGAAACAAGCAGTTGAAGGCTCACAAAAGTTACATAATGTAGCTTTAAAAAAGTCTTTTAGCATAATTTGACAGATACATTGGTGTGTGCACTGATGTGGGTCATAAAGCAGTGACAGGATGAGAAGTGAGGTTTAATCCCTGGCTTTTATTCAGAAGCTCTCTATAACTGTATTAGGTCATAACTTCAGAATTCATTGGTGCAAATGATGCAAATGGTGCAAGTGTTTATATTTGATTATGTAACTTACTCTTCAGTAAAGTTCAGTTCCACATATTTTTTGCAAACGTCACAAGTAAACAGCTGAATATCTATAATGTTTAGTTTAATGTATAGTCATAACTATGTAACTATAGATACAGATATTAATTAACCAAGTACGTGCACTCATTTGTATATATGACATAAGCCTATATAAGTTTGAGTTACCAGGTTTCTTAGTGGGTTTGGGCTGGTCAGCTGGGCTCTCGGTCCAGCTCAGACGAGTCTTGGCACCAGGCAGGAGCTGTGTAGGAGCAGCACTGATGGGTAGTCCTACATCAGCAGGAGGAGGGGGAGCTGTGGTCCTCTTCAGGGGGTCAGAGGGCACTGGTTTGGTTGTAGTCGTAGTGGACTGCGTAGGAGCTAAAGGAACTTCTATTTTGTGTGATTTTGTAGTCTCAGGGGGGACAGCAGAGCGGGTTGGGGGGAGTTCGTCAGATACCAGCAATTCAACTGAAACATAACATGAACAATCAGAAAATAATATTATGACAGCTGGATAAAAACACTTAAATTCATGTTTATAGGGCCCATATTACAGTCCGTGGTGTGTCCTGTACAGTCTGTGGTGTTCTGTGCCTGTACTCTCTGTCGATGGTTTACTGTGTGTGTCTTGCATGTGCACTGTTGTGCTTTGTGCTTTGGTCTATCCTATTATATCTGACACATAAATTACACACTTGGCTCTAAAAGCGACGCATTGACACGATCTGCAGGCTTCATATTTTCCTAGTCGATTACGTTGACTAATTGTTGCAGTTCTGGTTCATTCACACATGTTTAACACACAGATGCTGCACATTTAGGCTGAGTTCTTCTCTCAAACTGAAAAACTTCATACACTAGGATCCTTTGGATGATTTCAGTCCTGGAATTGCCCATCTCCACTGAACTAAATGTAAAAGGTAGCTTGTTGACACCTACATGACATCACAAGTTGGAGCAGAGCATTCTGAGCTTTGGAGATGTAGACAGACCAATAATGCAGGATTACTCAAACATGTGTGAATGAAACAAAACACAACTCCAGTTCTGTTTTGGGGTAACAGCATAATAACAGCTTAAAGCTCCTAAGAAAGCACTTTTGTTGTAATACAGGACCTTTAATGTTTAAACCACTTCTTACCATCTCTCTCTTTTGTATTCCTGACGTGCTCTTTCTCCTTGAACGTCTCCTCTTCAGCTTTATAAAATTTAACACCCTTAACAACCAGGCTGCTCTTGTCCTTGATGATTGACTTTGTCTCCAGTTTTTCTTGAGCCGGTTTTTGAATCTCTGTATTATTTTTAGCCCACTGCTTTTCTTCATATAGTTTCTGCATAAAACATAAAGTAACATCCATACAGATAGTTGAAATAATAAAATATAATTGGTTATTAAAGGGCCTGTACCTGATTTTCATTTATTCTTAACAAGTTAAAGGTGTATTGTGTAACATTTTTGGTAGAGGATCTGCCACCTGCTTGACCCCATGTTGTTTTTTTCCTGGAGTGTTTTACAGTCTGGCATTTAATTGAACTATCTCCACGAAGACAAGCAGGTCACATCACCAAGCCAAGTTACAAGTCAGATCTGTGCAGAAGTGAACCTGGTCACAGTAATAACACATGTATCTGTGGTAGTTTTGAGAAGTAAACACCTGTAATTGAATAAATATAAAATATATTTGGTTAATGTCATGCTCTGTAATATCCCAGGCAAAGCAATAACATCACCATGGAGACAAGCAGATGGTGGACCCTCCATGAGAAAATGTACACAGTGCACCTTTAAATGCTCGTTACATTATGTTTTGTATTGCAAAAACTGCTAAACACTGAGACTGAATATAATCTAATGTAATCATTTTCTCAGGTAGCAACTAATGTGGAAGTCAGGGTTACCGGGGTTTCATCCAATCAGGTACACTGTTACTCAGAACCAGGGGAAAGCACCTGCCTGACACTAACCCAGACAGTAGGTTCTGTGTCATAGTACAATATCAGAGCAACACAAATGACTAAACACATTTCTGACTCATGGTTTGAAATCAGGTACTGGCCCTTTGTCATGTTTTTGCTTATTTCTATGGATTTGTCATTGCTCTGCCTGGAATGTTCCACAATATGGCATTAAACAGCTCTGCCTCACATGTATTAAATGACAGGTGGTTTTAATGCTGAAAAATACCTAGAAAAACAGACATTCTCTCTGTGAGCGGGATCGCCTCTCCACAGATCTGACCTGTAACTTGGTCTGGTTTGGTCTCCATGAAGAAGGTTTAATGCCATACTGTGACACATTCCAGACAAGGCAATAACATTTCCATGAAGAAAAGAATCTCACAGACCAAAAAAGTTACACAGTGCACCTTTAAGTAGTACATTTGTGTTACCTGTTTGTTGGTGCTGCCAGATCCGCTCTTCTGCCCCATTCTCTCCACATCACTCAATTTCTTCTTTTTGTTTGACTTCTTTTCTTTCTCTTTTTCTTTCATTCGTTCTTTCTCTTTTAATTTTTCAGCAACACTACGAGCAAAAGTCTGGAAAGTACAAGACAGGTGAGAGAATTACCAACAACTAACACTGGGTTTGGCCGTACTGTGATATAAAACGTTATTTGACTTATATATACATTTTTACAAATTAGTTTCTTACTTTCTCCAGGCTGTCGACTCTGGTCAGTAGTTTAGTGGTGACAGAATTCAACTTTAACAGGTCCATCCCGTACAAAGATCCCTCCAGCAGATCTATGATGGTGGCAAGCTAAAACAGTGGGGAAAATGGAAAATAAAGTAACTTAAGGAAAAGAGCGAGCTGGGGTCTGGGGGAGTGTGAGAACAGTGTGATTGGTCTAACTATCCACACTTTAAACTCCGCCCCTGCAGCTCAAACACCTAATCAGGGCAGTTCTATGTGATATCACCTACCACTTGAAGTTAAAGTGGCCACTACAGGCAGCACACTCACGATTTGACTGTTCTGAACACAAAACTGCAAATCTACTTATTTTGCACTAAAAATGTAAAAGAAAAGAGGACTAGGAACAGTAGACAATGTGGATTAAATGTTTAGTTGGACTAGTAGTTTCATACCTATCTGATCATCTCACCTTGATGTCGTCCTTACTGGCCTCTTGGAGTTTCTTAAAGCGGAAGTCTCCCTCACAGGGATTGACAGCAGAGGGCGGGGCCAAACACTCACAGCGTTTACAGTCTTTCCCAGTGGTCACCGTCTCCACAGTGTAAATGTCCCTGACCGGAGCCCCCGCGTCCCCGTCCTGCATGCGGCTGCAATCGGAGCGTCGGATTGGCCGAACGATGCAGCGGCAAACGCAGTCTGAGCCGGAGGATATGGTCCTCACTTTGTCGTAATCTCCCAGCAACTGTAACAAGACAATCATTTTGGTAATCCATCAGAAATGTGCTGTAAATGCCTTAGTAGAGTTTTGTTAAGTTAGACGTGCACATTTTAAATTTGCTTGTGGATCTGACTGTACCATCTTATAGCACTGAACTTATTAATCGTGTGTTCATTCAATTTTTTGCATTAAAGAGGTAATTAAAGTCATGTGCTTCATACTTTATTGCAATTGGTTAAATCCGCCTGTCACTCACTGAGGCTGACCAACAGGAGGAGTGGGTGGGAAAAGTCTTTGTTTGAGCACAGAGCTCCCTTCAAGAAGAAATGAGTGAATCACAATATGGCAATTTCACCAAAAAAAAGCACATCATCACAAAAATGAGATCACGATTTGATTTTTATCAGTATACTGCCCAGCCCTAATGTGAATGTTCCATAGTATGGCATTAAAGTCTTCAATCTTGCAAATATTCAAATACATGTTTGTTTTTTTACATCAAAATTCGGACTTATCTCAAGCGGGCTCATCTCTCCACAGAGAATAAAGGGACACTAAAGAACCTTACCTTAAAGGTGCACTAAGTAACTTTCTGGTTGGGGCTCTGTCACCTGATTGTTTCTATGGGTATGTCACTGCTATGCCTGAAATGTTCCACAGTATGACATTAACTTTGCTCTATCTTACATTTATTCAATTACAGGTGGTTTTATTGGATAAAAATCAGGCATTCTCTTTCTGAGGGGGATTGCCTCTCTACAGATCTGACCTGTAACTGGTCTGGTCTCTATGAAGATAAAAAAGTTTAATACCATACTGTGAAACATTCCAGACAAAACAATAACATCTCCATGGAGACCAGCATTTGATAGACAATTCACCAGAAAAGTTACACAATGCAATGTTAATCTAATTTTGCAGAACTTTTGCTCAAAAAGAACAATTTTGGATATGATCTTTATGTTATATCACCCCAACTCCCACAATCTTAAAGCAATTTCTAATCACATTTACAGTAAGTAGAGACAGTAGAGCCGTACTCTGTATCCCACCCGCCCCTGTGATGATGAAATGAGAACTGCAGCCACCACTAACCAGAACCAAACCAATGGCCTTTTGGGTTTGGAACATCTACACTGTGAAAATTACACAACCAGCCACCAGGAAGAAGAAAGCCTTAATCATAAACCGTTCAACTGTCCAGCTGACTTAGTGAGGTCTGGAAAGGTTTCAAACAAAGTATTTTTAGCCAAGTGAGAAAACTGCTGAGTCTTGGACAATTACATCTGATTTCCAATTTTATAATGGAAGAAATGGGGTTTATAGAGTGTCCAGAATCTGCCTGAGAATGGTGGAAAGTTGGTTAAAACTGTTGAAACAAACCTGACAAAGGCTATAAATCAAGTACAGCTTTTACGTCATCTTCTGAACCAAAGTTCCAATACATTACTCCATCACAGATACAAATGTCAAAAACTAAATACCAGTTAACATTTTTCAATAAACCTTTAAAATCACAACTGATGGCAAAAAATAGATCATACTGTAATTGTTGCTCTGAAGATATGCAGTATTAAAATGTCAAGTGTATAATGTATAATAAAGATACTACAAATGACAACAAAAAGAGAATTAAAGGTTGTGTATTACGCAAACTGACACTGAGCTTTTAGCCGTGTAATGATTTGTTAACTTACAATTAAATAGTTACATAATCAAAAACATATTCAGAGTTGTGTTTTGTTTAGGGTAACCAAATGTCAATTTTTTGCGTCTTGTCCTGGGCATCCGGGTTTTTTTTTTTTTTAAATGATGGAAATGTCCAGGTTTCCATTACATTCATTGGGGCCATTAAACTGAGCGTCTCTCGTAGCTCTCTTTAACTCAGAAGGAGTGAGGAGACACAAACAATTGGTCGGTTGCAACATGCTGAAGCGCAAATGTGCATTTAACAATGATTTGGACAAGAAATTCTCCATTTTCCATTCCAGTCGGGACAAGTGGGAGGCCATGTGGACAGGTTGCGAGGTGAGAGTAGCTCAATGTCGAGGCCCTAGCCCCCACCCCCGGTAAGGCGTCTGGGTTTTCACAAACGGAAATATGGTCACCCTAGTTCTGTTTCATTCACATATGTCTGAGTAACCCTTTAGTCTGTCTACATCTCCAAAGCTCCAACCGCTCTGTTCCACCTTGTGATGTCATGAAGTGTAAGTTTTTAAGTTAACCATTTACTTTTTTTTCAGTAGAGACTGAAAATTGCTCAGCTGGAATTATCCACATGATTCTAGTGAAGGTTGAGGATATGGAGTGTAAAACACAGGGGAGCTCATTTTTTTCTGTTTGAGAGAAGAATGAAAATATTCAGAGTTTGTGTGTTAAACATGTGTGAATGAAACAAAACACAACTCCAGGTCTGTTTGTGATGAGAAAACAACATTATAGATCAGAAAATAACGCAGTATATACAACCTTTAAAACAGGGGTCTCCAACCTTTCTACTCTGGTGAGCTTCCTTTACAAAATGAGAATAACAGAGAGCTACGAAAAATTGATTATAAGAGCCACAGTCTTAGAGGAGTACAGTTAGATGAAACAAACCATTATCCATTTAGTAGTGCACAAAGTTAGACATCGGAATGATACATTGACAATGGTAATAGAAATGGTAATGGTAATATTCAACATAATTGTAGTTCATTTCAGCACAGTAGGTATAATTCAGAAATCCCTTGGTGAGCTACTTGGAAGGGGGTGGAGAGCTCCCATTGGCCCCCGAGCTACAAGTGGGAAACACCTGCTTTAAAATATCGTCTGAATATTATCATTGAGATAACGCAAAAAATATAATCATATGCACTATTGTCAATATCGCAAATCCCAAGACAGTATGGGTATTTTTGGTCACCAATTTAATAACAGTCAAGCACAGGGTGACCAGACATCTGTATTTACCCAGGACAGTCCCAGTTTTGAGCCTGTCCCAGCAGATTCATACAAAAACACTGATTTGTCCCAGTTTTATACTACCTGCCAACAGTAAAGAGAGGCATAAACTGTCATTTGTATAGGTAAAATACAGAAAAGCTGCTTAAAAACGACCAAAACACAAAGAAAATGTGACTACACTGGCTCAATTGTTAGTCATGGATGGTCTCTGCAGAATAATTTTCCTTAATTACACACTCGTCATTTCACAATTTTACCACAATTACCAACGAACAACAAAACAAGGATGTCCCAGTTTTTTATTTTGAAATTCTGGTCACCCTAGTCAAGCATAATGATGAGTTTTTTAAGTTTTAAAAAGTATTTGTCACATTCTGGTTCATAAATAACTAAGGGTGTAACGATATCCAAGTCTCACTATACAATATCGTCACAGTATCAACCTCACGGAACGATATTTATTGATTTTATAACGATATTGTGGAAAAGATCACGATATGGTGTGGAGGCTCATGATTAGGGATGTAACAATATTCAAAGCTCTCGGTACGATATTTTTGCAATATACATCTCATGGTACGATATTTATTGCGATATTTTGTGGAGGCTATGCTACTTTTTCCTCTTAAAATGCCTTGACAAGACTTAATCCAAAGAAATAAGACTTAAAAGTGCTTAGAACTGTTATTTCTTCATGTAGCCTACACTGAAATGGAGCAAAGGATCATGGTCTATGTAGTTCCCTCTGTCTTTTTTTAGGTATTGTTGTACCACAACTTAATTTAAGCAAGGAGACTTGTAATTCAATATATTGTGATGGTCCACGATATTATTGTGAGAACTTTGACGATGCAATATCACAATATTTCAGTTATTGTTACATCCCTATTAACAACATATATCCAAATTCATACAGTAACAATGGGCTGCATTGTGTTACAAAATGGCGCCCCTCTGAAAACAGGTGTGGCTTATTACCGTGAAATAATCGTGTTATAAACAGTCCACGCACAGGAAATCACTTCTGACAACAGGAAAAGGTACGTAATCTGAAGTATGTGTCATGGCTAATATACACAATTTTCGGGCCATATATATATATATATATATATATATATATATATATATATATATATATATATATATATATATAAACCCGCAATGTAGTTTCACTTCAATTAAGCTTGCGGAAGGATACTCTTAAATTTGCCCCAAGGTTAGTGCAACAAACATCACAACGACCTTTTTAAACTGCAAATTAAATAAATAAAAATCCATGTAGTAAAGGTTTTAGAGTAGAAATTTGTTTTTTATTGTTTTTCGAGCTAGTTAGCAAAATAATAATAATAATAAAAAAATCTTAAATTGGCGGAAGAATACAGACTTGGTCAAATTGAAAGTGGATCGCAGCTTTAGCATTTTACCCAAAAACATGCTAGTAATCGTTGGATAATTTTAACCAAGAACACAATGCTGTTGGGAATAATAAACATTGTATAGTCAAACTTTTATTTTAATAAGGTTTTATAACTGACCTGGCTGATGACATTCTCTTGGTTGTCCATCTCTTCTTCCAGCGGCGCGGGGGTCGGTGTCCCTCCCGCCTCCGCGCTCATAGTTCCGCTCATCACCGGGTAAGCATCCACCTTTCCCGGCTGTTTCTCCCGGTTCACCTCCGCTTCTTTACTTTGCATCTCAATCAGCATTAAATCCACACTTTTGTCTCCTTCTTGACCACATGCTTCATTTAGGACACAACTTATAAGAAGCAATATCAACCCGCGCTTCATTTTTTCAATTTCAAAAAGTAGTCCTTTGCGCACGTGTTTTTGCAAAATTGAGGGAATGAAGTTTGTCCGCTCTTCAGAGATGGTGAAATAAACGCGTGTGCTGAGGAAAAAAAAAAAGAAAAAGCCGAATGTGTGCTCTGTGTGTGCACTGTGTCCGGGGAGAGGAGAGGAGAGGAGAGCGCGCTGTGGTGTGCAGTGGCCGTGATCCAAACGCGCACTGAAGCAGGTCTGAGGGAGCAGAGAAAATCTCCGTCACCGATCTGGGCCGTGGTGAAGGATGGGGACTCTGATTGGTCAAAGAGGAAACCACATCGAAAAGTAAAGTAAAAGTTTTGCATGCGAGTTTTTTTCTGTTGTAATTTGTCTTAATTCTTTTAAGCACAGCCTGGGAAATTTGGTCTCATAACATTTTTGTTGGATTAGGCTATGAGTTAGAGTTACATAAGGAGACGATTAACAAAAAAAGATGTGATTTCATTTAATTTATTCATTAGTTTAATTTTATTTTGCACAACATATAACAATAAAAATGGTCAGAAGATTTTAAAAAGTGAATGCAGGAAGAGGCAAAAACCCAAAAGGGCTCCACCTGTCAGTGTTGGGGAGTAACAGATTACATGTACCTGAGTTACGTAATCAGAGTACAAATTATGAGTAACTGTATTCAGTTACAGTTACTGTTTCAGTGAGTGGTAATTGGATTACAGTTACTTTGTTGAAATAAATGGTGGTATTTTCCTGTTTTCACATTTTGGGCTAAACCAGGTCTAAACCAGGACTAAAACCAGGATTAAACCAGGTCTAAACCAGGACTAAACCAGGACTAAAACCAGGTCTAAACCAGGTCTAAACCAGGACTAAACCAGGACTAAAACCAGGATTAAACCAGGTCTAAACCAGGACTAAACCAGGACTAAAACCAGGATTAAACCAGGTCTAAACCAGGTCTAAACCAGGACTAAACCAGGTTAAACCAGGACTAAACCAGGACTAAACCAGGTCTAAACCAGGACTAAACCAGGACTAAACCAGGTCTAAACCAGGACTAAACCAGGTCTAAACCAGGACTAAAACCAGGTCTAAACCAGGTCTAAACCAGGTCTAAACCAGGACTAAACCAGGACTAAACCAGGACTAAACCAGGACTAAATCAGGACTAAACCAGGTCTAAACCAGGTCTAAACCAGGACTAAACCAGGATTAAACCAGGACTAAACCAGGACTAAACCAGGTCTAAACCAGATCTAAACCAGGTCTAAACCAGGTCTAATCCAGGTCTAAACCTGGTCTAAACCAGGACTAAACCAGGACTAAACCAGGTCTAAACCAGGTCTAAACCAGGACTAAACCAGGATTAAACCAGGACTAAACCAGGTCTAAACCAGGTCTAAACCAGGTCTAAACCAGATCTAAACCAGGTCTAAACCAGGTCTAAACCAGGTCTAAACCAGGACTAAACCAGGTCTAATCCAGGTCTAAACCTGGTCTAAACCAGGACTAAACCAGGACTAAACCAGGTCTAAACCAGGTCTAAACCAGGACTAAACCAGGATTAAACCAGGACTAAACCAGGACTAAACCAGGTCTAAACCAGGACTAAACCAGGACTAAAACAGGACTAAAACATGATTTAACAGGACTAAACCATGCCACGCGGACCTTGTCTCCTCGTCTTCTATCAATAATATTTTAATACGATTAAGTAAAGTCTGGTCTTTTTATTTTCTTTTAGCAGACAAAACTTCTTATGTTACGATATTCTAGTCTTTGTTTCTCTACAGCAAACCAAGTAATCCAAAGTATTCAGATTACATTACTCACTTTAAGTAATTTAATTTATTACCTTACAAACTACATTTTGAGGTATGTAATCTGTAATCTGTAGGGGAATACATTTTAAAAGTAACCTTCCCAACACAATTGAACATTATAGCTGTGCATTACTTAAAAAAAATACATTTACACACCATCAAGAAAATGTATCTCAAACATGGATTAAAATATGATGAAACATCCAACAATTTAATCGTTCTCAAACAATGCCATGAAATATCAAACATTTATCTTATTTTACAGACTTGCAGCATGCTGGGGGAACCAACTTGGCTTGAACACTTCAGGATCCCTCTGCCCAGCGAAGGAAGTGGAGGAAGCGTCTGGGGTAAGGGAAGCCTAGGTGTCTCTACTTGGACTGCTGCTTCAAAAACGTATCCCAGAATAAACAGTTCTGATCAGTGCGTCCACTATAGTGAGAGGGATCTGGCCGGAGACCTTCACCCAGGGGACCCCACACGCAGACCTCAGTCCACAGGTCCCTAAAAGTAAACAAACAGCTGCCGTGCCAAAAGATCACCAAAGTCTGCCGAACACAAGTCCTTTTCCTATCCTTAAAGTGCACTATGTAACTTTTTAATTGGGGGTTGATCAGCTGGATACTTGAACTCCTTCACTTGAGGCAAGGCAAACTGAAAAACGGAGCTCTCAATTTACCGGTCAGTCTTCGTTCCTCTCCTCACCTGTGGTCATGAGCTCTGGGTAATGACCGAGAGGACAAAATCGCGGATACAAGCGGTCACAATGAGTTTACTCCGCAGGGTGGCTGGGCACTCCCTTAGAGATAGGGTGAGGATCTCGGTCACATGGGATGAGCTCGGACTGGAGCCGCTGCTCCTCCACGTTGAGAGGAGCCAGCTGAGGTGGCTCGGGCATGTGTTTCGTATGCCTTCTGGGCGCCTTCCTCAGGAGGTGTTCTGGGCATGTCCCACCGGGAGGAGGCCCCGGGGAAGACCCATCACATTTTGGAGGGACTATGTCTCTTGGCTGGCCTGGGAAAACCTTGAGGTCCCACTGGAGGAGCTGGAGGAAGTGTCTGGGGTGAAGGAAGTCTGGGAATCCCTGCTTAGACTGCTGCCCCCGCGACGTGGAAGAAAGTAGATGGATGGATGGTCGCTGACCTGCTTGTTTCAATGGGTATGTCATTTCTCTGGAATGTTCCAGTGTGACATTAAACAGCTCTACTTTACATTTACTCACTCACAGGTGGTTTTATAGCTCAAAAATCTCTAGAAAAACAGGCATTCTGACTGTGAGCGGGGTCGCCTCTCCACAGATCTGACCTGTAACTTGGTCTGGTTTGGTCTCCATAATGATAGAAAGGTTTAATGCCACACTGTGGAACATTCCAAACGAAGCAATAACACATCAATAAACACAAGCATTTGACTGACCCTCCACCAGAAAAGTTACACAATGCACCTTTAACCATTACAGATTTGTGCCTAATCTTAACCAGACCTGTGTCACTACAACAACACATCCACGGACAAAATGGCTGTTATTTGTATTTACTTCATTGTAGGCTGCATGTCACAAATTTTGAACAGCTCGTTTCCCTATGCAAACAAAGTTAATTTCAAATTAAAAAAAACTGTTATAAATATATTGTGGATTAAATGTACAATGTAAAAAGTTAAAAAGTCATTAATTAACTGAAATTTCTGATACAGCTCCAGATCCTTCTAAAGCTCTTCAAGGTTTATTTCTGTCCTGTGAATGTCAGTTATTCAGTACTGACACCTGCTCACATGGCTATTTTGTTTCAAAACTAGCTTTTGCATCGATTAGTATCTGTAGTTTTGATCATACAACTTTAGTATCCAGGATTAAGTTTGCTTAATTTCTTCGCACAGTGTCCAAGTGTACCAGCAGAGGGCGCTCTTTCAGCCCGTGACACTATTGACATTAGTAAGACGTTTACTTTGAGGTAAAAAAAAAAAAAAGTCTCCTCACCACATGGAGTTTGAGAAGCCACAGGAAATGGGTTGTGCACACATGTATTTAGCTGTCATGTTTCACTCAGTGCTTCCTGTGTACAGTCACCTCAACCCAGCTCCACTTCACTCAGACGATCATCATGGGAGCGTCTTCATCTGGACTGCTGGACGAAGCTAAGGCCAGCCACATCAAAGGTACAAACACACCTGATATTTACATTTTAAAATGATTCTATTTGAAGGGACCATATTTTGCTGTTTTCTGATTTATGCTATAATGTTTAATCATCAAAAACATAAACATACCTGTCAAATAGAAAACACTCTGTTCCACCTTGTGATGTCATGTGGTAATACTGCTCCACTGTGTTTTTGTGTTTTTAAAAGCCATACATCTTCACTTGAGTCATTTGGATAATTTCAATTCTGGAATTGCCCATTTCTATTGAACTAAAATTAACAAGTTAGCTGCTAACTTGAAAACCACTGCTTCATGACATCACAAGGTGGAAAAGAGCATTTTGGACTTTAGAGATGTACAGACTAATAACAGACTATCAACAAATCAAATGTGTTACGTGTGAATGAAACAAACACAGCTCCGGGTCTGTTTTTCAGGAGGTAAAAGCATTATAACATGGCCGAAAGTTCACAAGAAACAATTTTGTGTAATATGGGTGCTTTAAATTAAAATTGCAATATAGAGCATCAGAGCTGGCAAAGGTCATTATGTAGAAGATTCACTTTATATGGTTTTCAACCAGTGTGACGGGGAACACTCGGCGCCCTGCCTTAAGATTTTGCCAGGTGTGATTAGGAAAAGTTCTGATTTGAGTAAAAATAATAAAGAGAAAAATGTAAGTACTTTTAGATATGAGTAACTTATAAGCTAGAAAAAATGTTGGAGTGTTTTGAGTAAACCTCTGAACCAATAGTGTACCACTTCATCTTTTCAAGTGTGCATATTATTATCAGTGAGTTTCAGAGTGATTCAAATTAAAATTTGTTGAGCATATCATTTTGAAAGAACAAAGTAACCAAAATGTTTACTAAAAACTACTGCTACTTCAGTAAAAATATTACTCAAGTCAAAGTAGTATGCTGCTAGAAAAGTACTCTAAAAAGTACAATTTATTTTAAAAAATGACTCAAGTAAGTATAAGTGACTATTCCCCACACGACAACACCTCCCAAATGGAACAAGAGAGGGATTTAATACAGACCTAAATACACACTCATATTTTATTTTATGATATTGCTTTTCTATGTGACTTTGAGCATTCCTATAGCGTTATCAGCTGAGCACTTCCTGTCTGTAATCTGTAGGAATGTAATTACTGCTATTTCCAACCATTACGCTGCCCCATCAGTTCAGCTCTGAGAACTGAGTCGCTGCGGTATGAGATCCAAAGGATAGCACTAAACAAACCACCCTGCTCTGTCCACTCATTCATTCATTTCACACACATTCATTTGGATTTTATACTACTTTTACACTACTACTACTTTATACTACTTTTGGATAGTTTTGGTATAGTTTATGTTGTATATTAATAAACTTGTGACTTTAAAATGCCAATATTAAGATATTTTTTGATGTCATCTTATTTCATTGCCATAATTATTTCCTCATCACAAACAAACCTGGAGATGCGTTTTGTTTCATTCACACGTCCTGCATATTTAAGCTGAGTTCTGTTCCAACTAATGATGTCATGTGGTAATACAGGACGTGCTCCACTGTGTTTTGAAAATGTGAAAGGAACCGTTAACTTGTAAACTACCACTTCATGACATCAGCAAAGTGGAGCAGAGCATTTTCAGCTTTGGAGATATAGAAAGATTAATTATAAAGGGTTACTCAAACATGTGGGAATGAAACAAAACACAACTCCAGGTCTGAATTCAATGAGGTAACAATTATAACACGGCTTAAAACTCAGAAAAATACAGTTTGTGTAATATAGGACCTTTAACAAAATAATTTCACACTACAATCAAGGATTAGAATTGATCTAAATGAGAAAGTCCATTTATAAGTGTATTTTGTTTTGTTTTGCAGGGCTGGTGGAGAGCTCCTTCCAGAGTTTCAGTGAGTTTTATCGTCAGCAGTATCCAGCAGCTTATTTCGGACACTTACAACAGGAGGTGGAGTCAAAGAAACAGGAAAGAGGACTGTTACTGACTCAAAGGGTGAGATAAGGACATGTCAGTCACACCACTGGACACTGTCAGTTCATACTATTGCAAACTAGAAAGGACAGGTCCTATGTGACGCTAAACTGACTCTTGTGAGCTTCAAGCCGTGTTATATTGTTTTTACCTCCTCAAAAACATCACTGGAGTTGTGCTTTGTTTCATTCACACGTTTGACTAATCCTGCATTTTTAGTCTGCATCCCCAAAGCTCAAAATGCTCTGTCCACCTTGTGATGTCATGTAGTGGTAAATTTCAAGTCAACAGATCCTTTTACCTTTTTAGTTCTGTAGAGAGCAGAAATTCCAGGCCTGAAATAATCCAAATGATTCTAGTGAAGGTGAATGGAGTTTAAAAACACAGTGGAGCACTTCCTGTATTAACACGACATCAGAACAGAGTGTTTTCCGTTTGAGAGAAGAACTTCTAAATAAATCTGCAGTGTTTGCATGTTAAACACGTGTGAATGAAACAAAACACAACTATGTTTTTGAGAAGGAAACAACATTGTAACAAATCAGTAAGCAAGATTTTGTCTAAAACCCAGTAATACAAAGACACACATCATGTGGATACTATGTAAAAAAAAAAAAAAAAAAAAAGAAGAAAAAAGTAGCTCCTGAATTTGCATTGTCTGAGAATGTTTTTATTATTTAATATTTCATAAATTTTAGGCACAAACATTTTTAAAGTGAGGGTATCTTATTTCCTGAGAAAGGAGGAAGTACATATTTAAAAGCAGCTTAGTTCCTAAATTTACAAATCCTTTGACACATCATCAGAATTCACACATACATGGGGCAATGAACGGGGGGAGACCACTGACAAACCATCAGCTCTCCACCTAACAGTCATCTAACGAAGCACATGGCTCTGTGTAACAACAGCACTCAGTGTTACAGTTCAGTGTGGACAGAGGAGACAGCGGGGGAGGGAGGGGGGGCTAACCGCTCTGGTGTCTTAGGGCCCAGAATTGGAACCTCTGCCTCTGCGGCCGCAATGGGCCTTCACTGGCTGCACTGTCGAATGCTTCACCATTGCTCTAGAAGGTCTTCTGAGATCTGCAAGATTTGCTGCCACATATGGGGCAAAAAGCCCCTTGCATGTCAAACGCCCATAGCTAACTCCTTAGCTCGGCTCTTGCACAGTCTCCATGGATATGGGAAAAACAAACAGTTCATTTCGCAAAATCCAACAGTCCCTCACTTGTGTCCTTTGAACTGCACATGCAGCACTTTTTAGTTGGTTTAAATCCCATGACAGGGTGTTAAAAACTAAGCTTAAAAAACTAAGTTTCAAAAACAGGTCAGTGTGTGAGGCAGGTAGCACAAAAGCAGCCGATCATCCATTGCCATTGTCCTAAGAGATAACACTATGTCATTTTTGGAAAATAATACTGAATACTGTAATGAAATGTGTTGCTGAAATGTTGTTGTGTCATTCTGCCAGGCACTTCACTTGCATCATATTTCTTTGTCATGATGCTTATCAGGTCATTCAACACAAATATGTATGAAGACACTTTAAGAATGTGTTTGTTGTTTCCAGCCTCGGCCGGATCCTGAAGATGTGCTGTTCCAGGGCAAAGCCAGGTTCTCCTCTTGGGACGACCGCAAAGGCAAAGAGAAATACGTGGTGCTCAAGAAAAACTACAGTGTGGAAATACACGAGAGCCAAGAGGTGACCAGAGTGCAGACAGTTTACAACATGACAGTAAATGACTTGATGCATGTTGTTTGATTAGTGCTACATGGTGATCACACAGCTTTGGTTGTCACGGTGATGTGTTAGCTTTTCTTGCTATGAAAAGGCCTTTTGGCTGTTTTTTTGTTTTATTTTATGGTTTAAGTTGAGATAGGTAGGTAGGTGTGGGAAACATTTGTTACAAGGTGCTCTGCACAACTTTTCTAGTGGAGGGTCACCTACTTACTTGTCTCCATGGAGATGTTATTGCTTTCCCTGGAATGTTTCATGGTATGACATTAAACATATCTACATTTATTCATTACGGGTGTTTCAGTTGCTCGAAAATATCTCATTGTAATAATTTCTTCTGACAATAGGGGCGCCTCTTCACAGCTCTGAATTGTAATGTAGCGTAGTGCTGTAGTGCTCCACTAGAAATGTTACGCAGTATACCTTTAAAGTTACTTTAGCTAGCATTTTCTTCACCTTAACATAATCTTGTTCCTAAACCTCACCAAACTCTAACCTTTGCCACTTGTCTAACACTAACTTCAACCATAACCTGTCTCTAAGTTTAAAATAATGTCTTGTTTTGTATATAGACTTTTCTTCGAGGCGCTGCTGCCAAACTGGTCCTTCAGCCAGTAGGGGGCACTGCACTGATCTCTGAGCATGAAGCCCAAACTCTACTGGACCAAGCGTGTTCTGGAGTTCTCAATGGTGCGTATTTGAAGTACAGTTACAACGTGTGCACTGAGTTCACAAAGACTGGGGTGACAATATTTATTTTACAACAGATACATTTACTTGACGAACATTTTGAAAGGAAAAAAAAGTACTGTTAAGAATACTTTATAATATACACATAAATATAATGACTAAATATGTGCTTGTGTCTGATTATATAGTTATAATCTGTAACACCCGTGGATCATTATATTATAATTTGGACATTTTAAATCACAATAGTGGTCTAAAACGACTTAATAAAAGAAACAAGTCCTCTGACTTCTGCATTGGAAAACCACGGTACTCAATGGGAGCTAACGTCACCATAAACGTCATCACAACAAAGAGCCATGAAGCTGTCTGCTCCTCCAGTGGATATCTGCAGATCACGTCAGCAAGTAGCAGATGTTTGTATCCGCAACGCTGCGGAATCCCACGCCTACCATCGATTAATTAAGAATTCAGATTAAGAAATTAAATTAAGAAAATCAAATTTCAGAATGACAAAAGTACAGAGCAGTGGATGTAAACCGGGGATGGTGAAAATGAGAGTATAGCATCTTGAAACTAAGCTACTACAGATTTTTTAAACATGTACAAATCACTTCAGAACAACTTTGAGTGAGCAAATGGTGAAAGGAAACAACTGTAACACGGTTAAATGCTCCATAAAGTCGATTTTGCATAATGCTTTAATGAAAAAAAAAGACAAAAAAAGTTGGATAATATTGTAATATTTAATACTTTACAATAATTTGGGTGCATCTTTAAACAAAAATGGCCTTCTTTCATTTGCAGTTAGCACACACAGTTTTCAGTAGCTAACTAACTGATCGTTGTTTTTCATTGTCGTCAGGACTGAAGGAGGACTCGTCTGGGGCCAGCTCGTCTCCTGAGGGCTTTGCTGTGCTCTTACACCTGCCTCACACCGCCCTCTACCGCTTCCTGTTTCAAAATGAGAGCGAGCAACATCACTTCCTGTCTGCCCTCCAGTCGTGCATCCGACACCATTGCCTGGGTAACCACAAACATGCACCTACATTGTGTTACGCAAATGCACCAATGAGTTGATCTTTGTTTATAGCAGTTGCTATAGAGATTTAAAAAAAAAGTACTTCCTGTGATCAGAAACAAATTCTTTTACTAATTGGAGTCAATGGCTCTTCTCAGTAACATTAAAAATGAAGGAACATCTTATTTAGAAGATATAGAATAAGTCCAAACCAAAAAGCGCCAATGGTTTAAAGAAAACATATTGTGCTTGTGTCTGTTATATCGTTATAATCTATGATATATATCTATAATGTGGGTCATTATGCTATAATTTGGATGAAAAAATGTGGTGTCCAATGGGTGCCAATACCTCCAATGGATATCTGCAGTTTTGTTTTTTGTTTTTTCAATTTTGGTTCAAAATTATCATAACAACATTGCCAAAACCTGCATGTATCGCAGATTAAGAAAATAAAATTGGAGAATGAAGTAAGTACAGAACAGTGGGCATGTACTAGCACCAGTGAAAACGGGGGTTGAATGGAACAATGACGTCTTGAATATGAAAGTTTAAAGATTACTCAAACATGTGTGAATCACACTAAATATAACTTCGAGAGGGTAAATGGTAAGGGGAAAAGCTCTAAAATGTCAATTTTTGCATCATAGGTCTGCTTGAAAATAAAAACACAGTAAATATGTCCAGTAAATCCGACTGAACTAAAGAATCATTTTATTTTGCTTCCATTGCAGAAAAGACACAGCCTATAATACAGAAAGAAATTGCTCAAAATGAAAAACTATTGGACAAGTTTTCTATGAGACACTTTTATTAAGATTAAAATGTATTATATTTTAACCATAAAATAAATATGGCCTGCTGTTGGGGTTTACATATAATCAGCTTGAACAGGACGTGATCTCAGCCCCACAGCTTTAATGGTGTGATTTTAGATATGTGCTACAAACCACAGCGCTATGCACAATCTGAAAATGAAGGCCTAAAAAATACAAATAATTGAACTGATTACAACCTTGTGCTGTAATGTGCACATATACTGAAGCATCCAAACTACATATTATTTGATTGAGAATAGACTTAAGATAAACCAATTCACTATTTGAGGTTTTGAGAATGAAAATGTTTATGATGAAATCTTCCTGCTTTTCGTATGATCAAAATACTAATGTGGTCATCCAGCTACTTTCTGTTCCTCAGACAGTCATGAAATGAAATGAGTCAAAGGAAATTAGCACATTTTTCAAAAGAACTGACTGAATTTTATGTTGACTAACTACTAATCATGTCAAATGCAGTGTTTTTAAAGAAAGGGTACTATGCAAAATCGATTTCTACCATGTTATAATGTAATTCCCTCATCAAAAACACACCTGAAGTGGTTTTAGTTGTCATCCGTGCATGGTTGAATCATTTAGCAATCTCCCTTGGACCCTATTCGAGCCCTCCTTACGGTTAGCTATAAGATTCTGTCTACGTCCCTCATGCTCCCACACGACTGTTCTCCATAAATATACAAAAACATGACACAAAACTATTCACAACAACTTGACAAACCTGATACAATGTGCAGTAGTTTTATTTGGTTTGATAGCACTCTGATTAGGGAGTGACTTAGCATGGAGAGCAAGAGAGACTCAACTTATAAGGCATGTTAGGGTCATTCCACGCCACCTCTCCGAATGCCCCCGCACAACCATATTAGATTTGACTGAAAAAATTGTAGGAGTTTCACACAAAAAATATTTCGTCAGCTTCCTCCTGACCTGTTTTGAGCAGAGTTTTCCAAGGAACCACTTTCAGATTGCTAAAAAACTATTTAAGGTTGGTCCGTCAAATGTTCAAGGGTTAAAATTTAGCAAATGTACTTGTAGAATCTGGACTTTTACACATGTGCTTTTGATTTATCACAGTTTTCTAGAGGCTTAAATTTGCTCGAAAATTCAACTTTTCAAATGAAGGACTGTGTAAAGTGCAATTTCAAAGACAGAGGTTTGATATTGAACAAACACCTTCCCACACAGGCTGTGAACTTTGTATTTTAGCTAAGAAAACACTTATATTAAATAGTTTTTTAGATACAGCAATCTGAAAGTGGCTTCTTGGAAAACTCTGCTCAAAACAGGTCAGGGGAGAGTTGACAAAATATTTTTTAATGACAAAACTATAAAGAGTTGGGAGCTAAAATTTGGGACTTTTCCTTTTGGAAAGTGTGTGAACCTCCTAGAATTGTTTCAGTCAAATCTGAGCTGGTTGAGCAGGCCATTCGGAGATTTGGTGTGGAATGACCCGTTAATAAGTTGTCTTGAGAGTAAGTTGTCACTGAGTATAGCATTTTTGAAACAGTAAAAAGGTAACATGGTGATCTGTGCCACCTGCTTGTCTCCATGGAGATGCCATTGTTTTGTCTGGAATATTTCACCATATGATATTAAACCTTTTTTATTTTCATGGAGACCAAACCAGACTAAGTTACAAATCATATCTGTGGAGAGGCGATCCTGCTCACAGTCAGAATGTTTGTTTTTCTCTGTGTTTTTGAGCTATAAAACCACCTGTAATTGAATAAATGTAAGGTAGAGCTGTTTAAAGTCATACTGTGGAACATTCCAGGCAGAGCAGTGACATACACAGAAACAAGCAGGTGACAAACTCCCAACCAAAAGTTCCATAGTGCAGCTTTAAGTAAACTTGTCAGGCCATTTACGATGTGGACTCAAGCACACTTACTGTATATTTAGAGTATGTTCTTTCCAAAGATCCATGGTCTGATGCGTCCTACGAGAGCCAAGCCTTCATCCACGCTCTGCGCCTTTACCGACAACAAAAGAACTGCTATGAATGCTGGGAAATACTGCTGGGCTCTGAAGAACAAGTCAGTTTTTGTTATTACCATATCATAACTCATAAGTCACTCACACTCTGGGTTTCCGTTGACCTCTGGTGTGTATTTACAATAACAGGTGCTGGCTGCCCAGTTTATGGAGGAAGTGTTGCCGTGGTTACAGAGCCAGCTACAAAACAAAGTGAAAGGCAAGAAGACAGAGAGGATTCGACTGTGGTTAGCAGTAAGTGACAGGAACCTCTCTATCTCCTGGACTGCAGGCCTGTGTATTGAAATCATATAGAGCTGAGGATAACCTCATCATCACAGCTTAGAATTTTCTGGTAGCGTAAAGGGCCCATATTAATATTACGGTACTTTCTGATTTATGATGTAATGTTGTTTCCTCATCAAAAACAGATCTGGAGTTGTGTTTTGTTTCATTTGCGCATTTTTAACACACAAACTCTGCATATTTAGACTGAGTTCTTCTCTCATACAGAAAACACTCTGTTCCACCTTGTGATGTCATATCATAATAGCGTACAGAAAGTGCAACACTGAATCGAATAAAATATCATATTATGTTAAATAAGTAATAAAACCTTTACTCGAATATTGAATATTGCCACTCTCTACTGAACTAACAAAAGTAACACCAAAGGCTACAATTGAACAAAAGGTAAAAGGAGCTGTTCACTTGAAAACTATCACTTCATGACATCATAAAATGGAGCATAGCATTTTAAGCTTTGAAGATGTGAACAGACTAATGATAAAGGATTACTCAAACATGTGTGAATGAAACAAAACACAAGTCTAGGTCTGTTTTTAAGGTGGTAACAACATTATAACATGGCCTAAAGCTCATAAGAGTCAGTTTTGTGTAAGATAAAACCTTTAATGTTGAACCAATGATGGATAGTAAGATACTGAATATAACATTTTGCATTTAGGGTTTCAGCCCACGTGTCTTTAAAAAGTTGTACATTGGTTTATGTGTCAGCGGACGCTCTTCTATTGATAGCGTTTCCTGTGGTGCAGCTGCAAGTATCTGACACAAAGTACTGCTCATGGTTGTATCTGTCCTAATGGGCTCAATAAAATGAAGCAATACCATTACACAGTAAAACCTGGCACAAGTGGTTTGTGCATGGCTGCACATCACTGACTTCACCACAACTCTGAGGTAACTGCCACATTTAGGTCATTTACCAAGGTATTTTCGTAAAGGAAGGGATGGATTGTTTGTCACAACTCTATTTATGTTTTCAATGAGGAAACAACTTTATTACAGCTCAGAAAATAGGTCCTTTACATTTCTAAATATGACTTATATGTGTCCCAGAGACGAGGTAAACATGTTCAAATCAAATATAGCTTTTACTGATAACAACTGGACTTGGACAAGAAGTTTGTTTTAATTTAGTGTTTGTTTCTCAAGACGATTATTGTATCCAAAACCAGAATGAGCCTCACATGTGTCTTTGATTTGAGTTTCATTTGGGTTCTTAGTTTCAATTAGGGATGTAACAATAACCAAAATATCATAATATTGTATCATCAAAAGTCTCACAATAATATCATGGGCTGTCTCAATATATAGAATCACAAGTTATTTTGCTTAAATGCATAGTTTTATAGTAGCAACAGCTTATAAACATCAGGAACTACATATCCCATGATTCATTTCAGTGCAAACAACATGAAACACAACATGTTTTTGACTTGTATTTTTGGGATTATGACAGGAATGATTCACACCAAAAACTTGTCATGGTATTTTAAAAGCAAATAACTGTCCCATTTTTAATTATTACCCTCTTCAAAATATCATAATAAATATCGTACCGTGAGATGCATATCGTGATAATATCGTACTGTGAGATTTGGATATTGTTACATCCCTAGAATATGACAATAAATGTTGTAGCAAATGACTGGTCAAAGCATAATGTCAGTCTTGTTATTATGTAGAATGTCATAATATCGCGAGCTTTCCCGCGATATCGCAACAAATTTTGTACTGTGAGGTTCATACCATGACAATATCGTATCGTGAGACTTTGATATCGTTACCCTCCTAGTTTCAAAACTGAACAGGAAGGGCTCTCTCTGATCTGAATCCTTGCTACTTAAACCTCATCACCTGCAGCAAGTCATAAACCAATAGCCTCTGCAGCTCTTTGAGAGAATTCTGGAGGTTCTGAGCTTTCACGTGAGGTATACACTGAGAAGGAGAAAAACTGTGTCCTCCGTCTTCAGGTCAAGTTCAGTCGTGATTGTTGTAGCCTACTTTTTCGAAACCAGTATGACCGCGAGCTACATTCTCTGCCTTTAACTGATGGTAGATTATATTCTGAGGTCGACACTTGGTCTGTTTACTTTACATTTTCCCATGTAGTTGTTAAGTTACTCTCTCATCAATCACTGCTCCAAAAATGCACAAGTAGTTAAAGGTTCTGTATTACACAAAATGGATTTGTGTGAGCTTTAAGCCATGTTGCAATGTGGTTACTTCCCCAAAAACAGACCTGGAGTTGTTTTTGGTTCATTCACACATGTTTGAGTAACTCTGCATTATTATTGTCAGCATAATCCACGCTCTTTTGTCGTGTAGTGATCGTTTTCAAATTAACAGCTACCCTTTAACTTTAGTTCAGTAGAAACGGCAAATTCCAAGGCTGAGCTCCTTCAAATGATTCCAGTGAAGGTGCATGGAGTTTTTTTTTTTTTATTTATTAAGGACAACAGAATATAACATTTAAAAAAAAATACAATGATCAACATTTAATAATTACAATAATCAGCTTAAAACAAAAGACAAAAACATATAGCAACACCCACAACAAATACAAAACAACAACAAAAACAAAAAACCCCCATTTCCTTCCGACCACACACACTAACACAAATCTGGCCAAATTAAACAAAAGTAATATGGTAGTGCAACATAAACACACCGCTACATTGACACACTGTGGCCAATTCACAACTGAAATTCCTTTTCTCTCTTTTTCTTCCTTTTTATTTCCTCTCTTTCTCCCTTTTCCCTCTCCCATTTTTAAATAAAAAAAAAGAAAATTGTCCCTATACTTAAACCAGTGTTATTTTCACCATCATCATTTCCTTTCATAATTTTTTGTCATTTATTACATACTCAAATCATAATTTTAAAGGCATTTCCCCCCACCCCCATTTTTAAATACATTTTTAGTCCCTATACTTAAACTAATATTATTTTCACCATCATCATTTTCTCTATTCTTTTTTTGTCTTTTATTACAAACCCAAATCATAACCCAAATCAAAATTAAAGGCACTTTTTTTCTTCACCATTTTTAAATACATTTTTAGTCCCTATAATTAAACCAATATTATTTTCACCATCATCATTTTCCTTCATCATCTTTCACTATTCGTCACAATCTCAAAGCATAATCCTTAAGGCATTTCTTTTTATTTATTTATTTGCATGGAGTTTAAAAACACAGTGGCACTTCTTGTATCACCACATGACGAGGTGCAACAGAGTGTTTTCCGTTTGAGAGAACAACTCAGCGTAAATGTGCAGGGTTTGTGTGTGAAACGTGTGAATGAAACAAAACACAACTCCAGGTCTGTTTGTGATGAGAAACCACATTATAACATAGATCAGAATATATGGGCTCTTTAAATATTCTAGTAGTGTGACATGGGTGGTGTGTGTGTTGTCAGACGGTGCACGCGGCGTACAGCGTGGTGTTGGAGCAGCTGAAGCCCGCTCTGGAGGCTCTAAGGGCGGAGTCTGGAGCGTCTGCCTCAGCCAATCAAGGTCTGGTCAGAGCCAACCTGGACCAGATCACTGCATCTCAGAGCTTTCTACTCGACAAGATCCAAGGTACCACGCAACTACTACGGTGAAAAATGAGTTGCCAATTTAAAACAAAATATAACATCTTCTGAATGGGGAAAAAATCCTCAAAATGAAAAAAACAAAACAAAACAGGAAACTGAATGAAAAGTGTTCATTTTGAGGTCATTTTGTGAAAATTTTAGAAGCAAAAGTAGGAAATTTCAATTCAGTGTGCTCCAAAAAGTACATTTTAACTGCTATTTTATCTCGTTATTTTATCATTGAGAAATTCTGGTTTCCTAAAGCTGGTCACAAACTAGAGGAATTTGATCTGTAACTCAATGTGAATGAAAGAGAATGGGGTCAGTAATTGTAAATAATTGTCTAATTGTGATATTTTATCTTTATCTGATATTATTATCAGAATAGTAACACTAAAATGTAATTTTTTTTAAATCTATTTATTTTCTCAAAATATTTTTTAATTTCTAATTCCTCCACTCAGCCGTACACCAGCAGATGTAGTTCTTGCGCCCTCTGCTGGCATTTTGTTTCAAGACATTTAATAATGAAGCTATTTATCAGAGGTGGGACTTGCAAGTTGTGACTTGGACTCAAGTCAGACTTGAGTCACTGTTTTTAGGACTTGAGACTTGACTTGATAAAGTGGACTAAGACTTGGGACTCCACTTGGACTTGAAGGTCAGTGACTTGGGACTTGACTTGGACTTGTAGCCTGTGATTTGAGAAGACTTAAGAAGCACTTTTAAATCTGAATTCTTTCTATTCTGACTGATTCTGATTCACACTAAGATCTAATCCAGACATTTAAAAAGGAAAAATGAACATTTCTACAACTCTTATATACTCTATAAATACTCATAAATATACTATGATTTTTAAAGTACAATTTAGTTTAAAATTCATATAATTTCCAAAAATCTAAGATATATTTGGAACTTTGGTTTAAAGACTTGAAATGACTTGAAGCTCAAAGCAGACAACTTGGACTTGACTTGGACTTATGGACCAGTGACTTGACACACGACTTGGACTTGCCTGTATTTGACTTGGGACTTGACTTGGACTTGAGGTCAAAGACTTGAGACTTACTTGAAACTTGCAAAACAACGACTTGGTCCAACCTCTGCTATTTATAGTTCCACATGTAATTTTAAGTTAAGGTACAGGCAATACCTAAAATGGGATAAATAATATTCAGTAGCCTTCTGTCAGGTTGACTGAGCTGTAAATGTTGCTGTGTTTTCAGGTTGTGTGAGGGAGGAAGCTGAACGTGTGTGCAGTGAGTTCATTTCTCCATACCTACCCTCAGTCCTGGAGGCTCTGACTGAAAACATCGGGCCGGCCCTCAAAGAGATGAGACAGACTCTACAGGCTCAGATAGACTCTGCTCTGGAAGAGGGAGGAGGAGGAACCCAAGTCACCAAGAAGGTAAGCAAGCATGGATCGAAATGTTCCATACAAGGTGAACGGTGAGGATATGGACATCTGGACGTTCAAGTATAGACCTGTGCGGAGTAGGATTGTCAAAAGGATTGAAAATCTGATAAAAATCAATACTAAAACTAGTATTCAAACTAGATATTCATTTGAGCAGGTACTGATACTAAAAAGTCCCATTCACAGGACAGAAATGAAGCTTTCCTGAATGTCTTTAGAATATGGTAAACACCCATGGACCACTATGCACCCTACCTGGACCACTGAAGGGATTACACACATATAAGGCCACACGGTAAAGAAAGTGTCAGTATAGAAATAGAGTTTGTCACGTACTGACACATACATTATATCTGTACTGGGGCAAGACACTTTAATATTCCCTCATCCATTTTGGTTAATTACTCGTCATTGGAAGCTTTGTCAAAAATCCTCAAGTACTACTACTTCAAAATTATTTTGCTTGAATCACACATGTTAAATACAGTGTGAAATACAATATATTTTTTTATTAATTCAATTAAATTAATTAATATTCCCTGAGTAAATGTAACTGACTTCTATAAATGTTTAGCTTCAGATTTAGTTGAAAAAAGTGCACTATAGTCCTGTTATTAATATTCACAGCAGCAGCTCAGTGCTTTGGTAAAACATGAACATTTAGTGATATTTTGACAGCATATGTTTTTTTCTGCTTCAGGTCTCTTCACTGACTACTACAGGTCTGGAGAAGTGTTACCAACAGGTGGAGAGGCTGAAGGAGGACCTGTCTGGCCTTCGACAGAGATTTGAGCTGAGCAGCACGGAGCGGCTGGTCCTCTGGGCACATCTGGACATGGAGAAGGTACAGTGTACAGTGTGCTCATGCTCACAGCTCTAATAGACCCTTTCCACCTCAGTGAACATGTGCTAAAGTCATCCTGTGCTCCAGCTGCTGGACAGTGCCGTCTACACGTTTGAGCTGTTCCTCCGGACCTCAGCCAGACTGCAGCCGGACCAGTACAGTGTGAAGACAGACCGCGCCAAGGAGAGAGTGCTCAAGGTAAATGCAAAACCAAATGCTATTTAACTATTCACACATGTGTGCAGAGTTTACTCAGTGTTTTTTCAATGATTATGTAACATTTAAATTAGCTTGTACTTTTTTCTTTTATAAGAGTAAAACTACTGCTCCTTTATTGTGATGTGATGGATTACAGTACATTTTAACCAAATGCACCTGGTCCACTCTAGATAAACATAGCTGTCTGAGTTGATCTGGGATGGCTCTCACTGAATGTGTTTGAGAAAAGAACAACACGACTAATATTTGAATATGAACCTGGTCAGAGCGTCACAACAGTGGAACAAGTGGAGAAATTAAACTTGCTATATCCATTTGAGAGAAAAGCACAGCTGTCTTTCCCATCCACAAATGCACAAAATGAAGTACGTCCCTCAGTGACACCAAGTTTGTTTTGGTTCACTTGGGTGCTTTGCCTTTAGCTTCCACCCAAACTACAACACTGCCCCGTGATTGATCTGAATGGTTCACCGGGCAATCGCAACAGCTGGAGCCAGTTCATCTTGCTGGCTAGATTACTAAAAAAGTGTAAGACAAAAGAAAGTTAACTTAATATAAGCCTTTATTTTGTGTGTACCACCATGTTGTGTGCTGAGCAGCAGTTGGACTATGACAGCAGACTGGTGCAGAAGAGACTGTACGAGGAGGCCCTGCTGCAAATCACCCTCCCCACACTGACCCGCAGAGTGGACAGCTCCTGGAAAAATGTGAGGACACAACTAAACACTAAAACAACTGTAACTAAACATTTAAAACAACTGTAATTAACTACTAAACCAACTATATTATGTTAAGAAGTTAAGCCTGATGTAGTCTGTAACGTCGTGTGCTCTGTGCTTCCAGGAGCTGCAGCAGTTTGAACAGTATATCTTTTCAGACTTCAGCAGCTTCCTCCTGGTTCAGAACGTGTACCAAGACGTGCTAACGAACCTCCTCACCCAAGAGATACAAAAAGGTAAATGATGACTGTATTGCTTAAACTTGTGCTTTGTAACTTTTCTGTTGGAGGGTCAGCTGCCAGCTTCTCTCCATGGAGACATTTATCACATGAAACATCCATCTCTATAGAAACAAGTACTTTTTCTAGTCATTTTAGGCCCCATCCACACTAGTACATATTTGAGTGATTTTGGTTGTGGATGCAGTGTTCGTTCACACTAATCTGATTGAAAACGGCTCCAGAGACGGAACGATCTGGTGCCTCCAGCTCCCACGAATTCATCTGAGTACAGATCTGATCTGGCACTGTGTGTTCACCTGAAACCACTGATACACTGATGTAGGTCTATGCACTGCAAAGTAATTCACCGCCAAAACACTAAGAGGCTAGAATATATGTTCATTCATATATACGGTCTGTGTGTACAACCTGCAGACGTATAATCTCTGAAAACTTTAACATGAACCATCTCCAACGTGATAGAAGCACAGAACAGACTCACCATCAGCAGAACACCCCTCTGTCACAGAAAGAACACTCAGATTCCACTGAGTCGTGTCCTTTAGTCCGACAGAAGCTGAACCACATCAGCGCACAATAGTGAGCTGTTTTTTGAGCGCTTAGTTTATGCAAATGAGCCATGTGGTTTTAAGTTTTGTTTCTGTAAAACATAAACAAATATGCTCAAAGCTGTGTGGATAGGGAAGACTTGCGGACACAGAAACGACGTGTCTGGAGTAGGGATGGGCATTCGATGAAATTTTCTTAATCGATCGTCGGAAGAATTAACGATCGATTATCGATTAATCATTAACGTGTTTATATTAAAATGATCATCATTATTATTACTATCTGCACTACTAATCTGCAAAAATAAATTCAACTTTATGACATATAAACCGTAACCACTCTAGAGCCACATCTGCTGTTTGACATTATAATGTGTTTAATTCAGTTTTGTGCAACTCTCACAGAAACGAAACTTAAAACCGCATCGCTAATTTGTAGAAACTAAGCGAAGATAAAACTACAGCTCTTGTGTCGCTGATGCGGTTCAATTTCTGTCGGATTAAAAGACATGACTCAGTGGAATACAGGTTAGTGTGACCAGATTTGCGTTTGTCAAAACCAGGACACCGTACGGGGGGAGGGAGGTGGGGACTCATCATCCACATTGCGTTTCTCTCACCTGGCAAAACTTTTTCCCACTGGACACCGAAACATATGTGCTGCTTTGTACACTGTGCACATGGACTCACACTTGTCCCGAACACAACGGAAAGCGTGGAATTTCTTGTACAAATCATCGTTAAATACACATTTGCGTTGCAGACTGACCGACTGTTTGTGTCTCGCTCCTTCTGAGTGCAGAGACACATGTACAGACCTGTTTGGTCACGCTACACACAAGCAACCTACATTCGGTTTGTCGATTAAAATGAACGTAATCGATGAAATTCTTAATGATCAATTATCGATTAATCGATTAATCATGCCCATCCCTAGTCTGGATGCGGATCGTTTCCGATACGGTGATACAGTGATTCATTTCAGTGTAAACGTGACCTAAGTTATTTTGTCAGGAATCAGGATTAAAACCTTTGGTCTCACACCTGATAACTTTACAACAGTGGCTCGTCAAAACAGGAATCATATCATTTTCTGTATTTTCAAATGCTGTGTATTTGCAGATATTACTCTCAAAAACATAACTTGACTTGTATGTACATTTTGGAAGCCTACAGTTTTAAAAGGATATGTGGCAGTCTTATCATGTGAAGTTGGTTTAATTTTGGATTAAACACCGGTGATGGCAACTCATTTATCTTACTGGGTTTATTTTGATCAGCTTACTCTTTGTACCATTCCCAATCCAGAAGAGTTTTGACAGGAGTGAAAGGGCATCTGAATCGACGCCAACATTGTCCGAATTTTGAACAAATATATATAAAGTAGAGATTCTGAGTACTTTTCCATTTCTGATTTAATGTTATTTTTGTGTTGACTTTTATCTGACATCTTATATCTCAATTGTTTTTGCAGTTCTCCAGGAAGCCATGTCCAAAACCAGCAGCAACCTGTTACTGGACACATCCGACCTGGCCATTAGTCAGTACAGCCTTTTGGGACAGACCTCCATCTCATCCACACCAAGCAATCCAGAACTCCAAGCCTTGGAAGTCCCTCCAACTATTCCCAAAAGTGCTCCAGATTCAGACAAAAATCCAACTGTAGAACCAGAGAGAGAAATTGTTCCACCTGTTATTGTGGTAACCGAGGATACCAACGAAACTCCATCTGATCCCGTCATGGACTTGCTCAAATATGAATCTTCAGACTCGGAATCAGTCAAAATGTGGGAGGAAAATTCCGATAACGATCCACTGGAAGTCCTTGAATCCTTGACAAGTTTCGAAGACGCTCTCGATGAAGTTCCGCAAAACGATACGCCAGAAATTGAAATCGAATTCCAAGTGTGAAGATGTACAAAAGTTACCAGACGATTCCGATGTCAGCCAATCTTTACAGACTACGGAATCACCAAAGTCCGAAGAAGAATTTCCCATGAAAATTACTCTTGAGACTTTGAGTGAAGCTATAGTTTGCGTTGCTACAGAACCATTACAACAACAATCCACCTGATAAAGCTGTCTACATAAAGGGGTCTGTTATGGAAAACTGGAAATGTGAAGAAGAAAAAATAAGCAATGACCACTCACTTCCCGTTGATGGTGCTGTGGGTTCAAAGAAAGAGGAAGCAATTACCAGTAGTGATGAAGTTGTTGAACCAGCTATGGACAAAAATGATGAAAATGTGGCCAAAGAAGAAAAAACTGATAATTTCAGTAATAATACAAATATGGAGGAAGGACTTGTCAGCTCTGAGCCAACAGAAATACAAGAAGAGGATAGTGCTGAGCAGTCGCTGGACAGTGTGGCTGGCATTCGAGACCTGGTCGTTGAGGTAACAGAGGTGGAGGTGATGATAAGTCCATGTCCAGACAACACTGAATAAAACTACCATGTTGTATATTAATAAATAACATTATTGTGAATGTGTATTTCAATCAATGGTAAGAACAATTTTGCTTGGAAAACCTACGATTGTTTTTAAATTGTTGGACAGTTTTGTAATGTTTTTTAATGAAAATAAAGGGTTTTTTTTTTGCATTATGGTCAGATTGTCTTTACTGCTTGAATGAGCTATGTAACTTTGCAACTGTCCTACACAGGTAGTGACTGTAATACATGCATCACGAATTTCGGACTTCCGGTCATCACGCAATGCATACTAGGAAGGATTTTCTGAAAAAGTGAGCATCAAATCGCCATGTTTGTTTTCCCAGTGGGATGTGTCTATTGTCAAAGTCGATCTTTTCAAGTCTTTTGAACCATGTCACTTTTGTTTCTGGTTCTGATATTGTCATATTTTAGTTTTGGGATTCGGACATTGTAATTGTGTGGTTGTTGGATCCTAACAGCGGAAAACGGCTCGAGAAATTTGCTTGCGAACTTCATAACTGCAAAGAGAATCAGATGTGTGTGACTCAAACCTCTGTTCAAACTGTTTCTCTTCCCAACAGAACTGAAAAATAGTGAAAGGTGAAGGCGATGGGCAAGATTGATCCACAGGAAGGACCAAAAAGGAAACATTTGACTGTCTAAATCATCCAGAGTTTGCAGAGAACATTTTGTATGTGGAGCGCCAACAAAACAAAACCCCGGTCCCTCACTCCAGCCTGGTTATGAATTTAAAAAGTCAACGCCAAAGTGAAAGGCACCAGCTGTTCACCAGGAAACACCTTCCACTGCAAAGAGACCAAGACGTGATGTTGCTGTAAAACCACAAGAACAAGAAAGTGTGAGCTCAGTCTGTTTGTCTTCTGCACCTCTCAATTAACAAACGGGATTTTGCTTTTTTGTCGCTCCACATACAAAATGCTGCAAATTCTGGATGATGATGCATCCAACAGTCGGACCAGAGATCATAAAGCATGTCCTTGCACCAGTTGGAGATGGAAGAATCACTCTTGCACTCACCACAAGAACGGTGTTTTCTATTTTTCTCACTAATTCTGTGCAGATTGAAGCCTAAATTACATGATGAAATGCCATAATGTATTCCTCTGATTTTAGAAACGTAATTAATCTGAATACCACAAAATGAAAGAGTATTGGACCAGAATGCAGGTTCTCAAAATGTGTATTATATATATGTGTTCACTTTTTTTCCACAGGCCCCCAGTTACAGCGGCAGGTTTGGGGGCTCCCTGGTCACTTTAGAACCAGGGCTGGTGCAGAAGCTGATGCAGTGGCAGGTGCTTAGACGACCTCATGTTTAGGCACGATTTGAGGAAATGGCGGCAATCTGAAAAAGAAAAAGGTAGAAAAAGGTAGACAAGGTTAGATATACAAAACTTGAACTCGCATTGATTTAAAGTAGGGGGAACATCTGATAAAAAGGTGGATAATTTTCTTAATAACAAAAAAGCACAGTAACTAATGATTGCCAGACTAGAGTTTTAAAAATATTATGTTTAAAGAAAGAAGACAGATTTGAGAGTGCACAATACACTGTCTAAAGTTTTTGAAGTTGAAAGTTGGCCGGTGTACAATATTTATTTAGCTTTTCCACACTACCAGATGTTTTACTCCACTGTCAAATAATTTAACTTGAAATAACTTTAACTCTAAACTACTTCAAACTACTCACATAAAGATGGTAAGAGACAACTGTATATATTCCTTTTTAACAGTGTAAGCCTTTTTCTAAAACCGAAAGTGAAAGTGATGTTTAAGCAGTCTGACATATCTAAATCTTTATAAAAATTTGTCCAAATTACTCAACATAAAGATAGTGGGAAATAAATGTGTATTGCTCTTTCATTTTCCTTTTACAGTGTGAGCTTTTTATCTAGAAAAGTAGTAGATGTTCATTGATCAGTCTGAATTTGAAAGATGTGTACCATGTTTGTTGTGTTCTGTTTTTGTTGGTTGTTTTGTGCAGACCTCTGGAGAGTCCCCTCCTGAAGCAGAGTTTCCCCTCCACACAGTCGCTGGTGGTCAACTGTCTCAGTCTGTGCAGCACCTCGTACAACAGCGCCCCCAGCTGCCACGCACAGGTAGAGTCAGCGTGTTACCAACCCTCTGCGTAGAACTCATACTGAATCATGCCTGAGGAAAAGGAGACCAAAACATAACATCATTATCACAGTGCTTATGTTAAAGGTCCTGTATTAGGCAGATTAGATTCTTGTGAGCTTGAAACCATATTATAATGCTACCTCAACAAAACAGACCTGGAGTTGCGTTTTGTTTCATTTTCACACGTCTGAGTAACAATAATTTATTATTAGTCTGTTTACATTTCCAAAGCTCAAAAGGCTCTGCTCAGCATTTAGTGGTAGTTTTCAAGTTAACAGCCTTTTACCTTTAGTTAAGTCAAGATCGGAAATTCCAGGTTTGAAATCATCCAAATGATTCTAGTGAGAGTGTGTGCACTTTAGAAAGTGGAACACTTTCTGTATTACCACATGACTTCACAACATGGAACAGATTGTTTTTTTGTTTGAGAATATAAGTCAGGTTAAATGTGCAGGATTTGTGTGTTAAACATGTGTGAATGAGTATAGGAGTTTTCAGGGAGGTAGCAAAAGGAAGACAGGAACAGACTGGGAAATGGAGCTGGTCTCTGGGCAATAATACGTCAATGTTGAAGTTACTTGTCTCATTCAAGCTGATCTTAGTTTAACTGACTAGTAATGTGCTTTTTTCACCCTGAAAGTAACTGTTACTTTACCACAGTCATTAAGATCAACAAATTCTTAGTTGTGAGTAAAATAAACTAGCTGAATGCAAATTAACCCTGGTGGTAGATTTGACAGTGTATTGGACTGTTGTGCAGGGCTGTGTAGATCCATCCCAAGTATCAGTATATCAATACAAAATGAGTATTAGTATTGTATAGATACCATAGACCAGGAGCGTCAAACTCAGATTCACAGAGGCCAAAATTAAAAACTGGGACTAAGTCGTGGGACAAACTAAATATTTATTGAAAAATTTCAACAACATCTACATGTTTTCTCTTCTTTCGAGATATGTAATGTTAAACCTTTTCTTATTCAAATAAATGGTTAATAATAGTTTTACTAAAACAATAATTCCAGAACAAGCGTAATATAAAATAATAACAACATTTTAAATAAATAATGTCTCTATAGTCTATCTGTAACCGGTGGGCAGCTCTAATACAGATTTGATACGATCTCACGGGCCAAATATAATTATATTGTGGGACAAATTTAGCCCCCAGGCCTGAGTTTAAAATGTCTGGCTTAGAATTTGCCTGGACAACATAAAATGAAGGACAGTGCTATTAGCTACATTTCCAGCTGTTGTTATTCTTATGACTTTTAGGACAATGATTCACTGTGTGGTCCCAAAGGCCTTCTCCACAGATGTATCACCGCTGCTGGTGCTTGTGGACGGTTCCCTCTTTTTTGTGGTGTGGGTCTGGGTCTTCTTTTTTGGAGCTGGACCTGAAGAAGTCTCATCAGCCTTCCTCTTCTTCCCACGGACAGCATGGACATGTGACCTACCTGTTAGCTGTAAGTAGAACATTTTGTAAAACATAAATAAACCCACATCAAGCAAAATACAAAAGGTGCTACATCAAAAATTTAAGGAAGATTAGGAGAGTTGGGTTCCTTGTTAAAGACGATATATTGTGCTTGGGTTTGCTGTATAGTTGTAATCGTCATGTTATGTAGCTGTCGGCCCTTCCTATGGATACTACATCACGCTAACGAGCTGCATTCTTTTCATTTGTTCCAAAATGACAACACAACATTGCAGAATCCCACATGTGTCACAGATTAAGAAAATTTTAAGTTAGTATAGAGAGAGCAGTGCTTGTATGCCAGTGAGGGCATACAAGCACTGATCGATTGCTTATTTTCATTTTTGGCGTCTTGAAAATAAGCAATTGCTCAGACATGCACACATCAGTCCAAATACAGCAACTATAATATGGTTAAAAGCTCTGAAAAGTTGATTTTGCATAATAGGTCTGCCTTAATAGTTTATATTCCCAAAGCATAAACACAAACACCACCATCTATGATAAAGCTTTGGTGTGTTTCAGATGTTCCGTGTTTCCATTTTAGTACAGTACATGAGTATAGTAAAGTCTAGAGAGTTTTGGGTTGTGGATGAACTTGGCTCTGTGGATGACCCCTCTTCCTCCTCCTCCTCTTCATGCTGCTGGACACCTCCTCACTGCTGCTGGACGCTGTGTGAGACAACAGAAAAACTCTATTTAAAACAAATATGGGTACAGTTTTATAGCATACTGATTATGATTTTCCATTTGATTTGTCTTATTAAACTTATAAATGTCTTTCAATATTATTTTCATGAACATAAACATGCAGACTTTTAATTAGTGCCATTTAAGACAAAGAGAGAGAAGAGGAAAGTCAAATTTCTTCTTACAAAATCTGAACTCTGCTCCAAACCACATGATTTTCCTGACTGAGGATTGACTGTAGACTTCTCCATTACAACAACACAAACTGATGATTGACCATTAGAATTACTTTCAATCTTGATTCCACAGTCCTGGATTCAATTATCAATTACCAGGTCATGAGACTTATTGAATTGTCAAAGGTGCTTCACAATTTTTATTAAATAAGAAATAACCAAAATTTCACAATAAAAGACTTAAAACATACACAAACTGTAAGCATAATAGTGTTGGTTTTGGTCAACAATTCCAGTTTGCAATGATGGTCCTGTAGCCAAATAAAGGTTATTTTTGAAAATAATATTGGAAGACAGAAATGAACCTGTTTGAAGATTGTACTGTAGCCTTCAAATGCATTTACCATACTAAACACATTTTTGATCAACATGAGCCAAATAAACATTCATAAAGTCACAATAGCAGATTAAAAACATATTCAATAAGGTAAATACATCTCCTACTGTATTATCTTTATAGCCAAATAAACATTCAAAAATGCATTATGTAACTTTTTGGTTCCACAGATCTGACCTGTAACTTGGTCTGGTTTTGTTTCCTTGCAGATAGAAAAGTTTAATACCATACTGTGAAACATCCCAGATAAAGCAATAACATCTCCATGGAGAAAAGTATTTGACAGACTCTCCACCAGAATACTTACACATCATTAGTTCATTTGTTTTTCAAAATAAAACCAAAAGTAAGAAAATGAAAAAAAAAAACTACTAACTATTTTCTTCATTATTTGTCTCCAAAACCAAAATTGAAAAAATTGGATAACAATTCATTCTTTCAATTTTTGATTTTGTGTTTAAACGTGTAATGGAAAAAGCGGATATAGTTCAGTCCTGTTTGGTTCAGTCCTGTTTGGTTCAGTCCTGTTTGGTTCAGTCCTGGTTCAATATGCAGCGCAAAGTCTGTCATGCATGTTTTTATTATAGATCCCTGGTCAAAATTGGAAGAAATGGGAAATGGCCGTTAGGCAAAAAATGAAGAAAATAGCTGTTTTGTTGTTTTCTTCCTTTTGGTTTTAATTTGAAAAGTGAATGAACGAATGATACACGGATTCTTTAGATAAGTAAAACAACTCTTTGCCCCTAGGTTACATGAACCACAGTTTGAGCAACACTGCTTTATGACATTTGTCCTAAAATCAGAGTAACCAACAAATAGTCCAGTCTCCAGTGCTGGTACTGCAGCCTTGAAATGTTCATTTTGGTGAAACCTGTTTTACCTGTGTTGGTGTCAGATGATGCAGAGGAACTGGACCTGCGTGTTCAGCCCATGTTTAGGACCAAACCAGTTCAGAGAAAACCCAGAGAGCCGAGAGGTGCTCAACACCTGCAGCTTCTGCCTGCAGCTTGGTACAGACTGACCACTTGTTCTGAAGGTCAAGGGACTCAAACTTGCACTTTTAGAATGTGACATCACACACCATGGTGACGGCCAGAGCCTGGAGGGTGTCATGACCGTATTTGGAAGTCCATTTGATTCTGGGGAGAAATAATAGTTTAATGAACAAGCAGCAAATTGGGCATTAATGGTAAGGATAATTAATGGTGACTGTAGAATTCATGCATGTTGATTTTGCTAGTCGAACTGTAGATACATTTTTCTACCACATGATCAAATCAACTAGGCAACTGCAAGTAACCAAGGATTTTTTACACAATAAATAATTTGCTTTATTAAATGGCAACAAAGGTAGGTAGGGAGTATTTTTCAGACTTACTAACAACTAAAATGCCACAAACAAAAAAATATGATGAAATCTGATGATGCTTGGAATAAAGAAATATATATGCAAACATCAAAATACAGAAAAAAAACCTGACTAAACCTGACTAAAAGTTGGGCAGAAACTTTTAATATGATAGGCCTACTGTTACCCCAGATAAAACTATAAGATCACGTGGTAATATAAAAGAAAGAACTATTATTTAATGTTGAAATATAGTTTTTATTGTCTAAATTAAAAAAAATTTTGTGGTTCAGTATCGAGTTTATGACAACACTAGTACACACTAGGAACACAAAAAATGTCTGGATGTCTTCTCCGGCTCTGACAGTAGGCGGAGTGCTGGCGGTGGGTTAGCCCGGGGTGAAGCTGCAGTAAGACGGATTCCACCACTAGAGTTCTCCCCTGTATTGGTCCCTATCCACTCCACCTCCACTACGGCACTGTTTACCTCCAGCGCTGTGCTACTTAACTGGGGCCAGCCTGGAACACAGACAGCCCCATCTCTTGTCTATAACCTGCCGCAAAATACTAATGTAAGGAGCTCCGACTTGGACCCTCCGCAGCGCCGTGTGTTGGTGCCACTGTGCCCGAGGTGAGTGGCTCCGTCTCCCGCGGCGGCAAATGTCAAAACCGCGCGAGCTCCGGGGACCCCGCTGCGGCTGCTTAGCTTGACAGTTAGCTTAGCATGTAGCTTAGCATGTAGCTTAGCCGCTCGCCCCAGAAGCTGCCTTGTCTTTACCCCGTGATGGAGGATTGTGAACATGGCGCCCTCCAAAACAAACGAACAATCACTTAGCTCATGATAGTTTTATATTTTATGGCAACATATTACGCTGTTCTTTTAGTTTAAATTGTACTAGTGTTTTGTTAGAGTCTATGTTATTGACAAGTTTGACAAGTCTGGCTCTGATGCTATAATGCCTTTGGATACATGTTGCAACCATTTACTAGCACCGAAAAGCCAAACTCGCCAGCAATATAACCCCTTATAATGGCAAATTCCACGTTTATCAAGGAATTATAAAGTGTCCCATAATTATTACCATGACAATTTTGAGTTAACTAGCCAGGTTTATGTGAAGGCAAGTCTTTTATTATTCGCACCGAAGTTAGCAAAGCAGCCTAGCAGCTAACCAGACAGCTAACCCAGTTGTGGCCCCTTAAGTCTTTGTTGTCATTATTACTTTGACATGTCATATTTGTATACTATCTGATCTGCTGCGTGCCAAGTTGTAGTTAAAGTGTAAGCTCGTGTTTTTTTTTTACGCCATGGAAGCTGTAAAACGCAGTAGCCCCTGGTCATTGCCCCAGCCCACAGACAGCAGCGTGTGGATGTGTGTGTTTTTATCTTTTGCGCCAAACGTGAGCAAGCCAATTATCCAAACAATCGAGTGACAACATCACCGCTGCTCAGTATCTGCAGTCTGATATCGCAACATTTTAGAAATATCTTAGGATTGCATAAATACTAGTTTAAAGTGGAGTATCCGTGGATTTGCAAAAGACATCAAAACTCAAAATACAACAAAGCTTCAAACTAGGAGGGAGTTCATGAAAGAATAATGTAAGAATTTTGTCAGAGTTTAGGTGGCTGTAGTTACTATAGACTGTGTATGGTAGTTACTTCCATACTGTCTAATTGAGTTAGTGGTGACAGGAATAGATCTAAGTGAATGTGGCAGCTGTCATGCTACGATTGTCACTACATTGTTTTGTAATGTGTTTGCAATAACTTTGTTGCATTGTATTATTTTAAGATAATTTTTATACTGCTTTGATGGAAATGGCATGACTGTAAGTCACGGATTAGCAGGTTAGCTGGTTACTATATTTAAAAGAAAGGGTATAAACAACGTGCACATTCTTGAACTATCCAGTAAGCTTAAAAGTGCGCGTTGATGGATCGAACAGTAGCAACAGGGTAATTTGACTGGATGTTCACTTTCTTCACCATATTCAAGCAGTTTTTGAATCCAAAACTAACATTCTAGTGCATAGGAATAAATTTAAACTTTAGAATTATTTGTACCAAACTCTAATGCCAAAAGCTAAAACATTCCATACATACTCCTGTCACAGTAATTAATTATTATAGTGATTTATCATTCAATAAGTTGAACAATAACTTTGAAGGATTTTGAATATTTATCTGGAGTACTTTTTTGTAGTACTAGTAGGTAGATTTTTGTTATTTTTCTGTACTATGATAAGGCTTGAGCTGTAAAGTAGGGCTGCATGGTTCTGGAACAATATCTAATAAATTTTTCTTACTAGCATGTGATTGATTTGATTTCAAAGTTTACATTTCACATCCAACAAAATGACAAAATGACTGAAATATGAACTGAGAAACTAATACAAGAATTACAGAACATGTTTGTAGAGAACTACAGATCTAAACTACAGGGCAATTTTTATGCAGAATAAGACTGAAGGTATTTTGTTGTTTGTGGAGGAAATTATGGTACTTCTAAAATGATACCGGCCTTTGCAATTTGCTAAATGTGTCTATTCAAGTTGCAATTTTGATTCAATTACAATTAATCTTGCCGCCCAAACCCACACAGCATCTTCAAAGTTTCAAAATTCTTCTACATAACTAGCTATTGATTAAAGTGACAACATAAGTTTCACGGAGGATTTTGCTGAAGACCACATAAAATAGGATTTAAAATTCTTAAGATATTTTGGGATCCTGCTCTTTAAGGTGGCATTTGGCTTTGAACATCAGAGTTGTCCTTGTCTGATCCTTTATGACATTTTAAGCTTTGATCACTTGGATATTTCTTACCATGTTGAGTGTGGATTTTTTTATGACACTTTTTACACAGCACATTATCGGTGTTCTAATTTGGAAGTGTGAAGAACAGTCTTTTAAATCTGTAGTGCAAATTGTGGTGATTTGGTGATTTTGGTTTATATTTTAATTTTTTGTTTAAAAACTGAAAATTTTCTGTTAGGGCTGTAAAATTAATCGTAATCAAATCGAAATCACAGTTTGAATAGGTGCAATAAGCAAATCACAATTATTTAACCACTATAATTTCCTTGATAAACAACAAAATATCTAGTCTTATTGTGCATAAAAACTGCTCCTAACCCTGTAGTTTATATCTGTATAAACATGTTCTGAAATGTGATTCTTGTATTAGTTTGTCAGTTCATAGTTCCGTCTTTTTGTCAGTTCTTCTAGATGTGTTTAAAAATGTGATCTTTGAACAGAAACTTTTTATTAAAACACAAATCATAAATCTAACCTAATCACAAAGCTTGTCAAGAAAAAAAATGCATTGGATATTTTTCCAGAATCATGCAGACCTATTTTCTGGCTCCAGATTTATTTCATTAAACCAAATTGTAAAATGTGTGCAGCCCAAATGAGACTTTTTTTTTTTTTTTTTTACTCAGATGAAGCTAAAATTAACAAGTCTAATTATGACACTTGCAGGATTGTGTCAGGGTAAAATTAATTGCCGATTGTAATGTGCAAGTGCAAATGTAAGTGCAACTTTATTTATAAAGCACTTTAAAAAAAATAACAGGGCTGCTAACAACAGAGTGCTACAGAACATAATTAAAACTAATAAAAACAATAAAACAATATGAATAAAAACTGAAAATAATAAAAAACAATCAACATCTCAAACTGATTCTAAGGCCAATGCGAACAAGTGTTTTTGATTGTATTACTTTTAAATGTTTGATAATTTCTCTTTGCTTTTGTTGCAGTTGAGATGAATAAAGAAATCATGTCTCGTGTGGTGAAGAGGCGGCAGGCGGACCCCAAAGTGGTCCAGTACGTGTGGGCCGCCATCGAGGTCATCCGCAACCAGAAGCAGATCGCAAACATGGATCGCATCTCCAAGTAAGTCTGTCAGCATTTCTAACAGATTTCATTTAGCTATGTTCATGTACTGTATATATTTTCACCATTTATGATTCAAAAAGAGTTTTAGTCATTTCCATGATTGATTGTGATGGTTGATGGTGTCTCCGTCAACCCACATTTGTATTCTTTAAATTTCCATTATAAGAATTTACCGCATTTTTCAGACTGTAAGTCACTCCTAAATATAAGTTGCACCAGGTAAAAAATGCATAATGAAGAAGAAAAAAACATCTCACCAGGCTATAAGTTGCACTTTTTGGGGGAAATTTATTTTGTAAAATCAGAGGAACCAAAATTTCATTTGAAAAGTCAAGTTCTAGTAATAACAATAGAACAGAGAACAACAGACTGTTAATATGATCCATATGTACATATGAACAGTTCTTCAGATAACTATAACATAAAAAACAGAACAGAACAAACTTATCAAATTATCTCACTCTAAATCACTAAATCCATTGAATTCTTCATCCTCTGTGTCACTTCTGAGCAACTCAGCCTCGATCTCCAGAAGTAAACAGAGCACTACTTCCGCTTCTGTGTAGCAATCGTCAGACTCAGCATCAGTTCCAGTTAGAATTATTCGGGCCTTTCTGAATCCTAACAGGATGGTTTCAGTGTCACTGAAATCCAGGCTTTGTCGATCCATCCAGTGACTTCCAGGAAAGTTGCATGGCGCACCCTTCCAGTTGTCACAAGTTTCTTGGTCACTCAAAAAATTCTTTCTGCTTTTTGATTACCATTTTCGGCTGTATATTTTGCTACTTGCAGTTTATAATCTGCAAAATCTGATTTTCTTTTTGGGGGCATTTGTGTTCAGTCTTCTCAGTCGTCTTTATAAGTTTGTTTAAATTTTAAGATTTCACTGGTACAGAAGTAATGGTGCGATCGACTGACATATATAAGGTGCACCGGAGTATAAGTCGCAGGAAACACCCAAACCATGAAAAAAAGTGTGATTTATAGTCTGAAAAATATGATAAGCAGAACTGTAGTAGTCCGAGTAGTAGTCTGTATAAATAGTTGTTTTTGTATGAACCTCCGTGCAGGTGTAGTCTTGTGAGTGCAGTTTGAGTCAGATACACAGAGATATTAAGTTTTGAGAGGTTTTGATACGCCTCATTTGTCAGTTAATCCACCGGCAGGACATGTCATTGATTAAATGCCTAGAACAAACACTAAAACTGGGGTAGTTTACCTTGCTAACTTTACAATTTGTAGAGTCCTGAAAATGTCAGTGTTAATATGTTAAAGATGCACTAAATAACTTTTTGTTGGGGATCTGAAACCTGCTTGTCTCCGTGTAAATGATATTGCTCTGTCAAGAATGTTCCACAGAATGGCATTAAACTTACATTTCTTCATGAAAACAAGCAGGTGACGCCACCAGGCCAGATCTTTGGAGATGGGAGTCCACTCACAGAAAAATGCATGCAACAAAACACCTGTAACTGAATAAATGTTAGATGGATAAGTTTAATGCCATACTGTGGAAAATTCCAGGTAAAGCAATATCATCAAACAGGTGTCCAATCTCCACCAGAAAAGTTACACAGTGCACCTTGAATTTTAAAATGGTTTCTTGGAGCAAACTTTGTAACAACAACTTTATTCATTAATATGTCTCTAGTTACCCAACAGACCATTTAAAAGTTTTCCAAATTATTTTGTTGTGTTTCTCTCACTGAAGTTTTTAACTGCACCTAATTTCCACCTGAGATTTGTCATTACAAGTTGTTACACGGTAGCATGAGATTAGTCCTGTAAACCAGTGTGTTAATTTCAGTATAAAAGCCTGAAGTGATGGTTTCTGTCTTCATGTCATTTGTAATTACAGCAGCTGATAAATCTTCCCCCCAAAAACAGCACAAGTTCTTACACGAGGTGGATACAGACAGTTCTTCTGTAGAGCTGGACCTGAGGGCAGAGAATCCAGCGCTAAACCAGACCTGTCAACACTTGAACACACACAGGCCAAATTGTGGTGTCTTTTTACAGTTTTTTTTAAATAATATTTTTAGTAATGATATTTTTATAACATATATGTAGATTTTGTTTTTGATTATTGGATCTGCTCTTATTTCATGTACTTCTTAACATTTTTACTTAGTAACGTTGAAGGAAACACAACTAAAATAATGAATACAGCCTCATGTTTGCCAAAAAAGTTGTAAACTGTCGAAATTCTTTTAATTAAAGTTGACTCAAGACAGACTTTTAGCTAGACTATGTCACAGGACAAACTACATATTTTGCCAAAGATTACACCTAATAGAATTTAACACAAAAACACAATTTTAAACATTAAAATGAGTTTGGCCAAAAGTCAGTACTCTAGGCAGATTAAAGGTGCAATATGGAACTTTTCTTGTGAGTTGTCTACCTAGGGCTGTCGCGATTATGGACTTTCTCCTGCGGTGCGGTATGCAATGATATCGTACCCCCTCCCCCACCCCACATCCCCTGGAGTTATAATATTTCCAGCTGTTCTGAAAACTTTCTCTGATGATGCACTTGTTGCGCAGATGCACATGTACCTTGGTTGTTGTATGGATATAGTGTGTGTAGTGTGGCAGAAGTAACATTTGGCTTTGGAACAAGTGTTGCTGCGTCTCTCCAGCTCTCACTGTGACAGCTCGGGTCAGAGTCCTGCACCAGGTCGGGTACCTGCGGACTTAAGAGAGCGAGCTCCTAGCATGAGGACGCAGAGCAGGTGTCCGCAAAGCGCAATCAGGCGACTGCTGCATTTACATCCGTGCGGCGCGGAGCTCTACGCTGGTCCTTTCACTTGCGGTCACCAGACTGTGTACGTGGGTTAATCTTGGGTTATCATGGGCACGGGCGGTAACGGGTGGAATGTTAACGGGTCCAGGCGGTTATAGATCTCTAAAAATGCACCCGTGTAGGACTCTGAGTCGGGTCACGTTGGTCAGGTGCGGTGATCGCAGTGGCCCAACATGCACCGCGGTGGGCCTCTTAGTACCATGGTGATTAATTTTTGCAGTTATTGCGACAGCCCTATGTCTATCACTTGCTAGTCTCCATGGTGTTGCTTTGTTTTGGAATTTTCCACAGTATGGACTTTAAACCTGTCTGTCTTCCACTTAATTATTTGTTTTTATTGTATAAAATGCCTTGAAGAAAGGAAAAGCTTTTACCTTACCAGGTCTTAGTGGACATGTCTAACAGATGTCTGACTGACCTACTTGTCTCCATGGAGATAAGTCAGTTTAAGGCTGTACTGTGGAACTTGTAGGCAAAACCATGGCACCTTCTGAAATAGTTTAATAAAAGTGTTGTTGAATTGAGAACACAGACAACTTCCATTCGCCTCTGGTGTTTGGTTATGAATATGAACCACCTAATTGTTGCACAAATGTTTCCCACTCGGAGCGTTTGTCTCATTCACTCCCATTATACCGCAGCACTAAGCGTCTGAAATGCCCGTGCTGATGAACTGAGTGCAGATCTGCGCCTGATGACAGATCTCTCATTCACCCAGCGCCACAAGACTAAACGAAACACTTCACACGTCCTGTACGAGCAGCCGGAGCACCTCGGGAGCTGGCGCCGCTCCAAGTCCGCCCTGGCTGTCGTCATGGCAACACAAAGCGGCAACACGCGCCCTCCCCCTCCATCGTCCCACCGCAGCTTTATTTCCCCAAACCGCTGTTGTGGATGAGTGCCTGTTGACATTGGAGTGAACAGTGAATATTATTCAAGGTCCCTTTGCAAATCTGAGTTACTTATTGATGTGGACTCACAAAACGCTCATTCATTTAAAGAGGAAGGTGGAGGGGATGGGCTGGATATTTTAGATATACAAAAGGCTGATTATTTTAGAGCTGGCTAAAACTGAGGTTATTGACACTGTGTTATATTTATGTCTGGGAAATTAGACATGTTGTGAGATAGTATATTGACCCCGGGGTGAACATATCGCTATAGGATTTTGACTCCCCTTAATTTTTCTTTAGTAGTTATCTAATCAATATTTCTCATGTCATTTACTTTTATTATATATTGCTACATATTCACTTTCTTTTAAGGTATTTTAAGGAATGTTTTGATGGAGAACAACTTGGTATTTTGTGTAAATGTAACGTATTGTTCAAATTGCATATACATAGTAACCTTGTCACTTTTAATATTGTATTTTACATTGTTATGGTTTTTTGTTTATGTTCAGATAATCCTTCATCATAATGTCAATGTAGGCAATGGTTTATAAGAATAATGACCTTGAATTTAGTCATGTTGTGTTATAATAAACATATTGGGGGGTCAGTTTACTGTAGTCATAGGATTTTGACTTCCTTTATAAATAATAGATCATTGTCAATATTCAGCTAACATTATTTCTTACTTTACATCATCATAACTATAATAAACATAGTAGGGGGTCAGATTACTATAGCCATAGGTATCTCCTATTTAACTACTCAATAGATCAGCCCTGTCTATTTGAACAAGATTCCAAATCATTAAATATCACTTTGATTACCTAAATAATTAATAACTACTTATTTCATTTTCAGTAAAATATGTTTAAACAACTAAGTAATTTTTAACATTCAAAAGTTATAATTGACATAAAAAATGCATCTGAGTTCTTCAAAAAACACTTTTAAATATGTCAGTGTGTTTTAATTTGCAGATATAGTATTAATATTCAACATTTTTCTACAGAATTTATTAATAAAATATAGATTTTCATGGGGGGGGGTCAATATTCTATAGGGGGTCAACATACCATAATAGGATTCTGACCCCGGGGTCAAAATATTATATGTTATGTTAACCTCGGGGTCACCACACCGTGGGGTCAAAATCCTAAACCACAGTGGCAACATTTGTACAACATGCAGGAGCTTGATAAGTTTAATCTAGTAAAAAGATGTGATTATCTCATGAAATATTACAAATTGTATTCTAAATGAAAAAGACTACATGTATTAAAGGTGCACTATGTAACTTTTTGGTTGGAGGGCCATCACGTGCCTGTTCATATGGATATGCCATTGCTCTGCCTGGAATGTTCCACAGTGTGACATTAAACAGACCTGACATTTATTCAATTACAGGTTTTAATGATCAAAAATACCTTGAAAAACAGGCATTCTGACAGTGAGCAGTGGTCGCCTCTCCACAGATCTGACCTGTCACTTGGTCTGGTTTGGTCTCCCTGAACATAGAAAGGTTTAATGCTGTACTGTGAAACATTTCAGGCAAAGCAATAAGCATAGCATCTGCGTGGAGACCAGCATTTGACGGACCCTCCACCAGAAAAGTTACACAGTGCACCTTTAAACATAGATAGTTGGCTTGTTTATGGTGCGTACATAGACTTATATAGGCTATGGTTGAATACTAGACTGTTATTGGCAGTGCAGTGCTTTGATTGTGATAAAACGTCTCATTATTTAGACTTCAACAATGTTCTGGCCTGAAAGCTTCGGGGACAAATCTTTTCCGAAAATGAATCTGAATTCTGTTGGAGTAGTGTAACAAAAAAGCAGAGAAGTACCTAGACCATGATCCTTTGTTCGTTTCATAGCAATAGCAATAGGAAATATGATAAAGCAGTAAAAGCTTTGAGGACATGTTGAAAATAAAACATTTTTCTGTTAGTGACATTCATTCCCACAATATTAGGATCAGCATTGCACTGTGTGGTTAGTACAGGACTAATACAATATAGTAGTGCTGTCATAATACTAACATTTCTAATCTGATTTCAATACTAAGGAACAGACTTGATACTCACAATGATACAACACTCTCTATTTAGACAATAGAATGTGATTTTCAACATTAAATAACATCATTTATATTCCCATGTGTCTTATGTGTGTAATCCTCAGTGGTGCAGTAGGTTCATAGTGTCCATGGGCGTGTACTAGTCTATGTGCTCTTCTACTTACTCTGATACAGCTCAAAATCATTCTAAAGACATCCAGGAAAAGTTCATTTCTGACCTGTGAATGACACTTTTTTAGTATCAATATCTGCTCTAATGAGTTTCTAGTTTAAATACTTGCTTGGCTGTTGATTTAGTATCTGATTTTTGATACTTTTGACAACCTTAAATTCTAAAAAGCTGCACTTGTGGTGGCATGCACAGCTTTTGGTGGCATGCACAGGTGAAGAACAGAACACTAGGACTTTAGAACTGTGCGGTGCTCAAGCAAGAGTGTGTAGGGTTCTATGGCTGCACTCGCACTTGCTCATCCAAACCGGGCCACGACCTGACGTCATCACATGGCGCTGTTTGTTTACATGTGCTAAAGTTTTTAGTGGAGGAAAAAAGTGCCAGAATTATCTATAAAAGAGCGAGACAGATGTGCGTCGTTTTATGATACTCGCTCCTCCGTGAGTTTATGGAGATAAAAACAGCACGGAGCAGTGATGACAGCCAGCGACTGGAGGCAGCTAAACTTCTGTCAGTCCTTACAGAAGGTGAGCGCAGGTTTGTCGTGTGTTTATGGAGCAGATTTTATTCACTGTTTTCCTCATATGAGTAACATCAGCGCACCCACAGGGCTTGTATAGTAAAGTTGTGCGTGTGCGCGTACATGAGCCGCCGTGCTTTGGCCCACCTCCTCCAATCGCCCCGAAGTCTCATTCGTGCCGTGCCTGAGCATGGTTCGATCGCGCTTATGGTGTTTTAGGGATGATCTGTGCTTGGACACAGTTCTAAAGTCCGTAGTGTGAGTGCAGCATTAGCCTGTGTTTGTGGTGTCTGGAGTCTGCTCTCAGACTGAGCTCGTGCCCTGACCTGTGTCCCTGCCGCAGGTGTGATCTCTCCCCCCTCCTCTCTCTACTCTTCTTTCCTCTCTCCTCTGTCTTGTTTCTCTCTCTTCCCTCTCCCCTGTTCATCTCCTCTCTTCCCCTCTTTCTCTCCTCTCTCCTCCCTTTCTCCTCTCTTGACCCTTTCTCTCGCTTTTCTCTCTCTTCTCTTTTGCTCCTCTTTCTCTCTTTTCTCTCTCCTCTCCTGTCTCCTTTCTCTCTCCTGCCTCACGTCTTCTTCTCCTCTCTCTCACCTCTCTTTCCTCTCTCTTCCCTTTCTCTCCTCCCTCTCCCCTCTTTCCCCTCTCTTCTCTTTACCCCCCCCTCCTGCCTCTTTCCCCCCTCTCCCGCCTCTTTCTCCCTCTCTCTCCTCTCTTTCCCCCTCTTTCCCCCCTCTCTCCTGCCCCCCTGTGTGTAGAGTCTGGAGCTTCTCCACCTGACAGCAGAACCACAGGCTGCTGCTGGAAACATGCCCAGGGAACATGGGGACACATTACAGAGGCGCACACTCCAACCTTTATGTTTGTGCTTCTTTATTTACTCCCACTGAATACACAGGCCTGTCATGATCAGTATATATACCTGTGTATAATATATGAAGCTGGAACAATTTGTTTTGGGGGTCAGTATTTATCATGTGTACATTTTTTTTCATAATTGAATGGGTTTGACTTTGGTCATTTCTACCCAAATGGCAACAAACAGGAGCCTTAGCTGTATTTCACTGCAAATCCATCAGAGAGAGTTGTAGTCACATTTTGCCCAGTGCCCCTTCACATTTAAGTGCTCAAATGAAGCTAAAGGTCTTTTTAGTCAGGTGGTCATCCAAACAACATATGTTGGAGATTGAAGGTCGACAGGCCATGTGCTACAAAGTGCAAGGCCCAAATCTACACACAATTCCTTACTTGTAAGAAAAATCTTTTTTTTTTTCTAGCTTCTCTAGATCTATTCAGTATCTATTAACAACATACAACAAGAACATTTCGAAAGCAGTTTTCTTCTCCTTTGTACTAGAGCTGCGTGGTATGAGAAAAAGGTGTGAGATTCGATAACTGTGTTGGAATAATATTATTCTAATATTTAAATATATATTTTGGCACAATAAGTTCAGTGAATTTAAAACACAAAATGCACATCCATCCCTTCATTAACTAGTCCAACTGTGTCAAAATAAAATCTTAAAGACAAAACCAAGACAACCAAGGCAAATAAGTAAGGACAATCATGACTTTAAAAAACAGTTCTTTTCTGAAGAATGGGGAACTTTGTGTTGTTGCAATATATTTATTTTCTTGCAATATCATTTATTGCATGAGCTTATATTGCGATATCGATATTTTCACCATATTTTGCCCAGCTTTAAGTTCTACCCTTTATTTCTTCTTCTTTTGTGTTTAGGTATTTGAGTCGTGTGTTTGGGATGCACCCAAAGGAGACTGCCCGTCAGCTCAGCCTGGCGGTGAAGGACGGGCTGGTGGTGGAGACCCTCACTGTGGGCTGCAAGGGCTCCAAGGCGGGCATCGAACAAGAGGGGTACTGGCTGCCCGGGGACGAGATGGTAAGACCGCTGTCACCATTTGACACACAAAATACACAATTCACAAAATACACAAAATACATCTGATGATTAAAAAAACACTTGGTGACATGTAGGGCTGCAGGTCCTATCTGTCACTGGTGTTTTAGTCGACCAGAATGATGATTAATTGATTCTTTTCTTTTTTTTATTTATTTAGATTATGAGGATTTATATAGGACAACACATATCAGCCTTGTGAATACACCTTTTCATTTTCAGTAGTTTGAAGTATAAATAGTTGTTCTTGCATGAACTCCTGTGCGGGTATAGTCTTGTGAGTTCAGTTTAGGTTAGAGACACAGAGATATGTAATAATTTTGAGAGCTTTTTTGTATTGGGAAGACAAAGTCCAATTTATGTTAAAATAATTCTTTAAAGCTTTCAAAATGTTCTTTGTTTTTTGTCTTTGCCACATTAGTGCAGTATATAGTTTCTATCATTTTTATTGTCAAAACCGGCATCAGATTGCTCATATGAAATGTAACTTTTTATATATTTCGATAATCTGATAACTCCAGAAATCAGGTAATGATCATATTTTCATGTACATTTAAACATAGCTGTTGTTACAAGTACTCTGACTCAGTATTAGTCATTTTTGGCTCTAAAAAGTGGTGCATGACTTGTGTGAAACGGGTCATCTGCCTCACTGTTCAAATTTGATCTTTTTCAAAGTACTGGGCAGTAATTCTAATCAGAAAGTTAATTTATACACAGGCAAAGGCAGAGATGGTACAAAGTTGTTTTAACTCTCGGTAGTGTTATTCATATTAACTTTGCTTCATGTAAAATACTGTCGTGTACTAAATATCTTATCATATTGTTCAAATTTTACCTTTCTCAAAATACTGGGCAGTTATTTTAAACAGAACGTTAATTTAGACACAAGCAAAGACATAGATAGTACAAAGTCATATTAACTCTCAGTAGTGTTGTTCACATTAACCTAGCTTTATGTAATGTCTCCTTTATTTCCCCTGCTTCTTATTATCCAAGGCTGTCTCACTAACTCAGAACACACTTTTATTACATCTAATATCTAGAGAGCAATTTCACATTTATGATTTTACAGATCAAAATGCATACGAATAACTGCCTGTATTCATATTATCTTAAAAAATAAATAAATAAACACACAACACACTCAGATTGCAGTATTGGTTGGGGTCCCGTGGCGGACGCATGTTTTTAGCAGGACTTTAAACATTGCTCTTTGAATCACTTGCAATCACAGGACCCGAAAGCAGAGGGCAGTCAGGTAAGGATTTACGATTGTTCCATTCACACCAGGGGCTCCTCTTTCCTCCCTTTGACTAACATGACTCTGTGAGAAATCTGCTCTGCCACATGCACTGCGCTCCGGGACCGGACTGAATCTTTTTAGGTTCAAAAAATACTTAAAAATAACCCCGTAATCTGATTTGGGCAACTAGAAAGAACTGCCATGACTATAGATTTTTTAAGTTTGTTTAAATTAGTCCACAATTGGCTCAATGTTTGACAAAGTACAACTACTACAAGTCAAAAGCCAGTAAATTTAACTTTTAATTATAAAGCGTTTTTAAATGTTCTGGTGGATGGTCTGCCACCTGCTTGTAATTTTCCACTGTATGGCATTAAATGTGTCTGTCTCCAACTAAATGCAATGTTTAATGCCATACTGTGGAACATTCCTTCAAAACAATAACTTCGTCATGTAGATAAGCAGATGGCTGTGGAAGATAATTTGGTTCATCAGATTTTAAATTTTAAATCCCATTGAATTTCATGTTTTAATTATTTTTATTCTGAATTTTAGTTGCTGAAATTTTAAGTGTACATTTTCAGTGTTTAGTTTAAATTTAAATTTAAAATAAAAATGTCACCTTTTAAATATTCAGCCCAAATATATTCAAGCCCTCAAATTCAACAATTAAAATTCACTGTGAAAAAAATTTGCAGGAAACATCCAAGATGCCAAGACCTAAGAAATCGAAAGGAATCCAAAAGTGATCTGATCTAACTTAGTAAGAAGGAGGAAATGATGCAGTGAAGCGATCTGATTGGTCAAAATTAGCCTCATCACAACCTCAGACCCCGCTCACAGATGAGAGCGGCCAATAGGAAACAGCCTCTGTCCTTCTCGCTCACACAGGATTGATCGCCTCTGCCTTGGCATCGTGAATCTTTGTTGTGAAATTTTACACAGCGAATTTTACAATCTCAATTTTGACTTTTGAATTTGAGGGCTTGAAATTATCTATGCTGAATATTCAAAAGGTGAATTTTTTGAAAAAGTATACTTAAAATTTCAGCAACTAAAATTCAGAATAAAAATAATTCAAACATCTTTTTTCAGATTTAAATATTTCTAAGTGAGAAATTCAGTCATATTTAAAATTCAAAATCGAATGGAACAAATTATCTTCCATAGATGATAAATCCCCTACCAAAAAGTTGCATCGTGTTATATAAACAAATGTCCTTTTACCACATTTGATTAGTACCAGATCTTTTTTTTGAAACTCAAGTAACTCCTGTGTTTTTAAGACCTGTCCGTCATCACCAGAAAAGCTTCATGACGTTCCTGTGCAGAGCTGTGGCCACATTTCTTACTGAAGTGATCACTGATGTATGTTTGACCGTGTGCTCATGACCAACCTGCAGATGGGCGACTCTTTCTCTACGTTTATTTATTCTAATTAGCAGTTACTTTGTTCTTAATGTTATTCACTGACTGCATTTCATTCTTATGAGGCACTGTTTCACTGGTCGTGTCATCTGCGCTAGAAGCAATGCAGATGTATTGACAGTCAACCAAGGATGTCAAGTTTAATCGGCTAACTAATAAATGTGGATATTTATACCACAATACAATCAAATATCAAAATTGAGTGATATGATTAAACTCTTACATATGTTTTAAGAGCAATATCAACTTTCAGAGCTTTCTAACATGTTATAATGTTCATCTTTCATCCAAAAACATGCATGAAGAGGTTTTAGATGTCATCCATGCATGTTTGAGTAATCTTACGATCTCCCCTGGGTCCTGTTTAAACCCTCCTTACGTTCAGCAGTATGAGCCCATGCAGGATACAAAACAATACTCTACAACTTCACAAACATGACGCGATGTGCAGTAACTTCTGATTTCTGATTTTGTATTAATAGTGTTGAAACGGGGGAGTGACTTAGTGCGGGAGATCAAGAGGAGTGGACTCAGAGTGCCGAAAATGAAACTGAAAATAATTTAACATTTCATACGTTGTTTTCGGTAAACATAGCATTTTCAAAATGATAAAAGGCAACACGGTGATCTAAATATGGCATGAGTTAATACTAGGGATGTAACAATAACTGAAATATCGTGATATCGTATCATCAAAGTCCCCACAATAATATCGTGGACCATCACAATATATCGAATTACAAGTCTCTTTGTGTACATGAAGAGTTATGGTGCAGCAATAGCTTAAAAAAAAAGACAGAGGGAACTACATTGACCATGATCCTTTGCTCCATTTCAGTGCAGACTACAAGAAGAAATAACAGTTCTAACACTTTTAAGTCTTAGTTCTTTGGATTAAATTTTGTCAAGGCATTTTAAGGCTAAAAAGTAATGTATTAACACTTTTGTTAGCCTACAGAAGATATTGCAATAAATACCATACCGTGAGATGTATATTGTTGCGTAAATATTGTAAAAGATTTGGATATTGTTACATCCCTAATCATGAGCCTCCCCGCTATATCATGAGCTTTCCCACAATATTGCAATAAATATTGTACCGTGAAGTTCATACCGTGATGATATCGTATCCTGAGACTTGGATATCGTTACACTCTTAGTTAATAGTTAACACCCTATAGAAGTATAATATCCCAACTTTAAAATCATTCAGCTAGTAGAAGAGATTAGGTTTTATTGGATCATACTATCATCAAAGAGTAATGGTGATATTTAAGTCTCACAATAATGGTAACAACACAACACACACACATATTTGACATTGTGACATCCAAACAAACCTTCAGCTAACACACCATCAGTGCATAGATTGCCTCATAAGGAACACTTTTTTTTCACAGTTCGTCACCAACCAACACATAAGTCTACTATGAATAAAAAGTAACTGCCTAATTACAGATTCTAGTCTTGTTTAAAATGTTCGGATACTTTTGGTCTAGCTGCAGGTTGCTGGTGAGCATGTGCGTGTGTGTAACATTTGGTTTTGGTAGATCTTAGTCTCCTCTCAGGATGGATGTGACTGTGCTCTTAACTCTCTGTCTGGCATGCTTCTGTTTCACAATTATTCAGTGGAAAAAGTGATTCAACTTCGTCTGGGGGGAAAAAAGAGGGTAAAAAAAAAAGATCATCTATGATGAAATGTGAAATTTGATTACTAAGTTAAAGGGCCCATATTACGCTATTTTCTGATCTATGTTATCATTTTGTTACTTCATTAAAAACTTACCTGGAGTTGTGTTTTGTTTCATTCACACATTCATTATCACACAAGCCCTCTTTTCTCCAACAGAAAACATTCTGTTCCACCTTGTAATGCAATGTATTAGGGATGGGCATGATTAGTCAATTAATCGATAATTGATCATTAAGAAGTTTGTCGATTACGTTCATTTTTAATCGACAGACTGAATGTAGGTTGCTGTGTGAGTGTAAGGAGACAAGGCTGCGTCTGACACAAACACGATATATACAAAGAACAGACTCACCGTTAGCATCAACATCCTTCTGTCACAGAAAGAACACCTATCTTCCTGAGTTGTGTCCTTTAGTCCGACAGAAGTTGACCACATCAGCGCACAAGAGCTGTTTTTTTCTTCGCTAATTAGCCATGCGGTTTTAATTTTCGTTTCTATGAGACTTGCACAAAGCTGCATTAGTGGTTACGGTTTATATGTTGCAAATTTGAGTTTATTTATGTAGATTAGTAGTGTGGATAATAATAATTATGATGATAATTTGAATATAAAAATGTTAATGATTCATCGAAAATTGATCGTTAATTCTCTCGACGATCGATTAAGAAAATGTAATCAAATGCCCATCCCTACAGCGTTTACAGGAAGTCTTCCACTGTATTTTTAAACTCCATACTCCTTCACTAGAATCATTTGGATAATTTCAGCCCTGGAATAGCCAATCTCTACTGAACAAAAGGCTATCAACCTGAAAAGTCTCGCTTCATGACATCACAAGGTGGAGCAGAGCATTTTGAGATTTTGAGCTTTGGAGTTGAGATAGACTAATAATGCAGGATTAAACAAATGAAACAAAACACATCTCCTGGTATGTCTGATGTGTTGTTTGATTGACCCATGACTTTTGCTATTACTTCACATAAAAAAAAAAAAACCTTGCAATATATTTCTGTTTACAAAAAAAATCTACATCTACATAATAATTCAACCAAATGATCGGGCTATGAGATCAATTGCTATTTGAATGGACGCCATTAGCAAATAGCAAAGGCTGCAATTTCTGGAGTACCACAATTTCCTCCAAAAACAAAAATAGCCAGTTTTATTTGGCTTTAAAACTGCTAACCCCGTACTTTAGATCTGTACAAACTGAAATGTGATTCTTGGATTAGTCATAGTCAGGGTTCATAGGCCCAGTTCAGTCTTGTTGCCAGTTCTTCTGGACGCATTTAAAATTGAACTTTGAACTGAATGTTATTTTTAAAACATAAATTGCAAATCTAATCACAATAATAATGTTTACCATAAAATTAGACATTTTTCCCCAATCAATTTCCAATGATCGATGTGAGTCAGGCGTAGCTCATATTAAAGGAACAGTATGTAACTTTCTGGAGGTGGCACGGCACCTGCAGGATTCCATGGAAATAGAAATTTAAAACCATACTTTGGTGATAGATACGTTTTATGTCATAATGTGGAAGATTATAGCCAAAGGAACAGCATTTCCATGGAAACAAGCAGATCAGAGTCAGGTTTGTGGAGATGCAAGCCTGCTCACAGTTAAGGACACACTGTTTTCAAAGTTTTGCAGTGTAATGAAAACAACCAAAATGAAAAACAGATGTTATTGCTTTGTCTGGAATGTTTCACAATATGGTATTAAACCTTTCTATCTTCATGGATGCCAAACCAGACTAAGTTACAGATCATATCTGTGGAGAGGCGACCCCACTCACTGTTAGAATGTCTGTTTTTCCAAGTATTTTTGAGCAATAAAACCACCTGTAATTGAATAAATGTAAGGTAGAGCTGTTTAATGTCATACTGTGGAACATTCCAGGCAGAGCAATGACATCTCTGTAGAAACAAGCAGGTGACGGACCCTCCACCACAAAAGTACCACACTGCACCTTTAAAAGTTGCATACTGTGGCTTTAAGTTACCACTAAGTGTACAAGTGTGAGAAGGGTGTGTGTCCAGTGTCCTTGGATCAACCTTCTAAATATTTACTCTAGCTTTGGTCACACACTGATAATCATCTAACTGCAACTACAGTGGCCAGTTTAGCTCCAGGCGTAGCAGCTACAGGAGGTCCTTTAACTAGTACTATATTTAGATGAATAACGCCATCTGAATTTTACAAAACACATCATAAAATACAATAAAACACAATTTAGCTCTTTACACTTCTGTTTATCCTAAAATGTACATTAAACTGGGACTTAGCGCCTAAACTTCGCCCACAACCACATTTCAAACAGAGCTGCTAAACTGGGCACAACCTGGAGGACAAAAGAAGAGAGTGAGAGAAGAGGATGGGCGGGGTCTGGAGGTATAAGGAACACTGTGATTGGTCTAACAGGTATCTACGCTTCAAACTCCGCCCCCGTAGCCAGGTGTTTGGATCTGCGCAGTCTTTTGTGATGTCATCAACTACTTGAAATTGCAGTGGAACCGAAGCTCTGTTACTCAAGTCAGGCTTTAATCTGAGTTTCATTTTAACACAATCTGACCAGAGAGAACTGACTTAGTTGGAACTTCAACAGGTGAATTGATGTGTGCTGTTCAGGTTTCTCACATATCAAATTACAGTTACAGATAGCGTTTGAAAATGAAACACCACACTTGTATTGATCACAGGCTTCTGAAAATGACACTTTTTTTTTTGGCAGTGTTGTTTATGTGTGCATTATGTCACCATACTAACTACATGTAGAACACCCCCAGTGTGATGTCAAATATCAACACAGTTTAGTAGCAAAAAAATTGATTTGGTGTTAGCTTCTGTTTTTAATACATCAATTCAAGCCGTGTTTCATTCAGCATCTTATTCAAATAACTGCCTTTCGATTCTCCCTCTGATTCAGTCTTTTACTTGTAATGACAGGACTTTAAAGTTATTTAATGTTATACAACGAATCCCTTTTGGCTGTATTTAGGCCATGATAGAAATTTTGAAGTGTGTGATATTGGTGAAGTAAATATGGCCATAAATTATTGAAACTACTTTATGTCACTTACACAATAATCCAAGAGCAGATTGAAAGCACAAAAACTATTCTAAATGAACAATATTGTCAAAAATCATGAGCTTCCATGAATAAATAGCAGAATAAAAGACTTTAGTTCTTAGTTTGCATCTGTAATGAGTCATAGAAGAGATTCATTCAACCTCTATGTTTCATCTATCTGACCGTTTATCGAAAAATAAACAAAAATTCCTCAGAAGTGCAAATAAATGTGAACGCATTTGCAGCAAGAAATCATAGCTACAGTTTTCATGTATTAAAATATTCAAAGAAAGTACAGATTAAAGTCTAACTTGAGCCTCTAACAGAGTAATCACACTCCCAGGGAATGTTGATGACATCAGCTGCAAAGTATCAACTGAACGATAAGTCGATATAGTAATTATCATGACAGGCCTAGCTACAGTATGTTGGACTTTGCCCTGTCCCATCCACAACTCTGTGTTTGAAGAGAGTCCATGTTAAATGTTTGGTTTGGACGTGCCTCTTTCTGCCCATCCACACAGTCAGAGCTTGTGCAGACTGTGAGTGGGAGCACTCAGGCCAGTTACTCATTCCATTCCAGCCACATGGTTTTGGATGCATTTTATCAATTACAATCATGTTTTTTAATTGACTAAGTAAATACACTTATCGGTCCTAAATTACACAAGATGGACTCTTGTGAACTTTTAGTGATGTTGGAATGCTGAAACCTCATCAAAAACAGACCTGGAGTTGTGTTTTGTTTCATTCACATGTTTGAGTAACCTTTTATGATTGGTCTTGTCTGCGTCTTCAAAGCTCCACATGTTCAGTTGCAAACAGATGCAAAAACATTATAACACAGATCACAACATTGCATAATATGAGCCCTTTAATACAAACAAGATTTTGATGGAATATTTTCAAGCAGAAGCAATATGATTCAAATTTAGTCTCTTAGAAGATTTTGTGCAATTTTGGAAGTTTTTGGGACTTCTTCTAGCACTCAAAGCCAAACTGCACATTCCACATCACTCATTTTGCAACAGCTCAAACTTATTCCTTACGTTCCAAGCAACACATTTTTTAGCACTTTTCACAAATTTCAGAGGCCCACCAATCCATGTCTTTCTGAATTATAAAAAATAGGACTGTTGCCATGATGATTAATCAAATAGCTATTTGACCAGAACTGAAGAAGCTGCAAAAGGTCTTCACTCAAAAACTTTGGTCAGTTGACAGAATTGCATTTTTCTTTTGCTATTGATCCTACCTGGAGGATTACACAGACAATTTAAAACAAAATTATATATTTTAAATGGAAAAAAGTTCTCAAAAAGCAATATGATTCAGATCAAGACGAGAACAGAGACAAGATTTTGCTCCATTTTTGAAGTTAGGTCTGTAGTTGGGACTTGTACTACCACTCATAGCCAAAATGTAGCAATGGTCTAGTTTTGCTCCTTAAAAGGAAGTATTGTGGAAGGTGTTTCACTTTGTGTCAGTATCAAGATACAGAACATTAGCAAAAGGATAATTAACTTTTAAATTTATTTTTGAAAAAACATTACGTAAGTTAAACAATATTTCCAGTCTTCAAGTACTGAGCTAGTCACATTGTTTTTACATTATTACATGGAACACAAATGGACAACCATGATAACTTATTTTATTTATGTAACAGTTACAACAAAATCAAACCAACATTCTTTCTAAGGTCAGCATCTAAAGATCCTATATTATGTGAAATTGACTCTTGTGAGTTTTAAGCCATGTTATAAAATCTGTACCTCCTCGAAAACATACCTGGAGTTATGGTTTGTTTCATTCACACAAGTATTCCTGGTTTATTGGTCTTTCTGCATCTCCAAATCTTAAAATGCTCTGATCCACCTTGTGATGTCATCAAGCAGCAAATTAATACCTACCTTTTACCTTTTATTCAGTAGAGATGGTCAATTCCAGGTCTGAAATCATCCAAAAGATTCTAGTGAAGGTGTATGAAGTTCAAAAACAAAGTGGAGCACATGACATCACGAGGTGGAGCAGACTTATTTTCTGTTTGTGAAAAGAACTCAGCCTAAATCTACAGCGTTTGTGTGTTAAACATGTGTGACTGAAACAAAACACAACTCCAGATAGATTTTTGACCAGGAAACATAGATTATAAAATGGCGTACTATGGGCTCTGTGAGTTTTCTTCGACTTTAAATAGTGCAGCATTACTGTCAGTTGGTGCAGTGTGGCTCTGAGTGCAGCATGTGTGGTGTGTGCCTGTATCTCTGTAGTAATAGAAGTGGAGGGGGTCTCTCTCTCCCTCTCCTGTCCTCCCGGGTCGAGGGGGGGGTCACTGGAGCTCTGTGTGCTGTGTGTGTGTGCAGGACTGGGAGACAGAGAGCCATGACTGGTACTGCTTTGAGTGCCACCTGCCTGGAGATGTGCTGAGCTGTGATAACTGCTTCAGAGTTTACCACCTCAAGTGTCTGTCAGACGAGTGCAGGCCCCGTGACCCAGGATCGCACTGGCAGTGTACTATCTGCAGGGTAAGGCCACTCACACATTGGTAGAGAGGAGTGTTTATGGGAGATGTAGAACTTTAGCCGTTCAGTTGTAAATTAAGGCCCTGTCCACACTTGTACATATTCGAGTCATTTTCGTTGCGGATGCAGTGTTCGTCCACACTAATCTGACTGAAAACGGCTCCAGAGATGGAACGATCTGGTGCCACCAGCTCCCACGAATTCATCTGAGTACAGATCTGATCCAGCACTGTGTGGACGCCTGAAAACACTGATACTCTGATGTAGGTTTGTGCGCCGCCAAATAATTCACCGCCAAAACGCTAAGAGGCTAGAATATATGTCCATTCATATACACGGTCTGTGTGTGCGACCTGCAGACGTATAATCTCTGAAAAGATGAACATGAACCATCTCCAACGTGATAGAGGCACAAAACAGACTCACCATCAGCAGAACACCCCTCTGTCACAGAAAGAACACTCATATTCCACTGAGTTGTGTCCTTTAGTTCGACAGAAGCTGAACCACATCAGCGCACAATAGTAAACTGTGTTTTGAGCGCTCAGTTTAAGCAAATTAGTCATACGGTTTTAAGTTTCATTTCTATAAACATAAACAAATATTTTCAAAGCTGTGTGGATAGGGAAGGCTTGCGGACACAGAAACCTGTCTGGACGTAGATCGTTTCTTATAAGGTGATACGTTGATTCGTTTCAGTGTAGACGTAGCCTAAGTTAGTAAATGTTTCCTGAAAATGTTATCTTTTTGATAAAAAAAAAAAAAAAGTCAGTCAGTCTTCTTTATATAAACACATTTTACATGCGTATTCCTAGCACTTTTCTGCATAGTTGTTTTTGCTTGAACTCCTGAGCAGGTGTAGTCTTGTGATGTGTGTCACAACAGTCACTCGCTGTAGAACTCTGACCAACAGCTTTGAGTTCTGTTCTTCTAAAAATACTTAGAATTAACTGAATGTTGTTCTTTTTTTAGGGAAGTAAAAAGAAGAATCTGAACAAACAGGAGATGTGCAAATACCTTCGTTTTATCGTCCAGCGCATGAAAGAGAGGGTAAGAAATATTACGCAGAAATATAATGTGTAGAAATATGACCCTATTATATAATATGACCCCTATTTAAACAAGGCCATTTAAAACATTTCTGGTGGTGCTTGTTTCTGTGGATATATCATTGCTTTGCTTATAATGTACATATATAATGTTATAATGTACACAGTATTACATTATATAAATAAAAAATATACACGTTTATAAATACACATTTTATAGTTTTAATGCTCAAAAATACCTAGAAAAACAGGCATTCTGACTGAGCAGGGTCGCCTCTCCACTAATCTGACTTGTAACTTGGTCTGGTTTGGTCTCCATAAAGATAGAAAGGTTTAATGCCATACTGTGAAACATTTACAAAGCAACAACATCTCCATGGAGAAAAGCATTTGATGGACCCTCCACTTGAAAAGTTACACAGTGCACCTTTAAGACTGGTTTAAATGCTCCAGTCATGTGTTGTCTTCTGCCCTAATCCATCACTTAGTTAAATTGAATTCTCTCCTCTCTTTCCCAAACCCATTTCTCTGTCCATCTTAAGTGGTGTCAGATTTCCCATCATGCTCTGCTGCATTGACCTATATTTAGCTTTATTTGAATGCTCTTCCCTTTTCCACTTCAGGCGGTGGACCTACACAAGAAAGGCAAAGACACCAAACATCCCATGTACAGAAGACTTATCCACACTCCCCTGGACGTGGCCAATATTCAAGAGGTATAAGCGCCTCGTGTTCATTTTTTTAAATAAAATGCAATTGTATGCGAAGATGCTAAAAGTGATAGTGAACTGAACTTTATATTATGATTACACAAGTTGTCAAAAGTATCAAAAATCTGATATTAATTGATACTAAAACCTGTATCGAAACTAGATACTCATTTGAGCAAGTATCAATACAAAAAAAAAAGTTCAAAATGCTCTGTTCCTCCAAGTGATGTCACAGAGTGGTAGTTTTCAAGTTAACAACAGTTTTTGTTAAGTAAAGATTTAAAATGTCAATCAATAAATCAAACTTTAGTTATAGAGCACTTTCATACAAAATATGCAACACATGCCAGGGGTGAAATTATCCAAATTCTACTCATAAAACACAATGTAGTCAAGTATACAACATGACATCACAAGGTGGAACAGTGTGTTATCTCTTAGTCTAAATCTCTAGGGTTTGTGTTTTAAATGTGTGAATGAAACAAAACACAACTCTTATTATGTTTTTGGTGATGAAACAACATAACAGATCAGAAAATAGTGTTATATGAGCCCTTTAATGTCCATATACAAAGCAGTAACTTCCAGAAATGTTACCTAATGCATCTTTAAGTTGGTAGGTTTGGTAATACTGCAAAAACTGCTAACTACATTTGATTTACTTTGTCCTCAGTTTAAATGCACTGACACCTATTGGACAGACACCACATTGCAGGCTGAACTTTTTTTTTTCTTTTTGCTCAGAACCTGTCAGAGGGCAAGTACAAAAATTTTGAAGAGTTCAAAGCCGACGCTCAGCTCATCGTTCATAACACGGCCATTTTGTACGGCGGTGAGTCTAATATGTGTGTGGAATCTTAAAGGAAATGTATATAGTCTGCACTCTTAGTTTTAAAATGTAGTACAATAATAACTTGGGTTTGGATAGTGAGGATTCAGATCAGAGAGAGTTATTTTAGGTTTAAACCAACTGGAATTCAACATTGAAAATGGCAACCCAAATGAAAGACACATGTGGATCTCATTCTGCATTCTGGTTGGATAATTCTCATGAGAACCAAAACATCAAATTATAACATAAACAGCTTGGTGATGTGCAATGTTTTTCTAATTAAAAACAAATCAGCAGTACAATCGTTTGCAGTAAAAAACTCTATTTGATATGAGCAGGTTTAGGTGAGGACACAGCTCGGTCGTGTTTGTGGAATTTAAAATCACGTCATTGTTGCTTTCACTTACAATATGGGACTCTTTTACTCATAACATTTTAACAGAGCCAAAGGCAAGTTACAACTTAAATTGTACAAGATCAACAGAGTGCAATGCTTTTTTGTATACAAACATTTTAAAATGAGAAAAAAAATGCACACAACTGAAAACCAGCATAAGGATGTACATATATCTAAGATGAATTAGACACAGGCTACAAAAAATCAATAAGGGGTTGCCACACTTTCTGAAATGACAGTAGTTTATCCTTTACATCTAGAGAGAATACGACATTTGTTAAAGGATTAGCAAGGTCCCGGGGCCACATTTTAGAGCTTGTTACTGATGGAATATGACGGAACTATTTTAATAATAATTTAAATGTGTTGTTGCAGTTCACAGTGACCAGGCAGAAATCGCACGGTTGCTCTACAGTGACACATGTCATGAGGTAGTCCTGTTTCTTACATTTCTCATGCACTTCATATTGTAATGTAAATACAATATAGTCATTTGTCTGTATTGAATTCCGGTCCTCTTCTCTCTGTTGCAGCTGAATGAGTTGTTATTGTGTAAAAACTGCTTCTACCTTTCAAACGCACGGCCTGATAACTGGTTCTGTTACCCATGTGTGAGTATACTAGGAGATAAATAATTCCAATAAATAACACACACAAAAATCTGTAAACTACTTTGCGTGAATGTGTGTCCTGTGCCTGTTCAGAGTCCCAGTCACGACCTGGTGTGGGCCAAAATGAAAGGCTTTGGATACTGGCCGGCTAAAGTGCTGCAGCGAGAGGACAACCAGGCAGACGTGCGCTTCTTTGGGCACCAGCACCAGAGGTGAGAGGAGACAGGCTCAACCCTGAACATGCTCAGTATGTCAAATGCTAAATCTAAGGTAGTCCTGTCCAAGAGCTGGAGATGGGTCTCTGGGCAGGGCCGGCTCTGCCTCCTGGTCCAGACAGTTTGGTCCTGACAGGTTGGCACAAGGATGGATCATATGAAGAGGACAAATTTCCCTACACAGACAATAAAGTGAACCTTTAACCTCATATTATTTAGCTACTGTGATCAATGAATATCTAAGGTTGTTTCTGAAAATCTAAATAATGTATGTATGACAGCACTATTGCAAAACCATGAGTTATGTTTATTGTTATACACTCAGACTTTTTTTTTTTAATCTATTTTGTCCTAAACTTGCTTCTAATAGAGATGAATTTCTTTATGTTTTCTGACCCAGAGCATGGATCCCGTCAGACAACATCCAGGACATCAAAGTGAGCGTGCAGCAGCTGCAGGTGAAGCGCAGTAACGGCTGGAAGAAGGCCTGTGAGGAGCTGGAGGTCTACCAGCGGTTCCTCCGCGAGGGACGCCTCTGGAAGACCAAGATGGATGAGGCAGGAGGCCAGCAGCCCAGTGCCCGCTCCCAACAGCAGCCAGAGGAGAGGGGGGGCAGGACTCAACAGCCAGAGGAGAGGGGGGGCCGGACTCAACAGCCAGAGGAGGAGAGGGGGGGCAGGAGACAACAGCCAGAGGAGGAGAGGGGGGGCAGGAGACAACAGCCAGAGGAGGAGAGGGGGGGCAGGAGACAACAGCCAGAGGAGGAGAGGGGGGGCCGGACAGAGGACGCAGAGTCCAGTATCTCCTCCACTAGCAACGAGCAGGTCCGTCATGTGAGTACTGTACTTGCATATTTTATACTCTGAATCACTGAATGAATATAACATTATTTTTCATTGTTTACCTACAAAAAAAAAACTCTATTTGTATTAATTTCAACCAAAAATGCATTTCTTATTCAATAGAGGTTTGCTTTATAAATTATACCTACAGTTTGATATGTTACTCTTGATGTTCTGTATATGTAGTTTCCAAATCAGATTTTTTCCAAAACTATTTTATGATTGAATTTGCCTTACTGGGCCCAAAAACTTATACATTTTGTTGTGTTGTTTTTTACCTTTGTCAAACTACATTTTAAAGTGTATCAAATCAGTTTCAACTTGTAAAATTAACTGATCAACATCATGTCCCAAACAGTATATATTTTAAATAACTAACTTCAGTATATTAGATACTTTCAAATGTCATTCAGATAAAGAATTAATAATATTGGCCCCAAAACAGAACCTTGGGGAATGCCACACGATTGTTCTGACAGAACATTGAGTGGAAAAAACTGAGAAACACTCAACAGGGTAAAATATACTCAAAATTATATAGTGTCTTTAAAAATATTGGCACACTTGGTCAATGTAAATATGTATAATAATTAGTCTTTTAAATTATAGATAGATGTAGATGATTTGTGTAAATGTACATGCAGAGCCCTCTTCTGGCCACTGGGTCACACTGTTAACCTGTGAGATCCTTTCTCTACTGAAATATTTCTCTCATTTTTATTTTCTGCTTAGTATTTTTTATATTTAGTTTTAATGGGGAAATACTTTTAACATTTTTTTTTCCTTTTATCAACAGCTTGAGCCCTAAATAACTGAAAAATCAAAATCCTTTTATTTTTCTGTTTCAGCTCAAAAGCAGCCACGAGCCTAAAGCCAAGAAAAGTCGTCGAACTCAGTCTGCTGAACCCAAAGAAGAATCCAGTGTAAGTTTAACATGACAACACTTACAATAATAAAACATTAGGCAATAACTTATAAAATCCATCTTATACCAGGACCTAGTGTTGTCATGGTACAAATATTTCTATACGTTCTTTTGATACCTAGATAATAATAAACAAGACTTATTTAGACAATAGAATGTGATTTTCAACATTAAATCTTAGTACTTTCTTTTCTTTTACCATGTGGTCTTATATGTGTGTAATCCTCAGTGGTCCAGACAGGTTCCATAGTGGTCCATGGGTGTATACTAGTCTATGTGCTCTTATACTTGTTCTAATACAGCTCAAGATCATTCTAAATCGAATCACGAAAGGTTCATTCTGTCCTGTGAATGACTTCTTTAGTATCAATACTTGTTCAAATGAGTATCTAGTTAAGAATCTGATTTTCAATACTTTTGCCAGGACCCAGAGCCAGAGATGGAGGCGGTGAGCTCGAGTCAGGAGGTCCCGGTCTCCTGTGGCTCTCAACAGCCGGAGAAGCTGTCCGTGTCGACTCAAACCAAGAAGGCAAACGCCAACTCCCCCCGCACGCTGCACCGCTCCACCCAGACCAGCAGCGACGGAGCCTGTCAGAACATGTGCCACGAGAAGTACACCAAAGTCTTCAACGACGTCAAGGAAATGATGAAGGCTGACAACAAGAGGGAGACTGAGAGGGTGGTCCGGGAAGCTCTCGAGAAGGTCTGCAATCACTTAAACGGCCTATATTACCCTATTTTGATCTACGTTATGTTGTTTGCACCTCATAAACAAACCTGGAGTTGTGTTTTGTTTCATTCACACGTTTAACACATAAACCCTGCAGATTTAATTCCTCTCTCAAACTGAAAAGACTCTGTGATGCCATGTGGTAATACAGGAAGTGCTTCATTATGTTTTTAAACTCCACACATGGTCACTAGACACTTATTTAGATAATTACAACCCTGGATTTGTCAGTCTCTACTTAACAAAAGGTAATAGGTAGCTGTCAACTTCAAAACTACCGCTTCATGACATGACATGGTGGAACAGAGTATTATAACACTAATAATAAAGGATCACTCAGACATGTGTGAATGAAACACAACCCCAGGTCTGTTTTTGAGGAGGTAATATAACCGCAATCTCTTTCCCCCTTGGGCGCTTACTAGGAACAACCCGTACGTATATTTCTAGGACGACCCATAGAGCATAACTGCATAAAGAAAACAGACTTCCACGAGTGATTATTAATGATTTTTACACTCATGAACTTAATTGTAACACAGACATATTTGGTATCTCTGGAAACCTTAGACTCTGAACTCTTCATTTATGGATGTTTAAATGTGATTCAACTCATTTATAGGTTTATAACAGCTCACTGAATATCAGAGTTTACCTGGTCAGGTGCAAAATCGAAAACAAAAAACTACTTTCAGCATCTGATATATGCATGTTCTGAGTACTATATTCATAAAAAAATAATAATAAAATATACTTTGTCAAAGTTTTTAAACAGATTTCATATCACCAGATACAATTTAGCCAAGTGTACACCTGTTTTTACCTGTTGTTCACCTGTGTGCACCTAATTCATTTTTTCCATTTAACTTATTCAACTCATTTAGCTTAATCAACTAATTTAGCTTATTATAATAATATAATAATAAAACTCTTCCCCGTCAGTGAGTGTTCAGTATTTGTCATCTTGATTACTTTCTCGTGCGCAGAGCTCTGCATAAACATTTGTTGCTGTAGCAATTCTGTCGTACATCGCATCTTGGGAAAAAAAGACTGAAATATTTCAAAGCACTAGCCTGAGCAACATCCAGATTTCAGGGCAATTTTGGTTCACAATCAAGTATAAAGTCCCTGATAGTTTGTTAGGATATCGCAGGACTCCACACAGACGCATCACTGGCCTTCTCACCTTTGTAAGTTTCCCTCTCTGAAAGTCCGTCGCTCTCGCAGTTTTCCACTTTATAATCAACTTCATCATCACTTTGAAATCTATAGAAGTCACTTTCTCTAAACTTATCCATAAAATACATCTGCTCCTCATTATTTCTAAAACTGTGCGGCGCAGTGCTGCAATCTCTCCATTGCACATGTTTCGTGTTGTGTTTTTCCGGAAGCTACAATCGTCACTACTTCGATTAACTTTGGAAAAAATCGGGGAAAACGCATCTTTGAATCCTATTGGTTAGCCTAGTGTGGGTTGTAGTGGCCCCGACCTATCGGAGCCTCTGTTTACATGTGAAAAACCAGAATCGTTTCTAATGGTCGTCAAATCACGTCTTTAGTGACACAGCGGAGGTGTCAAAAGACAAGAAACGGAGGGGATCGTCAAATGTCGTCTTCATGCGGGAAAGAGTTAAAGCTCACAAGAGTCAATTTTGTGTAATAAAGGACCTTTAAATATAGCTTTTGGGAAGGAACATCAAAATCTGCTGTCACTATGAAAATCTGCCATGTTTTTGTTATTTGTTGTTATGATAATTGAGAGTAAATATATGTATGAGTATATTAGAAAGGTTTTTAATTGAAACTTTAGTAAGCAGTGAGTTTGTGTTTGTCTCAGCTGCGAGCGGAGATGGAGGAGGAGAAGCGTCAGGCGGTGAGTAAAGCTCTGAGCGGGGCCCAGGCCGAGATGGACAGAAAGTGTAAACAGGTGAAAGAGAAATGCAAAGAAGAACTGGTGGAGGAGGTCAAGAAACTGGTGTCACAGCACAAACAGCTCATCTCCCAGACCAAGAAGAAGCAGTGGGTCAGTACAACACAACAACTACACTACACTACAGCTACACTATAACTATAACTATACTATGACTACTCTATAACTACACTACAACTACAGCTCACCTACTACTCTACAGTTCCACTACAGCTACACTACAGCTACACTACAACTATAACTACCCTACACTGTAAACTACTCTACAGCTACACTACAACTACACTACAGCTACACTACAACTATAACTACCCTACACTGTAAACTACTCTACAGCTACACTACAACTACACTGCACTACAGCTACACTACAACTATACTATGACTACACTACAACTACACTACACTGTAACTACACTACACTACTAACACTACTACACTACAACTACACTACATACTACTAACTACAACAACTACACTACAACTACACTATACACTGCAACTACACTATACACTACAACTACACTATGACTACACTACAACTACACTACAGCTACACTACAACTATACTATGACTACACTATAACTATACTAGAACTACACTACAACTGTAACTACACTACACTATAACTACTCTACACGCTACATGACAACTACACAACATCTACACTACAACTACATTATAACTACACTATAACTATACTACAATTATACTATGACTACACTATACACTACAACTACACGACAACACTGCAACTACACTATACACTACAACTACACTTATGACTACACTATAACTATACTATGACTACACTATACACTAAACTACACTATAACTACACTACAACAATACTGCAACTACACTATGACTACACTACAACTGCACTAAACACTACAACTACACTATGACTACACTACAACTACACTATACACTACAACTACACTATGACTACACTACAACTACACTATACACTACAACTACACTATGACTACACTACAACTACACTACAACTACAACTACACTATGACTACACTACAACTACACTATACACTACAACTACACTATGACTACACTACTACAACTACACTACAACTACACTACACTACACTACAACTACACTATGACTACACTATACACTACAACTACACTATACTACACTACAACTACACTACACTACAACTACACTATGACTACACTATAACTACACTAAACAGTACAACTACACTATGACTACACTACAACTGACACTACTACACTAACTACACTATGACTACACTACAACTGCACTAAACACTACAACTACACTATGACTACACTATACACTACAACTACACTATGACTACACTACAACTACAACTACTATACTACACTACAACTACACTATGACTACACTACAACTACACTATACACTACAACTACACTATGACTACACTACAACTGCACTACTGTATACACTACAACTACACTATACACTACAACTACACTATGACTACACTACAACTGCACTACTGTATACACTACAACTACACTATACACTACACTTACACTATGACTAAACTACAACTACATTACAACTACACTATGACGACACTACAACGGCACTACAGCTACACACCATTTAACATTTATGTATTCACAAAGGATTTAAATCATATTTTTGTTCAACTTTGTGGTTTATAGTAACTTCAAGTCAGTTAGTCAAGCTCCCAAGCCCTTCTTCATTCATATCAATTTGTTTAGTTTTTTTTTGTTTTTAATTTTAACAAAGTGCTGATGTTGTGCCTCACTTATACCAATCTGTTTAATTCAGGAGGATTTGAACCAAGCTCACAGTTAATCATATTGAACTAGTCACAGCCGTTTATTTTTAGCACGTCTCTCAAATAGAAGACAATTTATCCTAAAATCACTGCGTATGACTCAGAATCAAATCTGTCACTTCAGATTAAAAGTGTTTTTAGTTCTTCGTTGAGTAATTAATCTGAAATCTACAATCTTCCTCATGAACATTTCTATGAAACATGAACTCTTGTAAGATGCCATTAAAACAGTAAGAAATGTTCTTGATCAACTGCAACCAGTAACATAAAGTCTTACTACATCAGTTTATATGTCCAAGGATATCGGCTGCTGTTTTTCAGGATTGACCCCAATATCCGATATTCACCCTCTAGTTTTGGGGTGAAACAGTGACTTACAAGATGGTTTTTATAAATCATATTTCTGTTTTTTTTTATCTAAAACTTGAATTGAGATTTTGAGATTTTCTACAGGGAATAATCTCCGCTCCAAAGCACACAGCAAATCCACTCTCACCTTCACCGAGGACACTAACTGAAGTACTCTGGATGTCCTCACTTCTCCACGCTGCTGTTTCATAATTCATAAATCCATAAACCCACTGAGCAGCGTATCACAGTAGAACTCATATCTGCGTCACTGTTTCAGAGATGTATTTTCTTCGCTAAAGCATTAACTCCACTGCCCGACATGTAAACACCGAGCGCTGTGTGATGATGTCATCAGGCCGTGGCTCAGGTTGTACAGGTGTGAGTGCAGAACATAGAACCCACAGCAGTCGTACTTGAACACAGCACGGTTCTAAAGGTGTGTACTTTCTGTTTGGTCCTTTGTTGTACTTAAGCGTGTACTTCTGGTTGCAGTGCTATAACTGTGAGGAGGAGGCCATGTACCACTGCTGCTGGAACACGTCCTACTGCTCCATCAAGTGTCAGCAGGAGCACTGGCACGCTGACCACAAACGCACCTGCCGCCGGAAGAGATGAGCAAGACCCACCCTCAGCCCCGCCCCTGACACGCCCCCAACCCACAAGACCCGCTCCCCAAAACACAACGCAGCACACCATTGGTCGCTTCCCTCTGAGAGCTCTGTCATTCACGCCTCCTCATGTCCTGGAAAAAACTGTCTGGACCCCACACGTTTTGCTTACGAAGAGCTTTTTTTGTTGTTCCTTTTTCATATTTAATATAACCTTTGTTTTGTTTAAAGTTTCTATATTTGCTGAACATTTTGCTCGAAAAGCGAATGCAGAGGAAGCTTTTGTTGTACGGAAAGATTGTGGGAGAATTGTGTTTATTTAAGCGTGCCGTAACAGACGAGCATTACGTGAATCCGTTTTATTATATGTGAATTTTTAAAAATCACCTTTTCTTACTGTAAATGCTACACGGTTCATCTTAAAACCTTAGCACTATCTAGCATTCGACTAGCTTTGCTTTCTTAAAAATTCTGAAAAATTCAAAAAGATGTAATGAAATATGTAATTTACTGACGTTTACCCCTTTTGGTCAGAAGCACCTTTTATTGTTCTACCTAAAATTAAAGTCGCTTATTTCTAGGCCTGTCACGATAACTAACTTGAAATGTGATATATTTCTGATTTAATACAATAAACAATAATATTTACTAATTTATACCACTGCTACAAAAACCCAAAAGCAGATTTATCTTCTAAATTGACAATATTGTTAAAATAAACTGCAGTAAATAAAGAGCAGAATGAGATACTTCAGTACTTAGTTTGCATCTGTAATGAGTCATGACAAAAACTACCCAAAAATGTCTCAGTAGTGCAAAGAAAATATTACACGATAAATATTGAACCCAAATATATTTCCAGCTTTTATGTATGATGAAACTATGAGTTGTTGTAGTAATTATGGTGACAGGCCTTCGTATTGGGAACAGGGTTACAAAGTCGGTTTCAAAAGACACTGACGAAACGAATCTTCCACATGCTAGGACTCCAACAAATAATCATTTATGCACATTTTAAACACAATGGAATCATTTTCTGAATTTGGTAAAACTTTAGGAATTTTTGTAAAAATTTTAATGGGTCATGAGGTTGTTTTTTTTTGTTTATTATAATTATGAAATAAATTTTTTAATATTTTAAATTTATACACTGTAAATTTTGGGCGTAAAGGTGCACTGTGTAACTTTTGTAGTGGAGTATGTTTCCATGGAGATGGTATTGTGTTGCAATATCCCAGTATGGCATTAAATGTGTCTGCATTTGCTCAGTAACATGGATTTTTACTGAAAAACTTCTGTGCCTGGGCTCGCTTCTCCACAGATCTGACATGTAACTTGACCCTGTGGTGTCACTTGTCGTCTCTGTGGGGATAAATAAAGTGTAATGCCATACTGTGACAGGTGACATACCTTTCATTAGAAAAGTTACACTGTGAACCTTTAAATGAATCAATTATTTTGTCTTGATTTTCCACCTTAAGTGTCCACCAAATTTAAAGCTGCATTGTGCAACTTTTCTGGTGGAGGGTCTGTCAGGTTTTCTCCATGGAGGTGTTATTGCTTTTTCTGAAATGTTTCACAGTATGGCATTAAACCTTTTTATCTTCATGCAGACCAAACTAGGCAGAGTTCCAGGTCAGGTCTGTGGAGAGGCGACTCCGCTCACAGTTAAAACGCCTGTTTTTCTTTGTATTTTTGAGCTCTAAAACCGCCTGTAATTGAATAGATGTAAAGTAGGGCTGTTTAATGTCACACTGTGGAACATTTCAGGCAGAGCAATGACAGATCCATAGAAACAAGAAGATGACGGACCCCCAACCGAAAGTTCAGTAGTGCAGCTTTAACTAGACTGTCAACAAAGTCGATTAACTCTTTTGTTCTTCTTTAGAGCAGTGAAAGAAACTACCTTAACATATTTTTGAACTTTTTTGGACTTGTTTAGTTTGTTTTTTTTCTACTGTCTGATCCTTTCTTCCGCTCTCCTGAGGTGCAAAAAACTGTGTATATTTTCCAAGCGTCTCGTGTCACTTTTCTATAGTGCTGTTTCTCCGATGAGGTGAGTTGCTATGATGACTTTTTCACTGCTAATGCTGTTGTTAATGGTCAGTGACTGTCTTTTACTTTCTCCTTCACCACCGTGTTAAATGCATGTCCAAAATTCTCACATTTTTAATTCACTTTATAATAAAATAAAATAAAAAACACGTGAAAAATGACGGATGGACCAGTATAAAACTTGATGCAAATGTAAAAATCAAAATGTGAAATATGGACCTCTTTTTCTAGCTTAAAAGGTCAGATTTGAAGATTTTCATTGCAAAGTTTTTCTCAGTTATGAAGTTGATGACTGAACAGAGGAAATGTCTCACGTTTTTGTTGCATTCTGTCGTTTTGAAAAAATAATGATCGTATAATCTTGAATAGAACACTGATTATTTCCTCTTTTGATAGTCTCATTACACTAATTATTGACAGTTTTTGAAAATGTATTATAAAAAAAGTTTAAAGTGCATATGACAGGTTAGTGTTTTAAAAATGCATTTTTTAAGTTATTTTTTTAATTCTGTTGAAGTTTATGATTTTACCTCCTGGACATACAGCATTTACGACATGCAGAGGGTTAGTTCCGGTCTGTTACCGAGCAACCAAAATGTCAACAAGGGCCAAAACCTACACTAGTCTAAATAACACAATATTACAGTTAGGATTAGACTAATAATAGAAATAAAAAATTTAAATTATATCTGCATTTTCAATAGAATTTTCAGTTTTAGAACTCAACGCTGCTTCTTGTATTTTTGTAATTTACTTTTCCACTTTTTTCAACTTTTAAAGATGCATTGCGTAACATTTCTAGTGGAGAGCCCACCTGCAAATGTTATTACTTTGTCGAGAATGTCCCACAGTATAGATTAAACCCATCTATCATGAGTCAGATCTGTGGAGAGTCGCCACAATTCACAGAAAGATTTCATGTATTTTTGAGAAATAGAAACACTTGTAATAAATAACTGCGATGGAAACGTTTAATGTCATACCACGGAACATTCCTGGCAACGCAATAATATCTCCATGGAAACCCTCCACCAGAAAAGTTACTTTTTACTGGTGATGATAAATATTTACTACAGGTACGATTCCACCAACGCAAGGACAAAACGTGAAAACTTGTCATATGCATTTTAACAAAATAAACAATACAGAACATATTATCATTGAAAACTACGCCACCATTTGTTGTTTTTTTTTGCTTTTATTTTCTAAAACACCAAATTTCTGTTAACACATGTTCTCCTCTGACATATTATTGATCTTTATCTTTGTTTTCACTGTTGCACTAAATGTAAATACTCATTCTTTTCTCAATATTTTCAGACATTTTACGTGATGGTTGGTTCTCATTTTGTACAAAGTTGATTCTGTAAATATTATCAGCTTGGTCTCTGAGTCACTTTCTACATTTGTTTTACTTCCAGGTTACAAATCTGCTCTATGTAATTTATTATTTATCATAACTAATATTATGTTTTGAGTCGCTTCTGTCAAGAAAATGAGAAATTTCACAGCCAAATCATTTCAATATTGTTTTTTTGTCTATTCATTTTTACCTCAAGTACCTCAAGTGTCCACAGTGTAAAGCCGCCCATGCCAAGTATCAGTTCTTAAAGTTTTGTGCAAAATTGACTTTTATTTCGAGCTTTTAATCGCATTAGAGTTGCTTCTGTTCTCAGTTCCTCTCTCGGAGTTGTATTTAGAGTGATTCATGTATGTTTGAATTTTATTCTCCTGTACTCTTTACTTACTTTCTTCTACAATTATTATTTTTTTAATTGGTGATATGTGTTAAAAAAAAAAAAATCCCACTCCTTGCTCGCGTAATGTGCAGCTATCCATGTTTTTGTTGTCGTTTGTCTTGTTGGGAATCGGCTCCCAATGGGCTCCGCAATTTTTCCAGCCCAGAAGTGTAAAATAATGTCAAATAAATATTGGGATTGAACAAAGATCCACAGGTGTCATAGGCATAAGCACAATATATGTTCTTTAAAGCTAATATCATCTTATCTCTCTCCAATGCCGTTTACAACAAGATTCATTCACTCAGTTTCTAGTACATTCTGTTGTTTTTCTCTCCTTGTGACTCAGAGGCCATGGTATATTTTTTTATATTTGTCCATCCAGTCTTTACCGTGTCCCAATACTTTGCGCTGTAATAACTGCATGTCAAAAACTCTGTGAATCTCCCTTCTTTCTAACTTGTAAAAACTCCAGAAAATGCAAAATGACAATGATTTTTTTTACGCCCCAAATAAAAAAAATGCGCTTTTCCAGAAATTTGACAAAGAATTGTATGAGGAAAAATCCCACAGATCTGAACTCTTGGGCCACGTTTTGTTCTGTCCATATGTAAATGGTTTATTGTGGCTTAACATTTTCTACGCTCCTCACATTTTTGATGCTTTAGCTAGCAATATGTATATAATATATTATATGTGCTAACATGGAGGAAATAAATGTACCCATGATCAGAAATACTGCTTTTTGGTTTGGTTTGGTTTTTTTGCATGTTGTTCACATGACACAATTCAATGTCATTGCACTTTAGATCATTGTTTGGGAATCAGGTTTTGACATTATCCCTCTCAGGCTCAAATTAAGTTTTAGTAACAGGAAAAATCTGATATTTGGGGAAAATGATCATATGGGGTAGTAATATACAATCCAGACTTTCTTTTTGAGAGAGACCTTCACATGCAATGCATTCTGGGATGTTGCGAATTTGGCCCGGTGTGGTAAATTAACACTGAAGACTGAAAATGATATGAACAATAACTTTATGTGTAAAATACTTTTCATAACAATGAAAACATAAAGCACAGTGTAACAGCTTTACAGTGGCAGAACAACATCACTTTTTCATGTGGTGCTCCAAGAAACAATTTCTATCCTTTGTAAACAACAAAAGTACTTTGCACTTCTGGCAGGTCGTTTGCATGTAGTCATTCTTACACAGTCTGCATCATCCATGTTTATCAGCATTGATGGGAACAAAAGGCTCCTGAGTAAAAAAGGCTCATAAAATATGGATTTGGAGTCAGTAGGTAATTGGCATTTAGCTGTTGCAAATCTGCAACACCTGCCTGAAGAGGGTTGAAGTAATGCAAGATGCTCATATGACACTATTTTCTGATCTGTGTTTTGAATGTTTCCTCATCAAAAACAGACCTGGGGTTGTGTTTTGTTTCATTCACACATGTTTGAGTGTCTCTGGAAGTCTGTTTTTGAGGAGGTAACATTATAACATGTCTTAAAGCTCACAACAGTCACTTTTGTGTCATATAGGGCCTTGAATTACAAAAAACACTGGACTTGATGGACAGTGTTGGGAAGGTGACTTTTAAAATGTATTCCCCTACAGATTACAGATTACATACCCCAAAATGTAGTTTGTAATGTAATCCATTAAATTACTTAAAGTGAGTAAAGTCACCTGAATACTTTGGATTACTTGATTTGCTGTAGAGAAACAAAGACGAGGAAATCTTCACATAAGAAGTTTTGTCTGATAAAAGAAAATAAAAAGTCCAGACTTTGCTGAACCAAATTAAAAATATTATTGATAGAAGACGAGGAGACACGTCCACACAGCAGGATTTATTTAGTCCTGTTAAATCCTGTTTTAGACCTGGTTTAGACGAGGTTTAATCTTGGTTTAGACCTAGTTTGGACCTGGTTTAGACTTGGTTTAGACCTGGGTTTAGACCTGGTTTTAGACCTGGGTTTAGACCAGGGTTTAGATCAGGTTTAGACTTGGTTTTAGACCTGGTTTAGTGTTCGGCAATGAGTGGAATTACCGAAGAAAAAAAAGAAAAAAAAAAGGAATAGCCCAAAATGTGAAAACAGGAAAATCCCGCCATGTAATCCATTTATTTCAACCAAGTAACTGTAATCCAATTACCACTCACTGAAACAGTAACTGTAACTGAATACAGTTACTCATCATTTGTACTCTGATTACGTAACGCCAGTACATGTAATCTGTTACTCCCCAACACTGTTGATGGACATGTTTGGATAATAGTGGTGGGACTTGTAAGTCGTGACTTGAGATGTGATTTGATAAAATGGACTAAGACTTTCGACCACAGACTGTATATATGAGTGGACAGATCGAACGCTGAAGCCGTTGTGTGCCAAATAGGAAGTTCTCCAGGAGACTCTTCTGGCTCCTTCTGGCTCCTTCTGGCTCTGGCTCCAATTGACTTATATTAGGATCTTGTGGCTCCTCTCTCTGTAACTGCTGCTGTGAGGCTCCTCATTTTGATATTAAAATGTTCATATTAACCTTCTCTACATGATCCTGAATTATTTTTATTTTATTTTATTTTTTTTTTGTCCGTCAAAAAAAATCCTATCATAACATAAACCCTGGCTCCAAATTCGCTTCATTTAAACGGCGCTTTGTCCACTTCTTTATACAGTCTGTGACCAGTGTTGGGGAGTAACAGATTACATGTACCGAAGTTACGTAATCAGAGTACAAATTATGAGTAACTGTATTTAGTTACAGTTACTGTTTCATTGAGTGGTAATTGGATTACAGTTACTTTGCTGAAATAAGTGGATTACACGGCAATATTTTCCTGTTTTTACATTTTGGCCTATATCCCCCCCTTTTTTCTGTAATTCCACTCATTGCCGGACACTAAACCAGGTCTAAACCAGGTCTAAACCATGTCTAAACCAGGTCTAAACCAGGACTAAAACCAGGTCTAAAACCAGGTCTAAACCATGTCTAAACCAGGATTTAACAGGACTAAACCATGCTGCGCAGACCTTGTCTCCTCCTCTTCTATCAATAATATTTTTTAATACGTTAAGGAAAGTCTGGGCTTTTTATTGTCTTTTATCAGACAAAACATTTTATGTGAAGATTTCCTAGTCTTTGCTTCTCTACAGCAAATCAAGTAAAGTAAAGTAATCCAAAGTATTCAGATTACGTTACTCACTTTAAGTACCTTAATGGATTCCGTTACAAACTACATTTTGAGGTATGTAATCTGTAATCTGTAGGGGAATACATTGTAAAAGTAACACTCCCAACACTGTCTGTGATCACGACTCTATTTGGACTTGAGGGCCAATGACTTGCGCGGATGGTGACCTGAAGGGCCGCGCAGGTTCTGAGGCCAGTGATCAGGTCGATTCATGCGCCTAAGTAAAGATGACAGAAAACACTACAGACTCTTGTGTTCAGCGGCTAATATCTCTTTTAAAAACTCAAAACCTCCCCGACGGGACTTTAGATAAATGTAAGTTAGTTTTCGTGTATTGCAGCGGTGAGTTCTTCCCACAGAAGCTCAACAAGTTAGAAATATCATCTTGAAGCACAACACGTGTTTGGTTCAGCGGCTAGCAAAGACGCTATTCATCCACCGACAACAAACCGAAGACTTTTTTTTTTTTTTTTTTTTTTGAACAAGCCGAAGACGAGCTTTGCACATCAGGGACAGACAGAGCTCACGATATGGTAACTGCTGCAACAAGTTTACCATTTCAACATCTGCCTTGTGTAGCGCAGCTCATGCTACACGACGAGTTACTGCAGGACTTTCCTGGTGGTGGATTTGAGATGCCTTCAGCAAAATGCCACAGATAAGTGGGGCATTTCAAGCACAGACTCCAAATACATCAGAGCACAACAAGTAGACCGTGGCCTGAAGGAGGAAACACTTGTTCAGGATGTTGGAATTCAACCCTGGAAATGATCAAACGGATCCAACACAACAAGGAGCCACTGAGGACAACACAACCTGTCCCTGTTAACAGCAGCAGGATATGACAAGCTGGAAAAGCCAGAGATGCTGCTTGAGCCTTGCAGGTGAGCTGTTAGTGTTGTTATTATTCTAATGTTGTTGTCAGTTTTTAATGATGTGATATATGTTCTTGTTTGTACACCTTAGGTACATCACAGAGCTCCTTGTGGGAAAAGTCTGTGCCCTGCTCTGTTGTGATGCCTGCTCTGTTGTGATGCCTGCTCTGTGCCATCTTCTGCGAACAATGGAGGTGTCAGAAGTTGATGCAGCTTTCATACTTCGTTTCAAAGCTGCATTTACGAAGGGTCTCAACAAAAGAAAAGAAAACATGAACCTGGCCTGGCTAAAGGTAGCAACAGCTTTAGATCTTCGCTCTGAGGACCTCCGATGCCTACCACGGAAGAAAGGGCAGCAGTGTGGCAGACTTTGAGTGACTTGCTTCAGCAAGATGCACCTGAACCCCAGGGGCCCATGGGTGGAACAGAGCAAGAACCACCACCAAAAAAGATGTCTCTCCTGCTCATGGAGTCAGAATCAGAGGATGAAGCCACAGACAATGAATGCTCTTGAGAGGTACAAGGCGGAGTCTTCTGTGAGGACACATGTCCTTGGAGTGGTGGAGTGGTGGTCAGCACATAGTGGTGCCTACAGTAAAATGGCACATTTTGCACAGAAGTACCTGCTGCCCCTGTCTCCCCTGAGCCTTGTGAAAGACCTTTTTCATTGGCAGGCCACATTGTACAAAAAGAGATCAGCAGTGTCATCTGAAAATGTCAAAAAGCTTGTGCCTAAGCAGCTGGTTAAAGGAAGAGTAAATGCAGACATGTACGAGTGCACTTTGACTTGCTTCATGTTTAGTGTAATGTTTAATTTTGTATCCATGTACATGAGCCTCTTGTTTTTTGCACTTTTGAGAATATTCTTGCTACACTGTTCCCATGTTTTGAGCAGATACTTGACATAAACTCATGAAAAACATTTAACAAATGTCAATAATATAACTTTCTGACAATAAATTGTATTTTAAAATATTTGGGTCTTTTTTTGAAGATTAACTGTGATTAATCATGATCAAATTCTTGATCAAAATTCTAAAGTGTAATTAATCTGATCTTAAAAATGAATCATTTGACAGCACAAATACTGATATGATACAAAACATAATACTGATATAAATATACTGACAAAATAACTTAAGTACTTTTAAATCTTAATTCTTTCTGTTCTGATTTTTAATCATTCAAACTAAGATCTTGACACATTTAAAAAGGAAAACAATATTTCTAAAACTCATAAATACTAATATATAAATATTCCATGACTTTTTAAGTATAATTTAAAGTCATATAAATTGCAAAATCTAATCTATATTTGGTACTTTGGTTTAAAGACTTAAAATGACTTGAAGCTCAAAGCAGACGACTTGGACTTATGGACTTATGGGCCAGTATCTCAAAACTCGACTTGGACTTTCCTGTATTTGACTTGGACTTGACTCGGACTTTTGGACTTGGGACTTATCGGCCAGTGGCTCAAAACTCAACTTGGACTTTCCTGTCTTTGACTTGGGACTTGACTTGGACTTGAGACTTGCAAAAAAAAAAGACTTAGTCGTACCTCTGTTAGGTACATTATAATTGGTCACATTTTTCTATAATCACACCAGCAAACCTGTGGGTCAGTGGATCTGATGACTCAACCTTCAATGTTCATGTCAAGAGCTGGAATTGAACCACCAACCTTCAGATCAGTGGGCGAATGCTCTACCAACTGAGCTACTGCCGCACATAACACAATCAGAAAACAGACTGAGCCTCACATGAATTTCTGATTTGGAGATTTAAACCTAAAACACCTCTGATCTGAACGTTTCTCCCTAAACCCCAGCACCTGCACCAGTCATGAGTCAGTGCTAGTGCAGCCTCTGCAGCCTCTGCAGCTCAGGGAGGAACTCTGGAGCTTCTGAATTTTCACATGAACCGTGGAGGCTCATCTATATGCAGGTGTCGGCGCTGGTAACCCAGATGTACTTAACCTTTTTTAAAATCACTACGAGCACAGACTTCATACAGTTCCTTTAAAGGTGCACAGTGTAACTTTCCAGGTGGTGGGTCTGTTGTTGTTTTGCCTGGAATTTTTCACAGTGATATTTAACTCATCTATTTCCATGGAGACAATCAGTTTACATGTCCAGTCTGTGGAGAAGTGAGCCTGTTTACGGTAGAATGCTTATTTTTCACTGATTGTAAAAAACACTTATAGTTAAATGAAAAGCAAATGTAATGCCATACTGCGGTACATTCCAAGGAAAACAATCTCCCTCTGGCAAATCTCCATGGACAGAACCAGCCCCACTCCAGCCCAAAATCAACACGACATCACACTTTTCTTTCAAAACAGTTGAAATATTTATTTATCAACTCAAATAAGACATTTTATAAAACGGGCGACATCTGCTGATAAGATAAAGAGAAAACTATGAGAAAAGTGCTTTTTTTTCTTTCAAAATAAAATCCACAAAACATTCCACTTCTGAAAGGCCCTCGTCACCTTTGACCTCTCCAAAGTTTCTTTAAAGGGCGTCCGCTTCCTCTTCCTGTTATGACATCATCGTGTAGTCCTGACGTGGAGATAAACAGTTTCTGGGTTTTCATTTCATTTCATTGTTCATTTTGCATTTGTCATAAGTGGAGTTTAAAATAAAAGTCGAACTATGGCAGCCCTAAAGGGTCAAGATTCAGATCATTTAAAAAAAACACAATTCAAAAGCAATTTCTACGACAAATTAAAGGACAGTTTTTTCCACAACATCTTATTTCGACGATAAATAATACATTACTAAGCTTTAAAAATATCTGTGGAGTAACTTAAAGGAACTGTATGTAGATTTAGATTTTAAAATCCCATGACACTAATTTCTGATCTATGTGAGTTCATCCCTCAAACAGAAAACACTCTGTTCCACCTCGTGATGTCATGTGGTAATACAGTGTGTTTTTAAACTCCACACACCTTCACTAGAATCATTTGGACTGTTTCATCCCCGGGGTTTGCCAATCTTTAGTGAGCAAAGGAAAAAGGAGCTGTTAACATGAAAACTACCACTTCATGACATCACAAGGTGGAAGAGAGCATTTTGAGCTTTGGGGATGTAAACAAATATCAAAGAATTGTGTGAAAGAAACAAAACAACTCCAGGTGTGTTTTCGAGGAGGTAACAACATTCTAACATGCCTAAAAGCTCACAAGAGTCAATACTGAATGTTATAGGAGCTTTAAATTTGATCGTGACCTATTTGAGTCCCAAAATATGATGTAGACATGTTCAAATCAAATATAACTTCTGCTGATAACTATTGTAATGCTGCTTTATTCTTAAGAGCCCAGGCTACGAATGATGTCACAGATATAAAGGGGCAGTCAGTGTGTGTGTGTGTGTGTGTGTGTGTGTGTGTGTGTGTGTGTGTGGACTCCTGGAAGTATCTTGGAACACTCATTGTTTCAAAATTTGAGCTTTGACAATAATCGTGCTGCTGTGTGTAAAAGAGGCACCGGCGTCGTCATTGTCTGAGGAACAATGATGACACTGTTTTATAAAACGTTTATAGAATCAGTTTTCATTGGTCTCATGGTTTGGGAGCGTCTCTGCTAAAAAAAACAAGAGCTCCCTGAATCAGTCGGTTAAATGGACGTGAGGTGATTGTTCATCCTCAGAGCCGCCTGGACTTTTTGTACTCAAGACACTTACAGAGGACGTCCCAGAGGATTATAAAAGACGTGCAACACTCACTAAACTCACAGTTTCAGCTGCTTCTCTCTGGTCAGACGCTTTTAGTCCCAAGATCTTGAACAAATCGTTTTAAAAGGAGCTTCGTTCCGGCTGCTGTCATACTTATGAATAAATTGTAATCTATTTATCTATTGAATTTAGTACGTTTGTCTTGGAAAAATCATGTATTTTTAAATATTTATTGCAAAGCGTGATGGATGAATTTAACTAATTGTTTATTCTGCACTGGAGTCTAGTCCTGTAGTCTGGTCCTGGAGTCTGCTGTAATCTATTTAACGCTCAATTTTAGTACATTTATCTTGGAAAAAATGTTTTATTTTTATATATTTAATATTTATTGTGATTTTAGTCAAGCGTGATGGATGAATTTAACTAACTGTTTATGGAACAAACCATTCTGCACTGGAGCTCTGTAACATTTTATTTAGTAATTGTGTTTTTATCTGCAAAACAAATTTACCTATGGGTACAAATAAAGCAACTTAACCTAACCTAACCTACATAAAGTTCCTTTAAACCAGATGAAAACACTGTCATTTCCCTTTTCCGCCACTAGAGGTCAGAGTATAATCACAAACTTAACATTTGTACTGTTGAGAACGTAACAAGTCTTGCTGTTCGTTGAATTGAACACATATTTATTTCTATACAGCTAAGAAAAAGTATCATGTCCCACTCTATGATTATCTGAAATTTTGTCCCCACAGGGCTCCCATAGATCCTCACAAACATCTTTTTTTGCCACTCTACAACAGACAAAACCAAAGTCCTGAATCTGATTGACACTTGACGCTTCCATATAAAATCCTTTATGATACTAAGTCATTAATAAACTCTTTAAGTCCGTAACAGACCTGATGTAATTGCTCCACTCAAGTTAAAACAAAGCATTTCCTTATATTAGTGAATACTCAAGAGCCACATTTTTAAACGTGTCCTCATACATTTTTACAGAGAAGCAAAATAAATAAAATCGTTTCATTTTCGTTTTTGTACATACTTACATGAGTTAAAGGCTGTGGCAGTCTGTGACACGGGTGCACCATGATACCAGGTTATTCCAATGTAAAAAGTTGAAAACAAAAGCGCCGTACCTTTCCACATTGTATCAAAAGATATTTAAAAAACATACAATCTGTACGCATATTTTTGACCGTAAAATTGTAAAAATACATTAACTTGAAACAGAACAAGCATGTGAGGATATGACACGCGTTTCAAAGCACAATATTTGCCACGATTGTCCGTCAAATGTTCCTGTAAACATCAGTCTGAAACCTGGGCTGAGATTTGCCGTTACTCCGTTTTACTGCAGTTGGGGTGTTGTATGGAGCCTGACAGACAAAACTCTGGGCGTGTATTTTGATAGGCAAAGCGGCAGGAGGGTTGACGGGGGGCAAAGAGGTCTGTTGTCCCAGGCCTCGGGGTCTTAGGGGCCCAGAATTGGAACCTCCACATATGAATTAATATTAGATGTGAGTTTTCTTGCCCCAGGTCTGCAAAAGCGCTAAAGTCCTTCATTCCTTTTAAGTTTCATAGGACGTTAAGAGAATCGATCCAATCTATGTCCCACCACTTTTACTTTAATTTGTCCTTAAAAGTGAAAAGCCACGTTCTGTTATAATATTTAAAAACGTGATTGTTTTCAAATTCTGTCCCATTCGAGATTGTCTATAACTTCACAGCTCCAATTATCTCAGCTTCCAGTAAATCCACAATGCAGAAAAGGTTTCTTCTTTTTGCAAAATTGTCTCTTTTAGTTATGTATGGAAAAGCTTCTCCTTATAGTTATTTCCCAAAGGTAGATCCTCTTGGACCAATCAGAAACCAATAATCCAAAAGGGGGCGGGGCTTATGTGGTTGTACTGGTTAAATCCATTTGCATCCAGGGGCAGTGTTTGCGTTCACTGGTGCTTCCTGTAATCTCACACCTGTACTATCCTTACACTGGAGTCTAGTCCTCGAGTCGAGTCCTCTAGTCTGCTGTAGTCAGGTCCTGGAGTCTGGTCCTGGACTCTCTTCTTGTAGTCTAGTCCTGTAGTCTGCAGTAGTCTGGTGTAGTCCAGTAGTCTGGTCCTGTGCAGTCTGGTCCTGCAGTCTGGTCCAGTAGTCTGGTCCTGTAGTCTGGTCCTGTAGTCTGGTCAGTCTGGTCCAGTAGTCTGGTCCTGTAGTCTGTAGTCTGGTGTGCAGTCTGGTGCAGTCTGGTCCTGCAGTCTGGTCCTGTAGTCTGGTCCTGTAGTGTGTCTCTCCGGCGTACAGGTGGTACACAGGTCCTACATGTTGTAGGCCACATAGATGGGGTCCAGCTGGTCGGCGAGGAAGCCGTCCCTCAGGTGCATCCTCTGCTTCTCTCCTCTGGAGTTGATGGGGATGACTCCGATGTCCACCACCACCACCACGCCCACGATCAGGTAGTGCTCCTCCAGAACCACGTTGGTTACCATGGGAACCAGGTCCAGGGCCTCGTGCTCCGAGCCGTCCAGCTCCACCACCACCACCAGCAGGTTGGTCCAAGTGAACACCGCACTGACAGAGACAGAGACACTCTTCAAATCATATCTGATGTGGATTTACACACACTGTTTGACACATGTCTGATCTGGAGAACACCAGGGGTGTGCTTTCCCCTATTCAAAAGGATATTTTGTTCTGAAATGTTAATTGCAATAGCAATGGTCCTTATTGTTCAACATTCTCAAACACAGGGATCACCAAGTCTAACCAAGCCGTAGATCACAGAGAGGTGTTAATATTAGCAATGCTGCCATATTCCAAAGAATATTTATCTTTTGAATGGTGAAAAGTCCTTAAACTGTCACCTTGACAGGAAGCTGAAGGCCTTGAATCAGTCCTGCTCTGGCTCCAACAGCTCAGATAACAGCTCTGGTATATAGAATGTGTATATTCTGTATTGTAGTGAGTGATGTGGCACTGTACCACTCTGTGATGCTCTTGTGGGTCCTGATCACAGACGTCTCGATGTCGATGGGGTGGTACCTCATGCCCCTCAGCTCCATGGCCTCCTCCAGAGCACCCACCACGTACAGGGCATCGTGTCGCTCTGGCAAACAGATCAAAATATACTCAGGTTTACTCCTGATCTTTGCATTAGGCCAGTGTTTTGTTCTTAGTGAAGTTCTTAAAGGGCTCATATTACACTGTTTTCTGATCTATGTATAATGTTGTTTCTCCATTCACACATGTTTAAGTAACACTTTATTATTATTAGTCTGTCTACATCTCCAAAGCTCCAGATGCTCTGTTCCTCTTCTGATGTTATGAAGCAGTAGTTTTTAAGTTACCTTTAACCTTTAGCTCAGTACAGATCAGCAATTCAAAGTCAGAAATCATCCAAATTATTCTAGTGAAGGTGTAGGCAGTTTAACAGTGGAGCAGATGTTTTCTGTGTGAGAGACAAACTCAGTCTAAATGTGCAGGGTTTGTGTGTTAAACATGTGAATGAAAAAAAAAAAAACACAACTCCAGGTCTGTTTGTGATGAGGAAACAACATTAGAACAGATCAGAACATAGAGTCATATGAGCCATTTAATCTGTGTCTCTTTTAAACAAACACACTAGCACTACCTCCGTTAGCGTCAGTTAGCTCGGTCCTCCTGAGGAAGCCCAGGTAGCCGGTCCGGGCCCAGACGGTCTGAGTGTCTCCGAAGCTGAGCCTGGAGCAGAAGTGGTCTGACTGCAGCGCCTCGTCCCCGTACACCGTGAAGTACCCACTGGCGTTGTGCCCGCTGTGCACCCAGATCTGCACACAAGCATGGAGGAGTTTAACACGGAGGAAAACGCAGATGTTGTAGTTTTGACTTAATGGGGGCATAGACTGAATATAGAAGTGGACATCGCTACATGCTTCCACACAGGAAACGAGCATGAGGGCGCTTCCGGCTCCATCAACTCTGCTTCCACTCTTTCGATAACTGCTGCTGTGAGCTTCTTTTATTTGGCCTTGAAATGTTCATATTAACCCATTCTATATGATCCTGGTGTTTTTCTTTTACTTTGTCCGTAAATCAATTGCTATTTTTAATATGGATCTCTGTTCCAGTTTTGCCCCTATAATCAATAACCTCGTGAGCTTCATTTGACTGGATCTGAGCGTTATGGGTGACGTCACACTCCCTTAGTCCACGTCTTTATACCGTCTGTAGTTTGGAGCTTGCTTTTATTTCACTCAAAAAGTGTTCATTTTAAAGAAATATCCAAATACCCACACATGTTGAACCTGGACATTATTTGTTGGAGATTTGCTCCACAAACTCGCCTGTGTCTCCTCCTGTGTCTCCAAAACTCTGGAACGCAGTTAGGCCCCGCCCCTTTACCTGAGCAGTAAGGCCCCGCCCCTTTACCTGAGCAGTGAGGACCCGCCCCTTTACCTGAGCAGAGACGGCCCGCCCCTTTACCTGAGCAGTAAGGCCCCGCCCCTTTACCTGAGCAGTGAGGCCCCGCCCCTTTACCTGAGCAGTGAGGACCCGCCCCTTTACCTGAGCAGTAAGGCCCCACCCCTTTATTTGAGTATTTTCTGAGTAACTTTCCACAGAAGCAGCAAAGACAATGAAGTCATGCAAATGTGTTAGTGACGTTTCAGTGTCTGCTCTCAGGAACGCTCTGATGTCGGGAAGTAGTTGTCTGTCTCCTGTCTCCTCCCTCTCACCAGGAGTTTGTAGGTCAGATTCCTGATCTCTGTGAGTGAAGTATACATGTGCACCAGTCTATAATAACCCTGCATTCCATTATCCTTCCGAGTCGGTTTTCGAAAGAAGTTGCCTAGTGACATGTGCGACTCAGACCTCGGTGGCAGAAAAAGTAGACCGGACAAGGATTCCGAGTCAGAAGCCAAGATGTCTCCGCCCACTGTGACGTGTAAATATGAAGTGTTTCATTGTGTTTGGACACTTTGATGGTTTAAATGACAGTTTCAATCACTCGTATCACTGCAGTACTTTACCACGTCCGTATCACTTGGTAGTCGTGTTGTGGTGAGACTACACGCTACTCTCCAAGTCCGACACATGAAGCATAATAATACGCTTCAAACTCGGATGTGACGTCAAATCCGAGGTCCAAGTGGGAGTTAGAAGATAATCGAACGCAGGGTAAGAACTGGATAAGCCCCTCCCCATCTGTCCCGGGTGAGATCGACTAGTTAATCTAATGTCTTAAAGTCATTTCAACTGTCAACAATCACGTTTTAAAGTCCTAATACGGCACATTAACCCTCTTGGATAATGATTTCAGTCTGACCTCTCCCAGATGTGACTCTCCCATTGGTCCCTTTGTTTCAGGATTTGCAATAATGATGCGGACTCCAGGAAGAATCTGTGGAGACCGGAACAATTATAAAAGCTTTTAGTCATTTTGTCATTTCATACATTTAAATTAACTAACAAACTAACAAACACATGTACCTTCCCCGACTCCATGAGGGGTAAACTGTGTGGAGACCCTCGTTCCACCAGTCGCACCCTGTGAGAAGAGAAAGAGGAACGTCATTTTCATTTTCATCACACTTAAGATCGTCACAATTAAGATTTTCCTGGTTTGGCAATTTTTAGGTTTTAAATTTGACTTCCTGGTTGGAAATCGTGACATGACACCAGGAAATTCCATAACTGTAACCTAGCAACATACAGGCCAAAGCTCCTCTAATGTACACAAAGATTTTAATTTGACAAATAAAAATATAAGAAACACCTTTATGTTGTAGAAACAATGTTTAAAGTATCAGAAAAAATGTGTTTCTTGCGTGTAAATTGTGCTATTTTTTTAAACTTTTCTTCGCAAATGACTTTTTGATTTGCGTAAAACTAAAATTTATATTAAAAACAGATATTATCCTATTAGATTCGGTAAAAAAGACAGAATCATAAAAACCTGTCCTGCGCACACTTTAATTTAAAAGGTAATAAACTCTGGAAACTGCCATTCGTTTGAGAGGAAGGTTCAGAAATTAACTTGATTTTTTGTCTATTTTACTGTGGAAAATCTGAAAAAGAAAGCCATATTTCAGTGTTAAGTTTGGGTGACACTTTGATGAACTCTGGAGTTTTGCACACGGCACATGAGTCACCAGAGTATTTGAAGCACTGGAGATTGCACGCTGTCAGCTTTATTAAAAAAAAGACAAAAATTTCAAGCATAAACCCTCTGTGCTCTATTGCAGACGTAACTGACACCTCCACCTTTAAATTCTCTTCTTGTTTGCTCAAAACTACTGTATTTTCCGGACTACAGGTCACTCCGGAGTTAAAGTCGCACCAGCCAAAAAATGTGTAATGAATTAAACTAGGGCATAAACAACAGAACAAGTTTACCAAAGTCTCCATCTCACTCCAAATCACTAAATCAATTCTTCATCCTCTGTGTCATTTCTGAGCAACTCCACCAACTCGAGCTACATCCAGCTTTTTTGTTTTCTTCGTTGCAGTTTGTGGATCATACCGTGCCATGGAACATTTCAGGCAAAGCAATAACATCTCCATGGAGACAATGCACCTTTAAATAACTCTACTAAATATTTTTCGACAAAGCAAAGGGTGGCTACTTTGAAGATTTGAGTATAAAATGTATTCAAGAATTTATTAGATTTATTTAGACCGTTTTGTCTTTGCTACATAATTCTCTATCTGTTATTTAGGGACGCACCAATCCAGCTTTTTCTGTTCCAATCTCAATATCGATACTTTGGCTTTAAGTATCTGCCGATGCCCAATATTAACCAATACCAGTGTAGGGATGGAAAATGGCACTTACTCCCTTAAAAACACAGTTAACTTATTACACAAGAGATCCAACTGTGTTATGTAACTGTTATTTATCCTTCAAATGACTAGTGAAAAACTTTGTATGAATAAAAGTTAAGACATTATGAGACAGTTTAGGCCCAAATCAGCCTGTGAATAGTCTTATTACATCCAATCACAATATCAGCTTAACTGATATCATGGAACTGATACCCAGTCCAGCGATATTTTTTAGTATAGATGCATCACAAATTTTGGACTTCCAGTCATTGTGCAATTCATACTGGGAAGGATTTTCTGAAAAAGGGAGCATCAAACCTCCATGTTTGTTTTCCCAGTGGGATGTGTCTATTGTCAAAGTGGATCTTTTCAAGTCTTTTGAACTTATCGCTTTTGTTTCTGGTTCTGATATTGTCATATTTTAGTTTTGGGATTTGGACATCGTAATTGTGTGGTTGTTGGATCCTAACAGCGGAAAACAAGCTTGAGAAATTTGTTTGTGAACTCCATAAATGCAAAAGGGAATCAGATGTGTGTGACTGCAAACCTCTGTTCAAACTGTTTCTCTTCCCAACGGAATTGTAAATAGTGAAAGGTGAAGGTGATGGACAGGACTGATCCACAGGAAGAACCAAAAAGGAAACATTTGACTGACTAAATCATCCCGAGTTTGCAGTGAACATTTTGTATGTGGAGCGACAACAAAGCAAAATCCCGTTTGTTAATGGAGAGGAGCAGAAGACAAACAGACTGAGCTGCACTTTCTTGTTCTTGTGGTTTTACAGCAACATCACGTCTTGGTCTCTTTGCAGTGGAAGGTGTTTCTTGGTGAACAGCTGGTGCCTTTCACTTTGGCCTTGACTTTTTAAATTCATAACTAAAGTTGAGCGAGAGATCGGGATTTTGTTTTGTTGTCGCTCCACATACAAAATGTTCGCTGCAAACTCAGGATGATTTCTTAGTCAAATGTTTCCTTTTTGGTTCTTCCTGTGGATCACTGCCCATCGCCTTCACCTTTCACTATTTTTCAATTCCGTTGGGAAGAGAAACAGTTTGAACAGAGGTTTGCAATCACACACATCTGATTCCCTTTTGCAGTTATGAAGTTCGCAAACAAATTTCTCAAGTTGTTTTCCGCTGTTAGGATCCAACAACCACACGATTACAATGTCCAAATCCCAAAACTAAAATATGACAATAAACAGAAACAAAAGTGATATGGTTCAAAAGACTTGACACATCCCACTGGGAAAACAAACATGGAGGTTTGATGCTCATTTTTTCGGAGAATCCTTCCCAGTATGGATTATGCAATGACCGGAAGTCCGAAATTCGTGTTGCATGTATTGGCGCCAGTATTCGATACAAGTATTGGTAACAGTGCATCCCTGACTTTACTTATATATCTGGTGTCTTCTGTATGTGCATAAAATGTAGAAAGTAGTCAAAAAAAAAAAAAAAAAAAACAAAAAAAACACTGAATGAGAGGGTGTGTCCAAACTTTTGACTGTTAGTGTAGATCCAAGAAGAACTAACCAAGTGTAAATACCACACAACATCATGTTACTTGTAGATTAAATATGAATAAATAGTGTTGGATACCTGTCGTGGCGTAGAGCTCTCATGTCCACAAACACTGTAGTGGGGTCTGGTCCTGAAGTGCCCTGGACAAAACAGAATCATGTATTATTCACACAGATCTTATTCCATAAAGAGAAAAACATCAGTACATCTACAGCACGTGCACTACCCCCACACACCAGAGGAAGCGCTATAGAGGAGCCTACAGGACGCACCAGGGCTTTACATGCACCAGAGAGAGGAGAGAATGGAGGAGAGTCAAGTCTGAATTATTAGGGTTTTGTCGTGAGATTGCAGCGCCCCCCCTCACCACTAGGAGCACTGATCTAACATGTCATTTACTCCAGGGACCAGCGAAGGGGGCGGGGCCAGAAATATCAATGTATCATTAATTTATTCGTTTTTCAATATAAAAGCAAAAATAAGAGCACGAAAGAACTATTTTCTTCATTATTTGTCTCCAAAACCAAAATGAAATAATAGACAACGATTTGTTCTTTTCAGTTTTCAATTCTGTGTTTAAATGAAAAATGGTAACAGCCGTTTCCCGTTTCCGTGACTTAAACTGCGATGCCGGACTTTTGCGCCACATACAGACTGAACCAGGACTGAAACAGGTCCGACCAGACCAGAACCAGACCAGGACTGAGACCAGGACCAGGACTGAGACCAGGACCAGGACTGAGACCGAGACTGGGACCAGACCAGAAATGAGGCCAGGCCGTGATTGAGATTGGGACTGAGACCAAGACCAGACCAAGACCAGACCGAGACCAGACTGGGACCAGACCAGGACTAGACCAGGACTGAGACCAGGACCAGACAGGGACCAGATCGGGACTGAGACCAGACCAGACCGGGACCAGACCAGGACTGAGACTGGGACTAGACCAGGACTGAAAGTGCTTTTAGTCCTGGGTCAATCCGTATGCTTCGCAAAAGTCCGGAAAACGGCCATTATCCTTTTTTTTCCATTATTGATTTAAACACAAAATTGAAAAATGAAAAAAACGAATCGTTATCTATTTTTTCATTTTGGTTGTGGAGACAAATAATGAAGAAAATTGTTATTTTTTTCTTTTCTTATTTTTGGTTTTATATTGCAAAAACAAATGAATGAATGATACACAGATTCAGTAATAACAGCACAAAATAATTAGAACTCTTAACCAGAGTTTGAAAAAAAAAGGTGTTAAAAGTCCTATATGACACAAAACTGACTCTTGTGAGCTTTAAGTCATGTTATAATGTTGTTGTTGTAGTGGTAGAATTCAAGTTAACGGCTCCTTTCATATATAGATTATTATTATTATTTTTTTTTTTCAGTAGAAATGGGCAATTCCAGAGCTGAAATCATCCAAATGATTCTAGTGAAGGTGTACAGAGTTTAAAAACCCAGAGGAGTACTTCTTCTATTACAACTATAGCCTGTATAAAGAAATGGAAGAAGGTGTGTGGACGTCAACTGTACCGACTCCAGTCAAGTGAAGCTCAGCGAGGCCTGCGGTTATTGGAGTGAATTACTTAAAACACCAGGATCATGTAGATGTTGATAAAAACATTTCAAGACCAAAATGACGAGGCTGACAGCAGCAGTTACAGAGAGAGGGGTGGCTTTATTCCAGTACAAAGTGAACTTGTTTGGGGATGGAATAATGGCACTAGTTTCTGAAGCTATGGAGGTTGTGCAGACAAAATGTGTTTCTTTGCTTTTTTTTTTTTTTTTTGCTTTTTTTTTTTGGCCTATTTGTGCCTTTGGACCTATTTTAATTAAATTTTTAAATTTATTTTTTATTTTATCGAAAAAAGACAAAACAAAAAAGCAGTGTGGAGGCGACTGGAGCAGGACCAAAAGGATTCATCATCTGAGCATTTAAAAGAGCTCAAGGCCACTGAGGAAGGAAAGAACCTCAAATTTATGTGCAAACTTTGCCCGCCGGCTTTCAAAAAAAAAAAAAAAATCCACACTTCAGTCACATCAACAGCAAACTTAAAACGACACATTGAACTGAAGCAGCAGGCGAGACTTTCAAGGTTTATGAAAGCACGTACGAAATCAAAGACAATCAAGACAGATCCTCCACCCAAATCCCACTGACTGAGACAGGAGCGGCTCTGTTATCGTCTCTCAGCTGCAAAGATGAAATCTAACACACAGTTTAATTGTTAAAACTGATCAAATCATTCCTGTCTGTGATTTTGTTTGGGCTTTGGCAGTGATAATGAAAAATAATTACTTGCAGCAACATATTGAAAAAAAAAAAAAAGGACGATGAACTATTTCATTTTTTGGAACTATGAATGAACTATTAACTCTAAACAATTATGATGCCTCTCCAAACCCCACACCGGCAGAAACTAACGCCGTCAGCAGTAATTAACTAACTTTTCAGAGTTTCAGAGATTGTAGATTCTTGTTGCACACCAGGATGAACACAAGGTCAAGTACAGAAGAAAGCCGGAGCTCTTTACTGGATTTACAAAGCTCCAAATTGACAGTAAAGGTGAATTTCTAAATGGGCTAGCAGCTAATCAAGCCTACATGATTTAAGCCAAGAATAGAGTTTTACGTGGATATTTTTTTGGTTTTATTTGAACTGAATTAACATTAAATAGTACATAGATGAGGCAGAGAGAGTAGATGAAGAGAATGGTGAACTCTGTGCCTGTAGTGCACGACTGGAGGTGGTTTTCTCTCTCCATTAGGATCAAGAGGAGAAAAACAAGAAGCTTCAGTCACAGAATCACCAGAAAGATCTTGACATCCAACGACTGAATGAAATACTAAGATATTTCATTTCTAAAGATGAAGTTCAGTCAGTGAAAGACCAGTTTGATCAAGATAGAACAAACTCTTGATGGCTTCTTCAATCCAATGATGGTACTTGTTGCTGTCTGTGCTTCTGACCTTAGTGTTGGTCAATGGGACGATTTTCCTTCTTGCAGCAGTCGGATATTGTCGACTTAACAGTGCACGATGTAACTGCAATGAATGTTCCACAGTACGACTTTAAACAGCTCTGCCTTACACTTGTTGTTCCTGGTTTGTGGTTCGGGTGCATGTTTACTGCTCCAAGTAGAAAAAACAGCCAAAATCTATTTAAATGAGCTGAGCAGACACAGCAACATCATGTGACCAGTCCGAGGACGGTGGAGGAGTGCAGCCCGGACTGTCAAGGACTAATGGCGAGAGTGGCTTGTTTTTGTCCAGGATATTTACAGAGAGTTGTGGAGTTTTTGTAGAGGTTTCAGTGTTGAGGCAATAGCCGGAGACCAGACGGGTGAACAGTTTGTGAGTGTATGAACGTTTTAGCTGTTTGAGTGTACTTTTGGCAGCAATTCTGAATTTTACTCACTTACAGATCTTGTTGATGTGTGATTTACTTGATGGTTTTGAATCACACTGTTAATTACTACATGTATATTGTGCAAAATGGACTCTTCTGAGCTTTAAGCCATGTTGCGAAGTTGTTACGTCCTCAAAAACAGACCTGGAGTTGTGTTTTGTTTCATTCACACGTTTCAGTAACCCTTTATTATTACACTCGAGTGAAAGTGTACGAAGTTTGAGAGAACTAAATATGCAGAATTGTGTGTTAAACATGTGAATGAAATAAAACACAACTCAGAAGAAACATTATAACAGATCAGAAAATAGTATATCATATAAGAAGCTAGATGTCATTTTATGTGTTGTTGTTCTTATATTTTGATTATTTTGATTTTTTTTTTAACTACATAAACACATATTGCTTGCAGTTGTAAATTTGTTCAAAGAAAACACCAAAAATCTAAATAAAAAGTGATCGTACAGTATGAGGACAGTACATACTTCCCACGAAAAAGACTCAGCCTGCTCCCAAACAACCAGTGTGCTCCAAGCAGAACCCAAAGGAAATGTCACTGTTTTTGTCAACACTGATAAGATTTGATTCTAAGGCCATTTTGAAGAAACATGAATGAAACATGACTACAGATTACAGAATTTTGATTATGGATGGGTGATATATTGGCTCCTATATCAGCATTGGTGATCATATTATTGAGCGTCATGTGTCTTTTTGAACTGAAGTCATGAGTTAATATAGAAATAGAAATATGGCTTTACACAATCCTACAGCTAATTACTGTATATCCCAAAAAAATGCATTTTATTATTTTTATTAAACCTTCCTCCAATACTGCAATAAATTGGTTATTACAGTTTACTCTCTCAAAAACATGAAAAACAAAACTAGTTCATTTAAAATGCCAGGCTGGCGCCACCTAGTGCCTCCACTCAATGTCATTTCTCTCCAGTGACTAGGTCAAGAATCAGAATACACTAGACGGTTTACAAAAACCCCGGAAGTGCGAGTTTGGGCACCAGCCAATCATTAAAGAGACAGAACAAAGAGAATGTTTGGTGAATTTTACAAAGAGGAAAGACGTTATTGCCCTTCTTCCTACGGGATTTGGGAAAAGCTAGCTTTTCAGTTAGCCCCATTAGCAGCGCATTGGACATGTGTAGGGCTGTCGCGGTTAGGGAATTTCTCCTGTGGTGCGGTATAGTGGCGTAACAGTGCAGTATACGATGATATCACACCCCCTCCCCCACACCCCATCCCCTGGAGTTATAATATTTCCAGTGGCACTGAAAACTCTGATGATGCACTTGTTGCGCAGATGCACATGTACCTTGGTTGTTGTGTGGATACAGTGTGTGTGTAGTGTGGCAGAAGTAACATTTGGTTTTGGAACAAGTGTCGCTGCGTCTCTCCAGCTCTCACTGTGACAGCTCGGGTCAGAGTCCTGCACCAGGTCAGGTACCCGCGAACTTAAGAGAGAGAGCCCCTAGCACAAGCACCCGGAGCAGGTGTTCGCAAAGAGTGATCAGCTGCACTTAAAGGGATGGTTCGGGATTTGTGACATAAATCTGTATGTCATCCCCGTGAGCAGTGTCGTGCATCAACACTGAATTATCCCCGACAGCGTCCAGTGAACCGAGATACTGGCGGTTTTCGGCGTTGACGAAAGTAGTCCGGCAAGTTGTATGGGGACTGTATAATAAAGCGTTTTTCTTCTCAAAACAATCTGTGTTCAAAACAGTGATACATTTGCATCACAAAACCATCGTCGCCTAAAAAGTCAGACCTCATTATCGCTTGGCACTATTTTCTCTCCGTTCGTATCACTGCGCGCAGCCACAGAGAGATTGTTCATTAATTGTTCATTAACAATTTTCGCCTACTTCAGCGCAGAATAGTGACGTTTGTGTCTTGTTGATAACGTGTAGGTGGATGAATGCGCTTTGGCCGTTCAGACTGAAGTCACATGTCAAAAGATCAGATATGTATCAGTTTCAGGAGCACATATCCAAGTGTCCTGGGTCACATTTGAAAAAATCGGATCTGTGTCGTTCAGACTGTCATTAAAAGATCAGATACAGGTCACATAGAGGCCAAAAAATCGGATTTGGGTCACTTCAGGCTGCAGTCTGAACGCAGCCTTAGTTTCACTTCAAGAGCTGTTTATCCAATAGATCTGTGTTAGGGTAAGACACATTTTGCTCAAACACATGGGCCTTTAAATACTGTATTGTGAAATTTGGATATTGTTAGACCGTTATTCAAGACACTTCAGTAAACAAACCTTATCAGTGCAGACAATAACATCATCTATCACTATTCTAAAGTTTTTGTATGTGGGACAGTCTGAAGCGTCTTGGGTCTGGTGGCGTGACCTACCTGCTCAGCCAGCTTCCCCAACCTGTGAGGCTGCAGCGGTGAGGGACCGAGTGAACACAAAACACACAGAAAAGGAAAGAGGCGGAGACAAAATCAGGTGTGAGGGGATGTGGGCGGGGTTAAACACAAACCAGGAAGAAGATAGAGAAGAATGAAACAAACAGCTTCAAGATGGTGCTGAACATAGACGTATAATTATTAGACGCAGCGTTCGATGCTGATGTTATCATCCATGCTAATGCGAGGGGAGATATTTTATCTATAGCCGTTAGCATTAGACCCTAATTACCGTATTTTTCGGACTATAAGTCGCACTTTTTTCATGGTTTGGGTGTTTCCTGTGACTTATACTCCAGTGTGACTTATATATTAAAATGTTCACACTGAAGCCACGAGAGGTTCTAGTCTTGTGTGTCTGTATCTTCTGCTCCTGTACCACTGTCACTTCACGCTACTGCGCATGTCTCCTGCAGAAAAAGCTGCTGTCCTGCTGCAAATAGTAAAATACTCAGTCAAAAACGGTAATAAAGCAGCAGAAAGAAAGTTTGGAGTGAGCGAGAAACTTGTGAGGGACTGGAGGAAAGCGGGGATGGAGAGCTTCACGTAATCAAAAGGGTGCACCATGCAACTTTCCTGAAGTCACTGAATGGATGGACAAAGTCTGGACTTCAGTGACACCGAAACCATCCTGTCGGGATTCAGAAAGGCCGGAATAATTCTAACTTAAACTGATGCTGAGTCTGACGACAGCGACACAGAAGAGGAAGCGGCGCTCTGTTTACCTCCGGAGGTTGCGAAGTTGCTCAGAAGTGACACCAAAGATGAAGAATTGAATGGATTTAGTGATTTGGAGTGAGATGGACAGTTTGATAAATTTGTTCTGTTCTGTTGTTTATGCTAAAGTTATCTGAAGAACTGTTCATATGTGACGTTAACAGTCTGTTGTTTTCTGTTATTACTAGAACTTGCCTTTCAAGATAAAATGTCTGTTCCTCTTCTCTGACTCTCTATGACTTATAGTCCGGTGCGACTTATATATGTTTTTTCTTCTTCATTATGCATTTTTTGGCTGGTGCGACTTATAGTCCGAAAAATACGGTAGGCATCTAGCATAAATCTAATGAAAGTGGCATCTAAACTGGGAGCTAACCCGTTTCATCTGAGATTTCCAAATTTGTGTGGTTCTGGTCAACATCAAGTGACACTAAACCTCAGTTACATGAGACTGGTGAAGAAACCTAATAAAAATTAATTTATCATGAAATAAACATGTTATATACTTTAATATGGGGCTTCACCATTAATTTGTATATAAAGGAACGATCGATGTGAACAAGCGATCGAGCTGTAGCAGAGTAGAGAAAAGAGTAACAGGCAGAGTAGAGAATTTCACGTCTATGATCTTGAGTACTCTCCATTTAAGTGAAATTGTTAGGTTTTGTTATGGTTTAAATATTACCATTTAGTAACTTAAATCAGAATATTTATTGGAACTTAACTACAGATGAGTTGTAAGTGTTAGAGCCTCTTATTTTTAAAGGTTGTATTCAAAATCTCCCACCAAGAGCATACTATTGCTGTGTTCTTAGGCCATACACTCCACCTTTCTGACTCTTGGTGACGCGATAATGAGTCAAACCGCCACACAGCAGATGGGCAGTGTGTGTGTCTTGCCCAAGAACACAAAAACACAGTATACTATTGGGCAAAGATTGAACCAGCTCTCCTGATGTGTTACATTCATCACTATAGCCCCATCTTGTTGAAAACATAATACAAATGTAATTAAGCAAAAAAATTAAATAAAATAAAGAAGTCAAAAGTGCACTATGTAACTTTTCCACCTTCCTACTCCATGGAGACAAGTGGTGGTGGACCTTCTTAAAAAGATACACTTCCAAAGTTTTAGGGAGACACTTTATTTCCATGATGATTTCCATTGTAGATTCTATATATGGAAAGTAGCAAACAAAAAATAAACTCACAATAACTCCAAACTCGTGTTAGATTAAAACTAAACTTAAAATAGCCACCCTCTGATTTGAACCCTGGTTTCCACTTCTGGCATTTCTGGGAAGTGAAAACCATTTCAGGAGAATTTATTATAAAGATCACTGAGGGTCTGCAGCATTGTCAACATAGCAAAGGATGGCTACTTAAGAGCATTTGAATATAACATATCAAATATGTAGTATTAGAGTTAGTGAACTCTTAGCTATATAATTCCATATATCTTCCATCATATGTCTCCTGTATGTATATAAAATGTTTACATAGTGCACCTTTAAAGTAGAGCATGAACTGAAAGAGGATGCTCAATGAAAATGGGACTATGATCCACACAGAGTTACCGCTTCACAGAGCAGGCAGCTTCAGAACGCTTTCCAATTGAACATGTTAGCATCAGTATTAGCATCAGTATTAGCATCAGTATTAGTATCAGTATTAGTATCAGTATCAGTATCAGTATCAGTATCAGTATTGGTTGTCTCCGTACCTGCAGACAGATGGCCAGGTTGACTCTGCAGCCGAACGACGTGCTGACGGCTCGAGGGTGCAGGCCCAGGTCTTTGAAGAGTTTGGAGAAGGACTGAGTGAGAGAGATCCTGGGACGCTCCTCTGCCACCACCACACAGGTCCGGACACGGGACAGGTCCACCCCCCGAGACTGAAGCCCACAAACACAGAGAACACTGGTGAGGAATGACTGTGGCCCTGCTACCATGTAAAGGTCTCTGAGGGTCTGCAGCTTCACACAAGGGTGACATCTGTGGTTGTCATGCCAACTGTGATATTGTGATTGATTTGTGGCGAGACATATTTGAGCTTTATGTGGTCATATTTAATCATTTACAGTTAGAACATGAGTTTTTTCTAGGTAACAAGTTACAGATAAGAACTTTTTGACAGTTTTAATACTTGTTTTGGAAGTCGTCTTTGAGCATCCTGAAAAGGGCTATATAAATAAAATGTATGTATGTATGTATTATTATTATTATTATTATTATTAGCATTAGCATTATTATTAGCAATAGCATTATTAGCATTAGCATTAGAAGAAAGTTCAATTCCAAGAATTCAATTCCTGGACCAAATAGGTGCATTTTGTGTGATTTTCTTTCCCAGATCTGTGTACTTCGCATTATGTTCTGCATCTGACAGTTCTTACTGTCAAAATAACTGGTTATAGGCAGTGTTGAGAAGACTGCTTTGTTACAGAATACTGCATTAAAATGTATTTTGTGTTCAGTTACATGCTCCCATCAGAGTACTGTACAAACACTTAGAAAATTCCGTTTAATTTTCCTTTAAGTACTTAACTGTATTCCTTTGGTTTTGGTAAAGTAACTATATTAAGTACCACTGTAACTGTACTGAAATAAATGCTCATTTCATTCATAAAGTATAAAAAGACATCAACAGAGTCACAACATCAAACATACAAGAAATGAATGAAAAGGAGCAGAAAGAAGAAGAGTCATCTTATGTTCTCTGTCCCTTTTCCTTTTTCCAGACAAAACATCAACACTGATAGTCACTTCAGAACATTTCAAATCAGTACATTTCATTTCAGGCACTATTATTAATCAATTGAAAACAGAAATTTTAACTAAATTGTTGTGCATAATAGTGTTCTTTTTCATACATATAAATTGCATTCGATTCTATGTGTTTTTTAAATGCTGTTATTGTACTTGATTCTTTTATTTCTTTGTCAAGACTCTTCCATAAGTGAACTCCTTTCACAGTGATGCTTCACTCCATAACCTTGGTTCTGAATCTGTTTTGGTTTTTTTTACATGTAGGTTCCTTTTAAATTGTAGTGGTTTGTTCTTATCTCTTAATAAAATCTCTCTGGCATTATTAGTAAGACATGGCCCTCTAGCCCGGCTCACCTTGAGGGCGTCCGTCTGCAGGCCCAGGCCCTTGGTGCACAGCTCCATGACGCTGTAGGAGCAGAAAGTGTCTCTGACTTTGTACTGACTGACCGCAGACAGCCACAGGGAGGGGTTCAGCTCCAGCTCCGAGGGGGGGATCAGGATGGACTGGTGTCCGCTGTACACACTGCACACAACACAACAACAGCTCACTACAAATGGAACCTATATATAACCTAAGAGTGAAGATACCCTGAGGAATTTATTAGCTTTATGTAAATTATATGACATTGAAGACTGCCATGGCAGCATCTGTCTGCACAATGATGCTGATGATGTTAAACCAAAAGTCTGTTGGATGTTGGTACATTCATAGGAACATTGGTAACCTATGGACTTATATCTGTTTGTAGTATCAGATTATGATACATTATTATGGATAAATTATTATTATTATTGATAAATTTTAAACCAATAACAAGTGGAAAATATTTCACTTTTGCACAGGGAAATCAAACCCAAAGCCCTGGTACAGGATTGTCCATGGTTTTCAGGTTTTTTATGTACCACTTGACATTTTTGTTCCATATCTTTCAGCATCTTGCTCTAGTTTGTAGTTTCCTTTATTTGCATGATGCTAAATGCAAATATTTGTCATTATTTCTTGGTCTTACCATTTTGACCAATCCTGTATTTAGTTTACCTGACCAGCCAGAACCACGTGCTTTGACAAAACTTAAAGACAAACAGGTATGGAATCCTGTCTCCCCAATTCCAAATGGCATGACTGACAGACAGATTAACCATTCAGAGAGATGCATGCTCTTATAGTGGCTTACATTTAAAAACGGGGAACAATGTGACATTTAACTCTTAAATCTTAGTACTTTCTTTTATATTCCTATGCGCTCTTCTATCTGTGGAATCGCTCAGTGGTCCAGCTGTGCTGCACAGTGCTCCATGAGTGTATACTAGTGATGCAGTTTTCCCATGATTCAATACGTATGTCGATACAAGGGTCATGATATCCATTCAATTTCGATATATTTTAAGATGAAAAAAAAAATCTGCTAATGTAATATATAATATAATATCACTATGATATTACTGAAACATTACACACACTACACACAACACACTGCAACACAACTACTGTGAAGTTATACTTTATATGTGAAGTGTTTTAGTTCATTTGGTTCAATGATTTAGTTCATTTGACCCAGCATTTTTATTCAATGAAAATAAGAAAGTATTACTTTTTCTTTAGATTTTTATTACTTATTACTCAGAGTATTTTATATTTTATAATATAACTTACTAACCTATGACTGTTAGGGGAGTTAAACTATCAGACTTTTCCTTTTTTGATGATGATTTGATGATTTCCTGAGTCCTCTCAGTGCCTGCATACGCCTCATGTCTGTGTCATCGCTGCTCTGCCTCTTCCTGCAGAGACAGTACGTAGCTCCTCCCACACTGCCCTGCTCTTTTTACACACACTCTGCTCTCCCATCCTTTTTCTGGACACTAAAACTCTGTTATATTACATAGAAACATCTAAACAGACCATTTCCTGAGTAAAACCTCTGAGACAGTCTGAGAAAAAGGTCGTGTATATGGTGAATCATGTTACATGTGCGTATACGAGCGCATTTGATTAAAACCGATGTGAAGCGATTCTAAAGACTGTACTAAAGTATGTAGACTGTAATGTACTTATTGTGTCATTCCTGAGTCTATCAATGTAAAATAAAAAGTGACTGAAAGATAAACTCCTCCTCTGTTAGAATATTTCAGCTGTAAATCCCTATGGAGCTGTTTTCTGCTGCACCTGAGGAGGACACCAAGAGAACTGTTTCCCTTTGGACCAAAATAAATGACAACATAGAGACCTGGAGGGACATGGTGTATCGACATGTGTGTATCGACATGTGTGTATCAACATGTGTGTATCAACATGTGTGTATCGACTGAATACGTGTATTGAATCGTGAGACCACTGATAGTTGCATCCCTAGTCTATGTGCTCTTGTACTTGTTCTGACACAGCTCAAGATCATTCTAAAACTAAACTGTCCTGTGAATTTAACTTTTTTTAGTATCAATATCGAATGCTCAAATGAGTATCTAGTTTTGACAGACATTTAAAACAAATTAGCAGCTGTAGTTGGACTGTGGAAGGAGATTTTTCACACTCTATGATCCAGTTAGGTCAGGCAAGTATTTAGTAAACATTTCTCCATCTACAGTAAATGTGTGTGTACGTCAGATCTCCGTCTGTTAAAATCTCCGTCATGTTTTGCGTGTGGTGAGTGTCTGACCTGCAGAGGCACCAGAGCACGAAGCCCAGGCCACAGTAGGGGTCCAGGCAGATGGCCACCTCCCTGGACGGGTACAGCTCACACTGGAGCTTTATGGAGCGGCAGAAGGCACTGGTGGCACTGTGGGACATCTGAAGGCACATGTGACAGTTAGGATGACTGTGAGCATGACGCAAACAGGCTGACGCAGCAAAACACAACAGACTGTAGCTAGAAAAAATACAATTACAATCATGAACATTGCATCTAAAGTCAAACCTTTTTTACCTTTACACTTTTTGAACAAGTCATGCAGGCTTTTATTTCACCACGCCACGACTCTAATGCACTTTATTCCAGCATCTCACAAAACGCACTTTATCGACTACAGTTTGTCCAAAACTCTGTAGCGTGACTTTTAACAGGAACAGGAAGGAGAGAGCACATTACTCCAATCTTTGCGTCTTTGCACTGGCTTCCTGTTAACTTTAGAACTGATTTTAAGATTTTATTATTTGTTTTTAAAGCTTTGAATGGACTGGTCCCACAGTACGTCTCGGACCTCATCCAGATTTATACCCCCGAGCGCTCTGAGGTCCAAGGGCCAGCTCCAGCTCATGGTGCCTGAGACGAGACTTAAAACCAGGGTGGACAGGGCCTTCTCTGTGGTCGGCCCTAAACTCTGGAACGCTCTGCCCCTCCACATTCGAACAGCCCCCACAGTGGAGAGTTTAAAGTCTAGTCTTAAGACTCACTTTTATTCTCTGGCTTTAACACCGTGTGAGTTGTGTGCTCCTCTGTGTCTTTAAAAACAGATCAAATTAATAAATGTATTTGATTGGCTTTATTTATTTATTGCTACTCTATGATTTTGCTCTTATTTTATTTTACTGATTTTATTATTTTAAGACTAATATGATTAAATCTGAGTGTTTATTTGATCATTTTATTATTGTTATTATTATGTATTTGTGCAGCACTTTGGAAACAGTTTGTTAGTGAAATGTGCTATAGAAATAAACATTCTGCTAATGTGATGAGTATAATATGATATAAATGAAACATTACACACACTACACACAACACACTGCAACACAACTACTGTGAAGTTATACTTTATATGTGAAGTGTTTTAGTTCATTTGGCTCAGAAATTTGTATTCAGTGAAAATAAGAATGAGCTTTCTCAGAGTATTTCATATTTTATAATATAGCCTACTCTTAATATAGACTAGTGCTAGAGGAGTTAAACTATCAGACTTTTGCTTTTTTGATGATGATTTGATTATTTCCTTTCCTCCTGAGTCCTCTCACACACGTCTCATGTCTGTGTCATCGCTGCTCTGCCTCCTCCTGCAGAGACGGTACGTGGCTCCTCCCACACTGCCCTGCTCTTTTTACACACACTGTGCTCTCCCATCCTTTTTCTGGACACTAAATCTCTGTTATATTACGTAGAAACATCTCAACAGACCATTTCCTGAGTAAAACTTATGAGACAGAGTGTGAGAAAAAGGTCGTGTATAAACAGTTTGTCCTCGGGGGACAAACAGTTTGTACACTGGCCATAGGCTGAAAGGCGTCGGGACTTTGTAAGTTGTCCATTAAGACATGCCGTAAACTAATAAAGGCATTTTATTTTAACCAGTGAGTGCCTTGGGTTTTTTGCATCTTTGTACTGACTTCCCTTCCCAAAGAACACCACTGAGTTGGATCTACTGTGTATTATCCTCTGGAGGTCCAGGAAGCACTTCTTCTGAAACATTTTTATACTAATAAAAGGTCGTGTATATCAAGAGTCACGTCCTGTGCGTAAACGAGCGCATTTGATTAAAGCCGATGTGAAGCCAAAAGAAATTCTAAAGTACTTAGACTGTACTAAAGTATGTAGAGTGTAATGTACTTCCTCTGTCATTCCTGAGTCTATCATAGTAAAATAAAAAGTGACTGAAAGATAAACTCCACCTCAGTTAGAATATTTCAGCTGTAAGTCCCTATGGAGCCGTTTACTGCTGATTTTATTATTTTTAGGTCTAATATGATTAAATCTGAGCATTTTATTTGATCATTTTATTATTGTTGTTATTATTATGTATTTGTGCAGCACTTTGGGAACGATTTGTGAAATGTGCTATAGAAATAAAGTGGATTGGGTTGCATCTAAATACAAAATAATACATTGACTCTTTACATTGTGCTATTCACAGCAAATATGTTTATTTTTTTCTTTACCACAAATGGGCAAAAGTTGATATTATGTCTTTGTCACACTTTCTTTCTATTTGCACTTTCTATTCGAGCTTCACTACTGTTCTCGTTTTATAGTTTAAAAGTGTTTAGAAGTTCACCTGTTGCATTTCAAAGTTGGAAAAGAGCTGACTGGCTTTGGACAAATTCTAAAATCTCATTTCAGCCTGCAGTGTGAACGAAGCCTAAATGATTTGTGTCTAGCTGTAGTATGTTTATCGTTTCATAGTTTAGATTTTTCTCTGAACGTCGACCAAACGCGTCACCTCGAAACAGGATATCAAATGTAAACAATGGTTACCTTGACTCCAGCGAGCATCCCTGTAGTGGACACGCTGAAGTCCAGATAGGCCAGAGTGTCCGGGTTCAGCGGTTTGTGCAGCAGTGGGGGCTTCTTCTTTGGCAAATCATCTACAATAAAAATGCATTTGTCAGTAAACATGTATTTTCAGATCAACATTTACATTCGTTGATGGTGTTACCAGTGTCGATGACGGGAGGCCACGTGCGCAGGTCCACTGTGGCTGTCGCTTCTTTGGACCTCAGCAGTTTGGAGATGATCTGCGTCGTCATTACACAAACTGACCGACTCACCTGCACAGGAAAAACATGGACAATTTATTATTTAGTATTTTTACAGAGAAGTTGGTGAATGTTTTAAAGTCAAATCTGTTTTACCCCAGTACAGATCTATTGTAAAAGCAGTACAGGGTCAAAATGAGACCGCTGCGTGCTGTCTGCATCTAATTATAGAGTGTTTTATCCTCCATAAACCAGGAAGTTTGCTGTTGGCATGCTAGTTGTTGTCAGTGTTGGGAGTAATGCGTAACGAATTGCTGTAATACATTGCTTTTTGCTGTAACGCAGTAATGTGTGGCATTACAGGGAAAAAAATTATAATATTTGACTCAGTACAAATGTTGTAACAATGCTTTTTTAACCTGGATTGAAGTGGTGGGTTTTTCGTTTTTCTTCATACAAATTTGCAAAATGAACTGCGATATCAGCAGCAGTGAAACGCCATCATTACAGTTCCAAATGTCAGGACGAGCCCAGAGGTGCACCCGTGTAGACTGTCAGGTAACCGCGGGTGAAAGGACTGGCGGAGAGCGGGCTCGGGGTTCTGTCAGGAGCAGTACTAGATTCCAAGTCCTAGTCCAAGATTAGTTCTGGTCTAAACCTGGTTTAGTCCTGGTTTACACCTGGTTTACATCTGGTTCAATTCCAGTTTAGTCCTTTTTAGACCTGGTTTACACCTGGTTTACTCCTGGTTCAGTCCTGGTTTAGTCATGGTTTAGTCCTGGTTCAGTACTGGTCTAGAACTTGTTCAGTCCTGGTTCAGCTCTGGTTTAGTCCTAGTTTAGTCCTGATTTAGACCTGGTTCAGTCCTGGTTCAATCCTTGAGCAAGTCCTCGGTTCAGTCCTCGGTTCAGTCCTGGTTCTGTCCTGGTTTAGTCCTGGTTTAGACCTGATTCAGTCCTGGTTTAGTCCTGGTTCAGTCCTGGTTTAGACCTGATTCAGTCCTGGTTTAGACCTGATTCAGTCCTGGTTCAGTCCTGGTTCAGTTCTGGTTTAGTCCTGGTTTAGTCCTGGTTCAGTCCTGGTTCAGTCCTGGTTCAGTCCTGGTTCAGTTCTGGTTCAGTTCTGGTTTAGTCCATACACGGTGCAAAAGTTCTGTTCTTCGCACAGTTATTTTGGTGAGAGTCTAATGTTTTACATTTTAAATACAGTAATATTGTAATGTAACTAATTACTTTAAAATGACAGTAACAAATCATAAATAACACATTACAGTTTTGAAGTCACTTGCCCAACAGTGGTTGTTTTTAGCATTTATAAACTCATTGTGGTGAATAATAAGTGTGAGGAATAAGTTATAGTCGTTGTATTCAGTTTTAGTAACATAAAAAGTCAGCTGCAGAGACTTTCCATAAATAAAAATAACACATTTAGTAGAGTGGCTGACCTCAACGATCATCTTGACAGTGGGCAGCGTGGTGGTGATGTTTTGTGGATGAGGAGGTCTCACTGTGATGGGGACACAGCCAGCGTACAGACAGCCGTAGAACGCGACCACCAAGTCCACTCCTGACGGGGACAAAGGAAGAGTCCAAATGTAAACGTCTACTCATCAATTTTGTACAGAAGCTCTGAGCGGCAAGCAAAAAAACTAAACAAAAAAGAAGACGCATGTCATTTTGGCCCCATTTTCAAGTTTTTTTTTTTTTTTTTTTGCACCAACAACTCAAAGAAAAGTTTTGTTTTGTCACATCAACAGTAAAAAAAATAACTGTTTGGGGAAAAAAAAGATGACAAGAAAAATTTTTTTTTCTTTGTTGGTGGAAAAAAAACTTAGAAAATGACCTGCCTTTTTTTTCAGGGCTTCTGTAGTTTTGTACGTTTTTTGGATGTATATTTTGTGTGTTACCTGGTGGATAAACCAAAGCCACGTGGTCTCCGTCCTGCAGGTGTGCACGCTCAGACAAGATGGCGGCGATCTTCTCCGCTCTCTTGTGCAGCTGGACACAGGTCAGTGAGTTGGCAATGGTGCCCTGGAATCACACATCCACTATTATAAACAGGTTTAATCAAAGGAGGGAATTACTTGTTATTGTATATGAAAATATAAGAGTTCTAGTCTAAAAGAGGCTTTTGCCATTTTATTTTTGTAGCTTTTTGATGACGGTAGTACCTTCAAAACATTTTTTATCATTCCTAGATGTTTAGTTTCAACTTTATGCAAGGGACTCAAACCAAAAGTGAGTCCTACCTTCACCAGACTTTAACTACCGTCTTTTTTGGACTTTAAGTTGCACTTTTTTTCATGGTGTTTCCTGCGACTTATATATTAAAGATTTCACACTGACAGGCGCGAGAGGCTCTAATCATGTGTGTCAGTATCTGCTGCTCCTGTACCACTGTCACTTCACTCTAATGCGCATGTGTCCTGCAGAAAAAAAGCCGCTGTCCTGCTGCAAGTAGTGAAATATTCAGCCGAAAACAGTAATCGAGCAGCAGAAAGAAAGTTTGGATTGAGCGAGAAATTTGTGAGGGACTGGAGGAAAGTGGGGAGGGAGAACACGGCTTCATGGGTACAACTTTCCTGGAAGTCACTGGATGGATGGACAAAGCCTGGACTTCAGTGACACCGAAACCATCCTGTCAGGATTCAGAAAGGCCGGAATAATTCTAACTGGAACTGAAGCTGAGTCTGACGACAGCGACACAAAAGAGGAAGTGGCGCTCTGTTTACCTCATGGATCTATGGTTTACCTTTGGAGGTCGCGCAGAAGTGACACTGAGGATGAAGAATTGAATGGATTTAGTGATTTGGAGTGAGATCGTGAGTTTGGTAAACTTATGTTCTGTTGTTTATGCTGTTCATATGTGACGTTAACATATTAATGCCTAATCAGCCTGTTGTTCTCTGTTCTATTGTTTTTACTTGAACTTGACTTTCAAGATGAAATGTCAGTTCCTGGTCTATGATTTTATAAAATAAATTTCCCCCAAAAAGTGCAACTTATAGTCCGGTGTGGCTTATATATGTTTTTTCTTCTTCATTACGCATCTTTTGGCTGGTGCGACTTATACTCCAGAGCCACTTATAGTCCAGAAAATACAGTCATCTAATTTCAGTACTTAATACATTTATAGTCATACTTTTACTACAAAGCTGGTGGGGTAATACTGAATATTGAACAGTGAAATGTTGCGGATCTCTCTCTGAAATGAATCTTGTTGATGTGTTACAGTAATAGAGTCTGACCCTGGAGTTGAGCAGTGTGTAGAGGACGTGGTCAGGAGTGGTCTGGGCTCTCCACTGCAGCACCTCGGACAGGAACAGGAACTGCGCACAAAGCACAAACCACACATTACTATGGGTTATTCACACTCACCACTAACGAAGGCCTCTGAAGACTTTGCTCACTTCAACATATATTATGCAAAATGTACTTTTTCAAGCTGGTAAACGTTATATTGTCTCTTTGTCAAAAACATGCCTGGAGCTGTAGTTTTGCTTCATTCACATTTGTTTCATTCATTCCTTTAACTCCAAATTCATTTTCTCTGCGCACTCAAAAATGCTCCGTTCAGATTTTGCCAGTTTAGTTGCGTCACAGAAAAAAGTACCAAAGTTAGGTGACCAAAAAGGGAATTAAAGCCACAAGAATGATTAATATGTGTTTAAAGAAACAACTCTAACTGTTATAACTTGTATTTAAACTGAAGACATTAGTGCAGGAGTCTCCATCCTGCAGCTCGAGAGCTACCGGAAGCTCTCCACCCCCTTCCAAGTAGCTCGCCAAAACATTTCTGAAGTATACATATTGTGCAGAATAGCTCAAATTTTACCTGGGACAGTCCCAGCAGATTTATCCAAAACCACTGATTTGTCCCAGTCTTATACAATAAATGTCCCAGATGTCCCTATTTTGGACCAATCTGATCCCTGCCAACAGTAAAGAGACATAAACTGTCATTTGTTTAGGTCAGGGGTCTCCAACATTTTCTTCCGGTGAGCCACCTTTACAAAAAGAAAAAGCCAAAGTGCTACTTATTTTAGCCGTTACAAGAAATTGAGCGTATAAAGCCTTAGATGAGGAACAGTTATATCCCTGTAAAACACAAACCTTTATCCATTTATTAGTGCTCAAAGTTTAGGGTGACCAGATTTTCAAAATAAAAAAACTGTGATGTCCTAATTTTTTTGGTGGTTGGTAATAATAAATCTGTGAAATGAGTTCTGCAGAGACCATTCATGACGAACATGTGAGTCAGTATAGTCACATTTTCTTTGTGTTTTGGTCATTTTTAAGCAGCTTTTTTGTATTTTACCCAAACAAATGACTGTTTATGCCTCTCTTTACTGTTGGCAGGGATCAGATTGGTCAAAAATAGGGTCATCTGGGACATTTCTTGTATAAAACTGGGACAAATCAGTGGTTTTGGATAAATCTGCTGGGACAGGGGACACAGGGCTCAAAAGTAGGACTGTCCCGGGTAAGAGCCATTCAGTACAACATGTATACTTCAGAAATCCTTTGGTGAGCTACTTGGAAGGGTGTGGAGAGCTACAGGTTGAAGACCCCTGGTTTAGGCAAAATAAAAATAAAAAACTGCTTAAAAACGACCAAAACATGACTGTACTGACTCACATGTTGGTCATGAATGGTCTCTGCAGAACTATTTTCCTTAATTACTCACTTGTTTCACAATTTTATTATTACCAACCGCCAAAAAAATGGTGACGTCCCGTTTTTTTATTTTGAAAATCTGGTCACCCTAAACTTTGAGCACTAATAAATGGATAAAGATTTGTGTTTTACAGAGGGGCCGGGACAAGCAGAAGTAAACACAAGGCCAAAAATTCAAGTTCTGCATCTGATATAAAAATGTATTGAACAGATACATATGTACTCTAGTTTATGAAACTGTTGACCTTTTTTCTGTACCATTTTTGGTTCTAAAGTTCCATATGTTTTAAACAGACCATGTATGAAACATGGAACAAAAATTATTTCCCAAATTTCAAAGACCTGCAAATCATGTAAATAAATGGATGTATTTCATCATATCTTGTGTTATTCCATCTTTGAACTGTTGATGAAGGGACATGATTTTTCAAAAAAAATGTATTTAAAATGATAAAAAATTAGCTTGGAAGGACTGACATATTTTATAGAAATAGTTTCTTTCATTTTGAAGTAATATTAAAGTATTCAGAAGAAAAAAGTTGACAAATGATGTAAAATCCTGCACCTTCTACTTGTTTTTGCACAATTTTCCCTCCGTTACTTTTCCCTCCGTTACCATGATCTTTCTTAATAAAAAATCTCATGAGTCAAAAAGTCAGAGGTTTTTCAACCTAATCTTGTACCATATGGTAGAAAACTATATGAAGCAAATATTCAAACCAGTTTGTTAAGGATATGGAAGTGAGAACCAAGAGTTATCACTGTTTGGATTTATTGCCCAAAAAGTGCTGCATATTTCATTCCCTCCGTTACCGACATGAGTTTTTAAAAATTTTTTGTCAACAACTTGAAAGAATATCACAGGTTTAACTTGACCCTGTTGGAGTGTAACTCTTTCCTACATTCTGATACTTTACTTATTTCAATAGTCCCTCTAGTTTCTGAATAAGAGACATTTGAATGTCAAAAATCTGCCCGTTTCCCTCCATTACTGCTTGATCGGACCCAGAGATCTAACTGTTTCCCATCTAAGGTTTTCCTTTCTCAAACACAATGGACTCCAGGCACTCCAACACAGTAGAAAAAGTTAACACATCGCACGAGGAAAAATATAGTTAAAAGGCCTTTATTTGAATGGCCAAAGCCAACATGTTTGGACCTGAACTGGTCTTCATCAGGGCTTAATTAAAAGCAGAGCATAGGCGTGGCCTTCAAGTAGAACACATCAACCAATAGCAGGCTGGAGTTAATTGGAGGCAGACAAAACAGGTGCACAAGAACAGGACACGGTACAGGCAAAAAAAAAAAAAAAAAAAGAGTCCGTTGTGTTTGAGTTTTGATCCTTTTTTCCAAGAGCACCCTCTACTTGCTCCTACTGATTGGAACACCTGCAGCAAACAGACACATTTTTGTTCTTTAAGGTTTTCCTTTGCTCAATTTCTTGTAACCACTAAAATAAGCAGCTCTTTGGCATTTTCTTTTTCACATTGGAGACCCCTGCATTAGTGTAATAACAAAGTGTAGGTCAACTGAACTTAAGGCAGAGACAAATTATACTTAAGACCTGAAAAGCGTCTGTGATCAGCGGCCAACAGTCTTGGTTTATCGTTGATTAGGACAATTTTAGGAGCAAAGACATTTAAATTTAATCTGTTCTCCAAATAAGTCAACCTAAACTATTCAATACAAAATCTGCAACGCTTCAAATTCCATCATTCTATTAACTGTCTTTTATATATAAATATCAAAAAATACCAGTTCTTCTGACTCTCGCTCACTTCTTTCTGCTGTTGTTCCATATAAATCATTAGAATCTACATCAAATGACTGGTCGACGAATCAAAACGTTGGACCGGTCTGTGCTCTGTGCTGTCCACTGTGAGAAACCAAATGTGAGACAGGAAGTAGAAAGAGGGAAAACTTCAGTTCAGATGAAACTTTAATGAAATCCCAGAGTTGAGTCGACAGCTGCCGACTGATGTTTTCATCGCTCACAAACGCTGCCCCCCGGAGGTCTGCGAGGCATGACGCAGCCGCTACAGACTTCATTGAGTTTAGGAAGTAAGACAAGCACGCTGACAGACTGAGCCCCAGAATACATGAATAACAATGGATATATTATTACTGGAGGAGAGGGGGAGACCAGGGGGAGACCAGGGGGAGATCAGGGGGAGATCAGGGGGAGACCAGAGGGGGAGACCAGGGGGGAGAGATCAGGGGAAGACCAGGAGGGAGACCAGGGGGGAGATCAGGGGGAGATCAGGGGAGATCAGGGGGAGACCAGGGGAGAGGGGAGACCAGGGGGAGATCAGGGGAGACCAGGGGGAGACCAGGGGGAGACCAGGGGGGAGACCAGGGGGAGATCAGGGGGAGACCAGGGGGAGACATCAGGGGGGAGACCAGGAGGAGACCTGGGGAGCATGGTGGCAGAGGGACTAGCTTTATCTATCGTGACAACAGACAGAGAGAGTAAATTGTAGGCCTGTCAGGATAATTACTATATCGAATTATCGTTCAATATATTTTGAGGCTCAGAATTGATCACAGGTACTTTTTCTTTGCAATAGTTTTCAATAGAGACTTCAGTAATTTTTATGTAACCTGATAATATTTGAGCTTTAGGATGGTAAAATAATTTGTTGTAAATTCCCAAGTACAACTGTTAGATCAGTAACTGTATTTGGTTGAGGTGTTCTTAGGCAGCAGTCCTTGGGAGCATTATGGATACGTTCATAGAACTAGAATCAAATCTGAACCCAACATGGCATCGTGTTGTTTTCAGTGGTCTGTGCTCACTGACGCAGAGGTCCAAAAATCATTTTCTCTTCTGCATTTACTTCCTCAACAGAGGCTAGAACAGTGGTGCTCAATACGTCAATCGCGATCTACCAGTCGATGGCCAAGGTCGTGTGGGTAGATCTCCGTGTCTCGTCTCTGACTCGATCGCGTTTGGACTCGGTCTTGTCTCTCACTCAAGGTCTGACACTCAACAAGTGTGATCATATTTCATTCCGGCCGCTGCTGTTGGTAATAAACTTGTAGCGGGTGCAGGAGCGTGTGGGGCGTCTCAGTGCAGCCTGTGCGCTCATTTGAAACCCGCGGAGACTCTACGGCGCATCACAAACACACACGCTCCCTATGCACGGCTCGTCTGCGACAGCGTGTGCCCTCGTGTACCAGCGTGCATCACAGGGCAGGTTCAACTTCCTAAACATCCTACCTGTCCATCTGCCTCACGTCAGCACGCCGCCCCTCGCCTTTTCACGCTCTCGCTCCTTCCTGCGTACAGCGAACACAAGCCCCTCCCACAGTGCGGCTGATTAGAAGAACAAGACCAAACGTGAAGCAAAAACCAGTCTAAATTTGTGTTCCAGTGTTGGCACAAAGCAGGTCTACAGCATAGAGCAGATCTACAGAACAGACCTACTGCCACATTTGGCTGAAGTTTGTCTAACAAAAGTGACAAATGCATCTGTGTTTGTCACGATGTGCGTTTGGTTTGGTAAACGTGCAGAGGCTGGTAAATATCACTGCAAAACCAGAAAAGAATGTAACTCCAGTTTGGAACTTTAAAAAACAGGTTTAAAAATCTTCCTTCACTTTTTTCACAGTTTTGTGTAAAGTGCCAGAGGAAGTTCTCTTAAAGAAGAGG